CTGAGAATTGGGTAAGTCATATTATGATGTCTATAATGCCAGGAGACAATATTTTCAAATAATGTCTCTCACTAAAGTATATTTTTTCTATTTGTGTATAATTTATATTTTCATCTTTCCTTTTTTTCATCGACGGGAAAAAAAAACAAAAAAAACGGGGACCGCCTCCATGGTGTAGTGGTTAGAGCGTCCGCCCGGAGAGCGGAAGGTCGCGGGTTCGTTCCCCGACAGCGTCATACCAAAACACGTTAAAATATGGTACTTGCCGGTCCCCGCCTGGCGCTCGGCATTAATGGGTACAACAAGGACTGGTCGGCTCGGAGTCAGTATAATGTGTCTGAGTGGGGTATTCATGCTTCACTGCAGCATGGTATCTCAGTGGGCTAGCACTATAAAACCAGCTTAAGTCTGGGCTAGTACAAGCAGCCGCACATACACATACACACGCATGCACGTCGTCATATGAGCGAAATATTCTCAAGTACGACGTAATTTCACCTCACCTCACCTCATCGACGGGGTATTGGCGTTTTAAATACGAATAGTTGTATTTTTAAAGTATGCGCACATACGTAACGAAATATTGACTCGAATAAATTTCCAAAAGGGCTGAAACTGAAACCCATACTGCTGTGAGATAAAACAAGGGTCTCTACGTGTCACCAAAGCATGTATCTTCTAAACACTTATATTAAATGCAGTGATATTTTGACATTTTAAAACAAACAAGAATGTTTAAAGGAACTAAATGTATGTCTTTGTGGTTGGGTGGGTGACTTAGGGTTTACGCTGCTTTTAGCAATATTCCAGCAATATCACAGCGGGGGACACCAGAAATGGGCTTCACACATTGTACCCATGTGGGGAATCGAACCCGGGTCTTCAGCATGACGAGCGAACGCTGGAACCACTGGGCTACCCCACCGCCCATCAATCACATGGCGAACAGATCGATATGTGTTCATTATGTCGACCTAACGGTATAGATAAAAGTGATTGATATTAGTTACATAAATATTGATCGATTATCGATAAATATTGACAACAGTCTGTTGCAGTGAAAACGTACCGATGAAATTCACTTTAAACAAAAATGTAAATCAAGTTAAATGAAATTAAGATTGCGAATCCTCATAATTTTACCTTGCCAACTGAACAATCAATTCTCAGATATTTTGTTCAACTTAGGATAAAAGTTGTTTAACAAACGATCATAGATTAAAATCGCTATCATTTGTTTGTATTAGAAGGGGGTGAGCGCAGTAGATGGAACAGTGAAACAAATGCACGTGCGGTACGTGATGAGCGTTAACTTCAACCAACACTACTTGTTCTCGATGTTTCATTTAAAGTGCATACCCCCTTGTAATACAAACATAACGAGCTGGAGACATGTGTGATGACAACAGAAATGAGTTCTGGAAGCGTATAGAAAGAGTCGGGATAGGGAATGAGAGACAAAGCGAGTGACCCCACTCAGCAATATTCAGCTAGGCGGCGGAGCGAGTCTGCGTGATCAACAACATAAGAGTTTAGTTTTACGCCGCACTCAGCAATATTCCAGCTATATGGCGGCGGTCTGTAAATAATCGAGTCTGGACCAGAACCCGCCAGTAGGAGATGCGTCGCAAGATGATCAACAACATGAGCATCGATCTGCGCAATTGGGAACGGATGACATGTGTCAACCAAGTCAGCGAGAGACCTGACCAGGGAATAACCGATCCTCGTTAGTCGCCTCTTACGACAAGCATGGGTTACTGAAGATCAATTCTATTCCCAGTCAAGGATCTTCACGGGTGATACAGCTTTAGGCGCCATTTAATACGGTGCTGGACCAGAGAAACCAGGCAATCGGGAACGGATGACATTACTCATGAACCGGTTAGTTGAAACCAGAAACAATCACGGGTGATACAGCTTCGCCATTTAATACGGTGCTGATAAACCAGGAAGCATTACTCATGAACCGGAGTTGAAACCAGAAACAACAAGTCTCAGGTGTGACAAGTTGAGGCAACTGTGTCCATCGAACTGGACCAAACTGTGGTGAAAATAGCTTCCCCACCTGAATTTCTCACAAATTGCTCAAGGCAATTGGCTGGCACATTAACACCATATATTCATATGGCACATTAGCCAAATGTATTCATAACTTTACTGGCATCATACATCACTATTTCAGAGCTGTAGCAGTGTATGACATAAAGCCCGTCCGACCGCCCGATACGGGCTAGATTTCTGACGGAAGGTCTAAATTTACAGCTAGCAAGCTTGATGGTCTGGCAAAATGTTAAGATAACATGTTCCATACATCTGAGTATATTCACCACATCATTAAATCTAGCTTTCATATTAAGTGTTACATTTAGACTTGACAATTACCGTTTGAATATTGAACTATTGTATCGCAAGCTTAATGCACACAGTTGACATATATTACCACTAAAACAGCTACACGCCTCAGGTTAATTAAATTATTCATTGTAACTAAAAATGGAGTTATTTTCTTGGGATTGTCTGGTGTGGTTAAATTCATTTTGGGCTGGTAACATTTTGAAGTTACCAGTCCTGATGTCTGTCTGTATTTTTGGCTTATTTCATACACGGAACATTTGTCTCAGCTTCACTCCCCGTGACCAAGCAAACTGTTGCCTTTAATCGGGGATGAGGGGGGTCTTGGTGGTCATCGCTAAGTACGCCACCGTCACTTCTCAGCACTAAGACTTGGTTGAGGGACTTGCATGGTGACCATTTGCCTTTCAACACCTCACGATCATCAAGGAGACCAAAAATACAACGTATATCATATAATTTGATTTGAATATTTGAGACTTCTGAGCAAATCTTACATCAAATACCCTCAAGGTGAGCTATTCTTTCAATTTAACCCTAGCAGCAAATATAACAGACCTTTCATCTTTGAATGAGGTAAACTTGGGTAAAATGAGTTATATTTACATCAGGAATGTGTGTTCACTCTACTGAGAACTCATATGCATCTTCCAGTTCCAGTATAACATGCAAGAAATCATCCCAGCAGCGTTCGAAATAACCGCCGGCCCTGAGCCGAGGCCTAGCGCCGGCTGTTATTGTATCGGACCGGCAGTTTCAAATATTTGCAGGCCCTTGTGGCCTTCAGTAAATTATCTGTCAGGGATTTTTTTCGACTGGAATCTTTCCCATATTTGTTTTGGGAATCCATGCTCCATCATGTTACAATAACTTACAGCTTCACCCTGGTATTTCAGCTATTTGCGCATAACAATGTCAACACCAGTCTTTAAAATGTAAATTTCGCTGCGATATGTCATGAACTGTTGTAAATTGATTTTGTAGAAACAGTGTGAAACTGTGTACAATGTAGTCTATTTTGTAACTATGTATTCAGCGGCGTCCGTACATTGACGTCGGTCCCGATTCTTGTTAACCGATATCTCATGAACTGTTGTATTCAATGTTCTAAATTTGGTGACAGCCTACATTGTGGGATTACGCAGACACCAGTCGATTTGGGTGACCTTGACCTTATTTTCAAGGTCACCACAACACTTTGACCACTTTTCTAACTCTTGTTAACGCGATATCTCATGAACTGTTGTATCCAATATCTTCATATTTGGTGACAGCCTACATTAGGAGATTAAGCAGACACCAGTTTAAATGGGTGACCTTGACCTTATCTTCAAGGTCACCACGACACTTTGACCACTTTTCTAACTCTTGTTAACGCGATATCTCATGGACTGTTGTACCCAATGTCTTCAAATTTGGTGACTGCCTACATTGAGGGATTACGCAGACACCAGTTTATTTGGGTGACCATGACCTTATCTTCAAGGTCACCACGACACTTTGACTGCTTTTCAAACTTGTTTAAGCTCGATATCTCATAAAATATTGCACCCAATGTTTTCAATTATGTTTACAGCCTACATTGGGTGATTAGGCAGACACCAGGCATTTCAGGCATTTTTATGTGACCACAAAATAAAAAGTAAATATAGATATTCCATCCTTTAGGACGGGGGACATTGCCATATCAGTGGCAAACACTTGTTTTTATTGGTTTGCCTTTAACAAAATGGGCCTGCAGATTTCATTCAGGGCCTGTAGATTTTAAAGCCTGCAGGCGGCAGCAGGCCCTGAGGGTCAACTGGCATATCAAATTATTGCAAACACTGCATCCCAGTTGCCCTCCACGGCTCTCCATTTAGACCCTCATTGCCATGAAGAATCTCTTTGCAGTCGACTTGAATTTTAGATTTGTATAACTTTGATAATAAAACTGTCGAGTCGTTTTATCAATATCCTATTTTCAAAATTTTATTCTTTTTGATAAACACATTAGATGAAGATTTTTCAAATAACCTGACCATAACTGCCATCATCAATTCCAATTATGAAACAACACACAATTAAAATGAGGTAACAATGCTGTTTGCTGAAAGTACAAGTAGTTTAATCCAGAACAAATCAATAACAATGTCAGTTCTGTTGAATTATGTTATGAAAGTTCAATATATTTTGCATAATCTCACCCTCAGCAAGAGCATGATTCGAGTAACTTCTTCATTTTCTAAGTACAGTCAAATCCCGATGAGTCGAATGCGGTGTCTCCGAATATTATGCATAACTTCGAAGTACCTGTCGGTCCCGACCATTTCCTGTTATAGTTGTCATCATTTGATTTTCTGTTACACGATTTAGTCTCATAAATACACGATGACTATGACTCGAGGAAGGAAATTTGGTCCCATGACATTCAAACAACAGCAATATTGTATACATAAGCCGAAATCAGTCAATGAGAAGTTGATTGTTGTAGCAAACTGATCCAATTAACAAAAAATGCAGCTCACACCTTTCCGCCATTGACAGGTGAGTTCAAAGGCAGATTAGTGATTTTACGGAAATCACTGTCTGTGCTAATCAGACTGGAACTGATAAGGTGCCCTATTAGTGATAGGGAAATCATTAGGTAAACGAATGCTTAGGTGGAGGAATTAGGACTGGATCATGTTTTTTCTACCCTCATAGACATACCTATGTCTCAATACATCGATAAGTCGAATTTATTACTTGGTTCCCAGAGATTCAACTCATCGGATTTTCTAATGTAAGATCATTCCAGTCTCCTTCCATTCCCTGGGGGACTTGACCTAACAAAAGCACTACAATCTGTACTTTACAGTAATCATAAATATAACATATGTTACATTGGAAAAAGATAATTTGTTCTCTTGTATAACTCCTCCCACTTTCCCGAAAACGTTTTTAAATGGACATCCTGGTTCATCTGAAAAAAAATGTGTTGGGGAAAATGTATTTCTGTCCGAAATTTTGGAAGGAGTCACCAGAAAATTATACCATCAACATCAATCCCTTAACACTGAAAAAGCAACCCCTCTCCAGTCCCCAAATATTAAACTGTGGGTCCCTTAACATATCATGGTCTCACGCCAAATCATGTTGTACAGTTCCTGGCCTGATCCGTATCATGTGCCCAGTAATCATGTGTTCAACAAGTCCACACCAATAGTCAGTACACGGGCTTTCAGTTTGAGACAGTTTTATCACAATGGGGAAATGAACCTGGATCTTAGATGTGACATGCAAACTTTCACCACTTGGCCATCCACTGTCCAACCTTCCCCATTGGTATCTCCGTCATTGCTTGCCTCCTAGCAACAGTCTCCTAGCAACCACAACACAGCATTCTTGCTATCACCTCTTCTGTCGTCGTGCTTTCCGTTTCTCCAACTTAGCTAGATATGCTTGAGCTGTCAAAGAAACAGTTACTTTGTAAATGTTTATTATTTATTATGGCATATTCAGCACATTAAAGACAGAGGTGAGGTGAAATAGGGATTAATGTCACGTTCACGAGTACTTAACCTATATGTCTGTCTCTGTACGACCATAGACAAAGCCAACGTTATGTTTTAGTTTAAGTTATTACTGAGTTATCAGGCTATGAGTTACCTGTGTCGGTACTAGCCCGCACAAGGATGGACCAGGGCTTAAACCCCAAATCACAGGTTCCTGATGTGCCCAAGGGCCATAACTCTGCATAAGCAAATTACACTGCCTCAAACAAATGTTTCATATCTACCCTTACCATTTCTTTAAACTATGTGCATTTTGCAAACTATGATGCATTATGCATAGAATGGTGCAAGCCCCAGTATATGCCATCAGTGCATGGTGCAAGCCCCAGTATAAGCCATCAGTGCATGGTGCAAGCCCCAGTATAAGCCATCAGTGAATGGTGCAAGCCCCAGTATAAGCCATCAGTGAATGGTGCAAGCCCCAGTATAAGCCATCAGTGCATGGTGCAAGCCCCAGTATATGCCATCAGTGAAAGCCCCAGTATAAGCCATCAGTGAATGGTGGAAGCCCCAGTATAAGCCATCAGTGAATGGTGCAAGCCCCAGTATAAGCTTAAATAGTACAAAGCTAGTATAAGCCATCAGTGCATGGTGCAAGTGTATAAGCCATCAATGGTGCAAGCCCCAGTATAAGCCATCAGTGCATGGTGCAAGCCCCAGTATAAGCCATCAGTGCATGGTGCAAGCCCCAGTATAAGCCATCAGTGAATGGTGCAAGCCCCAGTATAAGCCATCAGTGAATGGTGCAAGCCCCAGTATAAGCCATCAGTGAATGGTGGAAGCCCCAGTATATGCCATCAGTGAATGGTGGAAGCCCCAGTATAAGCCATCCGTGTGAATGGTGGAAGCCCCAGTATATGCCATCAGTGAATGGTGCAAGCCCCAGTATATGCCATCAGTGAATGGTGCAAGCCCCAGTATATGCCATCAGTGAATGGTGCAAGCCCCAGTATATGCCATCAGTGAATGGTGGAAGCCCCAGTATATGCCATCAGTGAATGGTGGAAGCCCCAGTATAAGCCATCCGTGAATGGTGCAAGCCCCAGTATATGCCATCAGTGAATGGTGCAAGCCCCAGTATATGCCATCAGTGAATGGTGGAAGCCCCAGTATAATGCCATCAGTGAATGGTGGAAGCCCCAGTATAAGCCATCAGTGAATGGTGCAAGCCCCAGTATATGCCATCAGTGAATGGTGCAAGCCCCAGTATATGCCATCAGTGAATGGTGCAAGCCCCAGTATATGCCATCAGTGAATGGTGCAAGCCCCAGTATATGCCATCAGTGAATGGTGCAAGCCCCAGTGCATGCCATCAGTTATGTTATCAGGAATACTTACTGGACTCTCTTCTTCCATGGTCTCCATAGAGACGAGAATTCCTGAAGTTTGCAGCAGATTGAGATATGGCCATTCTTTTCTTCAGATCTTTCAGTGGCATAGCCTTTATTCCAGTCTCACTACAACAAATATTCAGAACAGTGTCACATGGGTGTTCATATAATATGCAAACTCTAAAGTCAAATAGGTTTTGCTTTCAATTTCAACTAACATGATATAACCCTTGTCAGTCTTGACATAGAACTGTTGATGTGTTACTCATGTTTATCCCAATAGTTGTCAAACAACAAGTTTATAGCTGCAATGATATTGTCTGATGTCAAGGATTGATTTAATGATTTTTAAAACATTCAAAACATCTGTATCTGGACCAGGAAAATAGGTGTTTTGTGGATACTTTTCATAAGAGATGAGGAGACTTTTTTGAGAAACCAAATTTAAGAGCGAACGAGTTTGGTTTTATGCCGCTTTTAGCAATATTCCAGCAACATCATGGTGGGGGACACCAGAAATGGGCTTCACACATTGTACCCATGTGAGGAATCGAACCGGGTCTTCGGTGTATTGACGAGCCAGTCGCTTTACCCACTTGGCTACCCCACCAGTACACCCCCAAATTTAAAACTGACATTACAGGTTAAAGAGGATATCATCCTTGTATGTTTTGTAGCATATCCTGTATTGAGAATAAACAATATTTGGGGAGCCATTGAAAAAAAGGATGAGTGAATGAGTAATCTGTGACTCACCGTCCAACCGTGGGATAATAAATACTGTGAGATAGGATAACTTTAAAAATTTGGAAATTTTAACTATAAATTGTATATTTATATACTTATCCTATCTCATGCGATGAATTCCCACCCGACCTTCCCCACAAGACGAGAATGACAATAGTGGGATGTCATGTGACTGTCCTGGGCACTTTGAACGCTTGACAGGGAAGATTGACGTATCCAGGAATGGGAGCGGTGGGGAGCGGTCGGGTGGGAGAGAGGCCAGAAGATTTGATTCAACTTTACCTACTGCATGTTTCCACGCCATGGTCGAAGTAAGAGAGAGAAGTGCATACCGTGAGATAGGATAAGTATAAAAATAACGTTTTATGATTTCGCAATATCTCGATAAGGCACACCAGAAATGAGCTTAATTCAATCCTTGTACCAAATCAAACAAGGGCCCTGAGCATGATGACTGAAATATTTAACAAAGCTTCCCACTGCCTGAATTCAAATCCTTTGTTATCTACTTTAAGACCCGTGAAGGTCCGGGTTAGAATTGGTCTTCAACAACCCATGCACTTCGTAAGAGGCAACTAACGGGATCAGGTGGTCAGGCTCGCTGACTTTGTTGACACATCATAGTATCCCAATTGCGCAGATCGATGTTCATCCCGTTGATCACAGGATTGTCTGGTCCAGACTCGATTATTAACAGACTGCTGCCATATAGCTGGAATATTGCTGAGTGTGGCGTAACACTAAACTCACTTATCTACTTAAAGGGGAAGCTGTGACAAATAACAAATTATATAAAATACTGTCAGCTGCTGATGTAAATATTAGTCAGCATTTTAATGCCATACATATTTACAAAAGTTTATGTATGTCACACATACAACCACTTGATCTATTTATAACATAAACATGACATCACATGTCCAAATATGACATCGAGTGAAACATACCAAACACAGGTAAGTCAGATCTTACCTGTCTACGAATCCTGTCTCAAGAGGTAGATAGTCTTCTGTTTCTTCAAACACAGTCACATGTTTCCTTTTGTCTGGATCTGTCCATGAAACAAGAAGAGTGAGTGAGTATCGTTTTACGCCACTTTTAGCAATATTTCAGCAATCTCACGGCTGGGGACACCAGAAATGGACTTCGCACATTGTACCCATGTGGTCTCAATAACATGGATAACAGGTAACAGTCCTGAAACATGACAACATGCATGATGATCAATTACTTTGAAGAAAGCATGCAATCATCAGTGGAATGGTTACCCTGTTTTTTGGCTTCATGTTTTTTTACACCCTTCTTCTTCTTTCCTTTTTCTGTTTCCTTCTTTTCCTCATTGAGTTTTTCTGGAAGGCTGTTCAGTATCTCATCCGGCAAACGAGACAACGCTTCCAACTTTATCCGCTGCAAGAAATATAGAAGTATATCTTAAAAAGCACAATATGTTCGAGAAATTAGTTCGCGATAAAAGCTGAAATGTGATTCTACTGAAAATATATACATATATAGCACTATGCATGCATGAGTATATGTGTGACTGCCTGTGCTGGTCTGTGCTAATGCTGATTTTATTGCACCAGCTCAATGAGATACTATGCCATAGATTATAACTGATGCCCTACTAAGAAATAGTAAACTGACTGAGCCGACCAGTGCACTGTTCATTCGGAGTGTTGTGTACGTTAACAACAAGTATGAAATGTACATGTCTTTTGTTTGTTTGTTTCTTGACGCCACACCCATCAATATTCCAGCCGTATTGAGGCAGGCAGTGAATAATCAAGACAGGGCTAGACAATCCAGTCATCAACAGCATGAGCAACGATCTACACAACTGCAATACAATGACGTGTCAACTAAGTCAGCAAACCTGCCCACCTAAACCCGTTAGTCGCCCCTTACTGCAATCATGGGTTGCTGAAGAATAGTTCTAACCCTGATCTTCATGGGTTGTTTTTGGTACATGTATTATGCAACCAGGGATGAAACCTAAGTCTTCTCTCTAAGCAGATACATGCGAATCTACTGCACCTCAAAGGTAGTTGAATAAATTTGCCAAAATCATGTAAACCCTCCCTCACTTATGTTACCACGTTTAAAAAAAATACATTTATTTGTTCTTAATGCTGCAATCAGCAATATTTCAATTAAATGACCATACAAACCAGTGGTTGATATTGTGAGTACGGCATGATGAGTGAGTGAGTTTTGTTTTACGCCGCACTCAGCAATATTCCAGCTGTATGGCGGCGGTCTGGAAATAATCGAGTCTGGACCAGTCAATTCAGTGATCAACAGCATGAGCATCGATCTGCGCAATCGGGAACGATGACATGTGTCAATGAAGTCAGCGAGCCTGACCACCTGATCCTGTTAGTCGCCTCTTACGACAAGCATAGTCGCCTTTTGTGGCAAGCATGTGTTGCTGAAGACCTATTCTACCCCGGATCTTCACGGGTAGAAGATGAAACACAATGAACAATTGTGTCACAAAATAGGACCACCTGGTCCAATCAGTCCCCTCAAAGAGCCAGTTTAAGACATATTCAGACCATGGTTTTCATATAGAATCTAATCTGAGATTCTGGACATCGACTGGTACAAAACTCAAAGCTTGTCTTTCATTTCTTTATCATAAGATGTACAAGCCTTTCAAAAGAAGCCTGGCTACCTTTTGTTCTTTGAACTTTTCATCTCTCTGTTTCCTCTTTGCTTTTAACTGGAGTTTTTCCTCTTTCATCTGTGTCATTGCCTGCTTCATCTGGGAAAGTGCTGTTGCCCGTGACTCCGAGAAGCCGACATCCTCAGGAGCAGCATCACTGTCATCCTCATCACTGGCAACATCATCATGGGCTAATTCCAACTCTTCCTCATCATCTAACGAACCTTCTTCAACAGAATCTGCAACCAATACTTTGGTAGCTGTTAATTCCATATTTATTACTCCACAATATTCCAGCTATATGATCACTGCCTGTGAAAAAGCAGACATTGACCAGACAATTCAGAGACCAATATTATGAACAGCAACTGACAACAAAAGGGTACAAAGACCGGCTACTAGAGATCATGCATGTTAAAGTTTCCATACAGTTAGCAGACACGATGGCTACTCATAATGCACAAACTGATGCAGGTGTCAGATGTTTATCACTTTGGAAAAATCCATGATCAAGGGTACTGTGCTCTTAAACTTACGAACATAATTAACCAGGTTTGAATCCATGATCACAAGTTTCTGACTGGCCAAAAGGCATCTGATGTTTCTCTAGACCTATGTCAGGGAGACAATCAAATCAGGCATTAAGCTTAAAGAGCTGTTCACAAGAGAAGGAAGTCTGAAACCAGAAGATAACGAAGGGCACCTTAATCAGAAAGATACCCCAAGACATAAGGATAGAACTGAGGGTAATCTTCCAAACTTCAGTAGATGGGCCTGTTAACTGGAGTTTTATTAATTTTGTTTTCTCCTTGGAATCCGGCATGTATTTTATAACATAAAAGGCGACTTTGTTATGCTTCAGAATTCATATTCTATCACAACACGTCGGGGTTATGAGCAGAAATTGAAAATCCACATTTCAAAGACTGTAGTGCTGAGGCCTCCCTGACTGTAGTTCAGCCAGCTAAACGTTTTGTTCCTACCAAGGTATACTATACACCGAACAAGACGTTTAACTGGCTGAACTACCCTGACTAATGATATTAATATTGTTATCAATATCAGCTGGTTATTGATATACACATATAATATATCTGGGTAAGGGTGTGTATTATGTGTTATGACACGGACCACACTTACACCTCTGATGAAAACTTAAGATATGAATTATGAAACATCAAATTGACGTTCAGAATGTTCATTTCTGAGAATGCAAACTTGACAGACCTTCTGCTTCAACAAGATCCGCTTCGCTGTCAGATTCTTCAGTTTCCTTCGTCTGATCATCTTTTCCGATGTCTCGGAATGCCGGTGTTTCGAATTCGTCATCAGACTCCGGTCTCTGTGTCAGCGCTCTTCTTCCTCGTGGCATATTTGGTACTGACAACACACACGATCCACCAAAACAACAATCGCACGTGCTTCCGGTTACCGCGACGGTTTTTGGTAATTTATTGTCGTAAAGAGATGTAAACAAACAAATGTGACAATACATACGATATATATGTCGTTTAATGGTTATATAATCACATAGTTAGTTATATGTCATGTTGTTCTATGTATATCTATCTATCTGTTGCGATAATAATGAAGGGGAGATAACCCACCATCATTATATATACTCCCTTTACGCGAAATGTTTCCCTGTTTGCTCCTTTTGATAGCGGACTGTCGAACTGAATATCGTGGAATAAAAGCTGACTCCTTACTGTATCGTTTGTTAAAATACTTTTTGTACATTGCAAAATGAGAAAGCAACAAAAAAAAGAGAAAAATATATTCAAGGAATATTTAGAAAAACATTTTGAAATAAAATATCCTTAAATGATTGTTTTGGGTGAGACACCTTTGCAGTATGAGTGAGTGAATGAGTTTAGTTTTACGCCGCATTGAGCAATATTCCAGCTATATGGCGGCGGTCTGTAAATAATGGAGTCTGGACCAGACAATCCAGTGATCAACAGCATGCGTTGCAGTATGAAAGTACATCGAGCGTGATATACTGATGTAATATACGTTGGAAATCAGTAACTGAGGTTTCTTGTTTAGCTACATTGCATGCAAAATTTTGACAATTATTTTAACGCAAAAGATTAAAAGAAAAGACCAACTGACATGTGATATATTTGTAATTTATCATTGAATACACATTGCCTTTTAGAAAATTTTAGCATTTGTTAAATTTAGGATTACACTTTTTTTTGTAAAGGGAACATTTAAGTACGCCCTGGGGCGAGGAACACCTGGAATTCGCACCCACACTCTCAGACTCTCAGAGTGAGACACGAAATCGGGTGACTGATGGATGGGAGACTCAAAAAGTACTGGAATACCCGAAACTTAAATTTGTATTTTACGAAGAAGTAATTTATAGCTATGTGTTAATATGTTAGCAATAAATTATCTTTACTGCTGTGTTACATACCACAGTTGAAAATGTACCAGTATTCTCAAAGGGGTTGAGGGTTGAACATCCGTGACCTAACTGATTGGAAAAAGAGTTCCGTGTCTCGTGGCCGAGCTCTTTCTTGACGTGGCCAAATTTAGAGAATTTTACGTGCGCCTCAGATGGCGACGAGATTATCCAGACAGATGCACGTAGGGTCGGTTCTCCTGTACCTGGGACCTCGACAGTGGATTTATGTATACACTATCGCACCTACTGTTATTCATATTCATATCATAATCACTGTATGACATAAGGCCCGTCCGACCACCCGATGGTCTGGTAAAAAATGTAGATAACATGTTCCATAGATCTGAGTAAATCTTAAAATCTATTTTTCAAATTGAGCGTTACATTTTGACTTGACAATTACTGTTTGAACATTAAACTACATAGGCGGATCAGAAGGGGTGGAGCCCCCTTTGTCCTGAAAGTTTATTAAATGACCATTGAAACTCGGGTGAAAATGAATGTGTACCCTCCCTTTTCTCAATAGTATGCACCCCCTTTCTAAAGCAGCATTGCGTTGACATATTATATTATCACTAAAACTGCGACTAAACAATAACTGAAAATTGAGATATTTTCATTGGATTGTCTAGTCTGGTTAAATCCATTTTGTGCAGATAACATTTTGAAGTTACCGGCCCTGATGTCTGGCTGGGTTTATGGCTTATTTCATACATTGTCATAATTATGTTCATTTTGACCCTTTGGATGTGCTACGATCAAAGGCGAGTATCACGTGCAATACTAAACTGATAATTGCTCAAAGATGGCGAGTTATTGGCACGTGGAATGCTGGAATGTCACCGAGGGCTATTTCAAGGGATGTTGGTTGTCATCCATCGACTATCATCCGATTGGCCAGAAAACATCAACAAACTTATGACGTTGAGGACCGTCAGCGTTCAGGCTGACCACGAGTGAGAACTTTTAGGGAGGATACAACCCTACTCAGAATCACATGACTTCATCCTTTCATGACAATCGTATTGAAACATAATGGCTTCCCCATAGTTGTTTGTCGAACCAGGGATAATCTACAACACGTTATACGTTATATAGTCTCGCTGGTCGAACAGAACAATCCGAAATTGTCTAATATCGGCCGGGTATAGAGCCAGACGACCTACCAGTCGTCCGTTATTACCCAGAGTTCATGGCAGCATGACAAGCTTGCTATCATTTTCGACGTCACTGGAATTTGAGGTCACGGCGAAGGGAACACTGGTCGTTTCCTTGTCTTTGTTTTCTTGGTTCTGATGGTCGAGCTCGTGCTCGCAAAACACAGTGTAATATCCTGCAGCAAGGACCGTTTGGCGGGGGTTCAATAATGGTGTGGTGGTGCCACTTACATAACTGTAAACTTGACCTTGAGACGATCATACATAAATCTGAATGGCCAACGGTACGTCACTGATATCACAGACAGGATTGTTCTACATTTTGATAACCATCCTCTGATTCCATAGAGCATGTTCGGGAAATTAATGATTATTGATACTTGTATGGTTTCGTGAGGATTGTTTGCCAGAATCATGAAAATGGTCGCATTTGTTAACGTCATACGACCATAGTTTTGTTATTTTTTCTGCAGAATGAGTCAAAAGCTTTACATCTTAGCTACCTGAATAAGCTGAAGTTGTTCGGTGTGTGTGTGTGCGTATAATTTGTGTCATTTATGTATTCAATGAAGGCTAATTTATCCAGATAGCAAGTTAAAATGATATGTTGCTTGGCTGTGGTTAATAGTAACATACTGATACTATGATAAATATTGGTTGTTGCGACTCTTTAGTGCATGTGTATGTAAGAATATGTAACAACCCAGATGTCTGCTTTAGCCTTTTTGTACAATTTAACTTGTAGATTGTTGAAAAGCTGTTGGTGCGACTGCTGTATATGTGCGACTGCTGTGGTATGTTGTATATGGTTGTTGTATTTTGTTGTGTATGTTGATGTATGTCCGTTGTTTAGATTGTTGTAATCTTTTAGCAGACGTGTGTTGTGCCTTAAACCTACAATGGTCTAAGTGCACAGTAATTATAAATATGCATGAGTTGTAAAGCACGTTGGTTGGACATATTTAGCATTTCTCCGGTATGGTTGCACAAAATCCAGACAGGAGATGTCATCACCAGGAAAGAGTGCCTTTAAGATACGACAGTCAAACGTCTGTGTTAATGTATGCGCATTTCAGGGGTCCCCTTCGTCGTCCATGTGATGCTTGTCAAGGACGAATGACTATTTAACGTCGCTTTCAGCAAAAGCAATGCATCTATCACAGAATGATACGCCAAGCCTAGGTCCATCAGCCAACTCTGGGGCGGTCTGCAGATGGTAGCCTTGTCGCTAAAGCGTTCGCTCGTCTCGCCGAAGACCCGGGTTCGATTGCCCACATGGGTACAATGTGAGAAGCCAATTGCCTACTCTCACTCCTCTGGATTGCCCTACCCATGTTGGATACTTTCAAAGGCACCCACTCATATGTTCAGTTTGAACGTTAATCAAATTAAGAAAAGCAAGATTTATGGATGTCAACGACGGAGTGTATGCTTGCTCCTTCATCAGGTGATGATGACCCATCTCACATGATGAAGGAGCAAGCATACACTCTGAAACGCTGTGTTATTCACAATAAAGAAGTTGACATCCATAAATCTTGCGTTTCTTATGCATTCCATTTTTAAATTCCCTTCAAAGATTTGATTAATCAAATTCAAAGCAGGCTGTGAAACAGTCGAGCGGCAACATTTTATTAGAAATGATCAAGATATGAACTAAAATTCATGAACAAAAATGAATTCAGTTTCGGGCCTGAAATTACCATGGTTCTATTTTTTAGAAATAATGAAATAGTCACAAACATGTGAAAAGGAAAGACCAACCAAGCGAGGAATTATTTCCGTTGTTGTTGCTGATGCTGTTGTTGTTATTGAGTGAAAGCTAGGTGGATGTCGACAGCATTCCCGTGCTGTGAGGTATCATGTCGTCAGAAACATGCTGATCAAGTTTAACCCCCAAAAAGAATACAACCAAAGATATATAGAGTCTTGGCAAGAAGAGATCTATCGGAAGGATCTGGACCCATGGTTCTTGTTATGGTTCCGTGGCTCTCTGAACGGCTTCCTTGACTTCTTGGAACCGCCGCCGTTCCTGCCTGAGGAGGATGAAGAGGAGGAGGAGGACGAAGAAGAGGAAGATGATGAAGACGAGGGCGATTGAGTGGGGATGTTAAGGTCAAGGCCAAAGTTACCAAATGATGCCATGTCAGAGAACTTCTTCAGCTCGTCCAGAAGCTGCTGAAACTGCAGCTTTGCTGAAAACACAAGGCGAATGGATTAATGCTTTTTGCGTCCGTAAACAACATGTCAGTTAATTACCTCATGGCAGTGTGTGGACAAGGCAAACCGATGGCTGGCATCACCATGAGCAACGCCGTTACGATATGATGTAACACATTCAGACAAGTTGCAAATTGTAAACACCGATCCTCATTTTTCAAGCAACAGGTTTCCTTGCTGATCCGTTTGGAATAGAAGCATAGTTATGCGACATTTTAAAAAACATTATATATTTAAGTGATAATTGTAATCGTATTTATACCAAAGTTGACCACCTTTTCTTAACACCGCAAGGGTCTGGCCTACCACTTCACATACAGCCGTCAATCTCCGAGAACTAACCTATGCTCAAAGGGAAGTAATTATGTTTACCAACAATTCATAGGTTTTGACAGTTACTTCCCTTTGACCATCAAAGGTCTTGACATTTTGTCCGTCGTATCTATGAGTGTTGGTAACGCAACCATCCATCACCATCCAGAGGAACATGAGTATTCGGAATAAATCAGTTGCTCACGATTGGGAATGGTATTCAGTGGTGATTGTAGTTTTTATACGAAATGTATTTTTGGCCCCGTGGTGTTTTGATAACGTATGAATCTTTTTTTATGTTTAGTCATGAACCTATTAGCTTATATTGTTTAAAGGATGTTCATTTTAGTTTGAATCAGCATAGTTAGTGAAATAGTAAAGGGGACAGAAGTTGTTACGCGCGTGTAACCAAAATGTTATTCCATAACACCTCCGACTGTTGAAGACAAAAGTCCGGGTTCGAATCCCCACATGGGTACAATGTGTGAAGCCCATTTCCGGTGTCCATACACCACCGTGATATTGCTGGATTATTGCTAAAAGCGGCGTAAAACTAAACTCACTCACTCGATGTTGTAAACATTATTCATGATGTCGGTGAAAGTGGCGTGGCCTTATTTACATGTTTTATTATGATAAATGATGTGACTTATGATATATGTAATAAAGCTGGAGATACGGTTTTCGAATGGTGGACTTAGGCTTTTTGCAAAAGACTGACTGACTGACTGAGTATGGTTTTACGCCGCTTTTAGCAATATTCCAGCAACATCACGGCGGGGGACACCGGAAATGGGCTTCACACATTGTACCCATGTGGGGATTCGAACCCGGGTCTTCGGCGTGACGAGCCAACGCTTTAACCACTAGGCTACCCCACCGCCCCTTTTGCAAAAGAGGGTAGGCAAGATTTATATTATTATGAAAAATTCTAAAACAGTGCAACTTTTAAAGCAAGACCGATTTCACTTTTTCTGATTTCAGAAACCTGCTTATCTACGTTATACCCTAAAATGTCCTGGTATGTTTTTGGTAAACGTTTAGGCGGTCATGAGTTTACCATGAGAAATATTTGTACATGTAAAGGGTTTTTTTTCTTACAAATAGCAACCGAGGAGATATATTGACATAAATAAGTGAGTAGATACTTACGTTGCAATTATATATACTTGAGTGACTTGAAATTAACGCCGATTCGAAATGTTAAATCATAGTATCGATCGAACCAATGATCTGCTGATCCTTTCACAACTAGGGGTAGTAATTTCGCAGATTAAATTACGTGGCTTTGGATTTGGGCACACGGCGTCCAATATAGAGATTAAAACTATTAATGATTGTCTACAACAAAACCAGATAACAAGATCATTGACCTGGCATTCGTTGTAAGTTAAGCAGGTAGGTGTGAAAAAACCCAACTATTTTGTCCCAGATCCCAGTCTGACTAAAATGTTCACTGAATTGTAACGGGTACACCAAAGGTGAAAAGTTGCAACAAGCTTACAGTAGTCCACGGCTGGTTTCAGTGGCGGTGAGAGGATGTGGTCCCAGTACATGGAGAAGTTGTGGACGGCGATAGCCCTGCGGACATACACGGACAACGTTGTCATGGTAATGAAACAAACAAGTTCGAATTGTCTGGAAATTTGGTAGCATGAGATATCGGTGATAAAATATTAATGATGAACAAGTAACGTTGACCCAATCACTTTGAGAAGTATTTTAATGAACGGTATCAATGACCGTAAAACCCTCCATAAAAAGAACTGGATTTAGACTGGATGGTCTCAAAGTCGCCATTACTGGCCGTGGGAGGCTCCATTCAAAAGGCTTTACTAAAACTGGATGATCTAAAAGTCGCCGTCACTGGCCGTGGGAGGCTCCATGCAACAGGTTTTACTAAAACTGGATGATCTAAAAGTCGCCGTCACTGGCCGTGGGAGGCTCCATGCAAAAGGTTTTACTAAAACTGGATGATCTAAAAGTCGCCGTCACTGGTCGTGGGAGGCTCCATGCAAAAGGATTTACTAAAACTGTAAAACTGGATGATCTAAAAGTCGCCGTCACTGGTCGTGGGAGGCTCCATGCAAAAGGATTTACTAAAACTGGATGATCTAAAAGTCGCCGTCACTGGTCGTGGGAGGCTCCATGCAACAGGCTTTACTAAAACTGGATGATCTAAAAGTCGCCGTCACTGGTCGTGGGAGGCTCCATGCAACAGGCTTTACTAAAACTGGATGATCTAAAAGTCGCCGTCACTGGTCGTGGGAGGCTCCATAAACTGGTCCATATAAAGCATCACATAAACCGGTCTATCTAAACCGTGGTAGCCTCCAATCAAATGTGATACTTACTTAAACTGGATGGCGACAAGGTCGGCAGCACAAGCCGGGGTAGGCTCCATACAGAGGGCTAACGTGAGATTGGATGATCTCAGAGTTAACCGTTGTTGCCTCTATGGAAAGTTGACAGGAGCTATACGTATTTGAACTGGGGTAAATTCCACACAAAGATGCCAGGGTCTATACTCACTTAAACTGGATGGTCTCAAGGTCGAGCTCCCGAGCTGTCGGCGCCTCCCAGACAATGGTGACGGAGTCTCTGCCTCTGCTGACCGACTGAGTCACCCCGCAGTCCGTGATGACCTTGGAGTCAGAGGTCAGGTTCTTCCAGGTGCCTCCAGTGATCCCACTGGACGTCAGGAGAGTCACAAGGAAACCACGGATTGTAAACTCGGGACGCGTGGCCTTCAGAGTCACTGTAACACATGGATGTCACTAAAGCTTTTACAAATCTCATAATGCATCAACAGTCAAATTTCGGGAAGACAAGTGGTGCTTGCGGGGCACGCTGATGATCTGGGTTCAGTCCCCAAATGGATGCGATGACTACTTGGTTTGACCCGGTTTGATATAGCTGTACTTTGTGATTTGGTACTGAAAATGGTGAAATGCCATTCCCATTCATTTGTCCCACTGACATACACGATCTTCAGTGGTTAGAGAGCATCGATATCTGCGCAGCGCGAAGAAGGAAGGTGATTTTAGCACTGGTCGAGTCTTACCAAAAGATCACATAAAGACCCGGGTTAGAATTGGTCTTCAGCAACCCATGCTTGTCGTAAGAGGCAACTAACGGGATCGGGTGGTCAGACTCGCCGACTTGGTTGACTCGCTGACTTGGTTGACACACGTCATCGTATCCCAATTGCGTAGATCAATGCTGATGCTGTTGCTCACAGGATTGTCTTGTCCAGACTCGATTATATACAGACCGCCGCCATATAGCTGGAATATTGCTGAGTGCGGTAATATTCACTCACTCATTATGGCAAAGTGGAGTGAACACTGCAAGTAGACCCTGTTTCTGAACTACAATAAAATCTCCGAGATGTAGTTATATTTCCCGTCATGGCTCGTGTGTTTCGAATGCAATTTGGTATGTTTATAGAATGACTGTGTGCAGGGTGACACGTGTGACGTCATCGTGTCACATCGAGGAGTAAGCACGTGCTCCTGGACGGAACGAGTTGCCCGAGGCCGTCACATGACGTTTTATTGCTCGCACAAACATTATCTTTCATTAAAAAAAGATACAACGTGACACGACGATTAGCAAAGTGATTCATATTTTCGCTGATGCGATTCGTTGGGGAAATGGTATAAAAAAAAATAATTTCAGCTGAACCAATCCTTGAAACTCGACATTTGCTGTTTTAAATAATGGCACCAATCCTCATTCCAGGAGTTGGTAATAAACTGATTGATAACTCTTATACATACCGTTGTAAAATTGTATTTTAGAATTAACTATAAGTATAACGTTATATTCCTCATGTACAGGAAGCCTTTGGTACCGACAGTTTACTTCCCATTATATAGTCACAAAAAATTACGATGGTTCTTTGAAGACAGTCGCCTGAGCAAACTTAGTAGTGACGTCACAGTTAACCAATGTCTTCTCGCAAAGTGGATCAGCGGATTCTGATTCGGTCAGTATAGGAAGAACATGAAAACGGCGAATAACGTTACAAGAAGAAGTTGATACACATATATAATCACGTTTTGCGAAGTAAATCCGGATAGATATATAATATCTTGTGACGGCCCTGGCTTTGTCATGCTTAACTTGACATATTTGAAACCGGATAGTTACTGTCAGTAGAACGTTGGTCACTTCATAAAGGCAAATAAATTATTGGTATCACAACAAAGAATTGGTATTTGCAAACGCTCAGGTGGTGGATTTGAGAGACCACTGACCAGGGTATCCAAATATCCGTGATAAATAATACGTTTGTTTGGATTGTAGGTTGTTCAACGCCGCAATTAGCAATTGTCCAGCTATATGACGGCGGTCTGAACTTAATCCATTCCTGTACCAGACAATCCAGTGCAATTACGATGACATACATCAACCAAGGAAACCGACCACCTTACCCCGTTAGTCACCTCTTACGACAAGCATGGATACGACAGTACCAATTCTAACCCGGATCTTCAGGTGATACAATACATTAACTGAAATTTGCCTTTTTCTGATACCTATCGCTGCCTTACAGACTCTGGGTTAATTCACATTATTCGTCAGGACCAAACCCACGCTATCGTGGTTCATCGAAGCGAATAATGTCCAAGGCTTCTGGGTTTCTGTGCGTGAGAATGGGCTTTCCCTCAAGATGACACGCGTCATAAACCGAACTTAACACATGCAATACACTCTCTTGTAAATTTCTAAATTGACACTCAGGAGAACAAAACGTTTATCGCTCGAAGTGAAGAATAATTCAAGAAAGACACCCTCACCTGCCACCGACTGTCCTGTCCCGTACGTCCGTCCGCCATGGGTCACGTTGAGTTCAAGGACGTAAGGGGCTGGCGTCCATTGTGCCAGAAACTCATCGTGCATTGGGCGACTTGTGTAGCATCCCAGTTCTGGTGCTCCGTCGGGGTAGGCCACGGACACGACAAACAGTGCGAAAAACACAAACAAGGACATGCTGACACGGAGCTTCAATACAATCTGACGACAGTTCCAGAAGAACCTTTAGAGGCACGATGTCATCAAAGGAACGGGACGTGTGATGTGACGTTGCAAGTCGGCGGCAAAACCTTAGTGAAAAATCTCTGCCACGACCACGTGTGACATTTGACAGGTCCCAGTGATTGGCACGAGAGTTACACGCCCAAACAACTGAGTCATGTGCCCATCGTCCGTTGAAGAAGGGAATGGTACAACCGAGAAAATATAGCGAAATTAAATCACGGCATCGTTAATTTTTTTTTCACATCTGTGACATATATGTCGCGGTTCAAATGAGGAAAGTTGTTATAATATTTATTATGGAGATATCACAAAAAACTTAAGACATGCTTGGCTGAATAATCTGAGAGGTTACATTGTCTCATGGTAGTTACATGAACACATGTGCACATCTGACAAGACTGCGTGTCAAGCCAACAGGCTGAAGACATCTGGGCTGTCCCAACTGTTTTCTGAAGGGTAGTGGCCTATTTTCTTGCGTGTCATGTGAAACTAATCCTAACAGCACCGTTGGGACGATGGGTGGTTAAGTCGTTTTTACGTTTGGCGAATCATGCCGAGAACAAATCAGGGTTTCGTTTCATACATGTATATTCTTAGTGATCCATGATTTCGCTGAAATACAGACAGAAAGTACGTGTAACCTGTCCTTCTGTTACATCTTCTCACTAATTTGTATTCAATGAATCATCACATATCGCCATATCAGTTTAACAAACATTTTACGTCAGTATTTAAAAAAAGGACACATGCGGTGCATTGTTAACAGTTTTCGAAAAGGATTACTTCATAATGTACTGAACAACATTAGACATGCACCACCCATATAATACGAAATACCCCCGTCAGACTGAAATGTACCCATGATATCTGAGCATCGTCGGTGCAATTTAGTGTGGTGCGTTTCTAATGTTGTTCAGTATATATTTCGCCAGCAAGCACGTCCTCTTTTAGTTTACCCTGTTCATTGCTTGTGGGGAATCAGTGTACACATCGTCCCCGATAGTTTGGGAACAGTAAGAAAAACGCTGACAGTTGGGGTTTAGTAAGCAAGGTTGGGGTTTAGTAAGCAAATACGTTGTTCTTTACAGAAGGATCTGTGGCTGAGTTGTTATAATATAGCTGACTGTGTGCGCTTACGGTTAAGTGCCTCACTTTAAGTGTACGGGTTCGAATCCCTGATCGGAATCCAACGAAGAAAGTGTTAGAAATTGCAGTCACCGAGAAATAAAGTGTTATCCAAAATACATTTGTTACACTTGGCCACTTTCTAGTCATGCGAGTCCCCCCCCCCCCCCAGAGTGAGTCGAGATTTTAAGCTGGAATTAGTTCAGCCATAAAGTGGCTATACCAAATTTACTGTACACATTTACACAAGTCCATTATTAACACAAACTCACACTCAAAGCAAGGTTCCATATACACAATCCATACTATTTATAATTTGAAAGATATGATGTTTCGGAGAGGTAGAGGACGCTGGTTTGGACATTTACTGTGCTCATCATTCCACAAAAATCAACCTCCACAAACTCATACGAAAAAAACTTTACCTTCTCACAAGCTTGTTTTTTCAAATAGCATGGTTTGGATCTAAAGAAATGCTAAAATACTTATGTTTGCCAATCAAGACAAAGCAATTAGCCTCAGAGTAAGAGCTTATATGTCAGAACAGTTTTAGAGATCCCTTAGAATGTTAAGCCCAGATTGTTAAGATCATTCAAGCTATTTTGTGGCAAACACTTAATTAGTTGGAAAGTCTGACCTGGCCACTCCATATCAAATGTCAAAATCTCCAAAACTTATAGTCTTGAATTTGTTCCTGCATGAAAGAAGTTTTCCTCTGCTTTAAGCAATATTCTAGTATTAAACAACACGAACTGGACACCAAATGTCTTTTGAGAATCAAATCTGGAAACTTTTTTGACAGATGAACTGGGCTAATCACACAACATTCTCAAAACCCATGTTGGAAGATTTTTTAGTCCAAATGCCATGTGGCACTGACAACACACAACCATTATGTGATGCTGAAGTGAGTGAGTGAGTTTAGTTTTATGCTGAACTCAGCACTATTCCAGCTATATTGCGGTGGTCTGTAAATAATCGAGTCTGGAACAGACAATCCAGTGGTCAACAGCATGAGCATCGATCTACGCAATTGGGAACCGATGACATGTGTCAACCAAGTCAGCGAGACTGACCACCCTATCCCGTTAGTCGCCTCTTACGACAAGCATGGGTTACTGAAGATCAATATTCTAACCCGGATCTTCACGGGTGGTGACGCTGAAGAGTGAACTAAGCACAACAGTAGCTACAGATAGAAAAAGAAAGCCATAATCGCAAGGGGGTGTCTTATTAATTTTTATGACCTTTTGACAAACCAACATGTAACAAAAATAATTTATATCAACAGTAACTACAATATAACAATTCTAGTAACTCTTGTTTCTACAACATACTCATTTTGCTCAACGAAAAAACTGATAAGGCCTTAATACATCAAGCCAAATCATAAAGGTTTTGTCAAGTCGACTGATTCATGCCTTGTTCAACATAGCAATCTTTGTGCAATGGTGATTGTAACTTAAAAGCTTTAACTGGCTAGATGTACCCATTTTACGTCCATTAGGGTTGGGGAGGGGTGGGGGGTGGGGTGCCAATGGTTTAAGCGTCCCCCTCCTCACACTGAAATCCGGGTTCAATTCCCCACAAGGGTACAATGTGTGAAGCTCATTTCTGGTGTCCCCCTCGGTCAAGTTGCTGGAATATTGCTTAAAGCGGTGTAAATCCAAACTCATTCACTCACTCATGTTAGGGTGAATGAATGAAATGAACTCACTGATTTCATTCATTCACCCTAACATGAGTGAGTGAGTTTGGTTTTAAGCCGCTTTTAGCAATATTCCAGCAATATAACGGTGGGGGACACCAGAAATGGGCTTCACACATTGTTCCCACATGGGGAATCAAACCCGGGTCTTCGGCATGATGGCGAACACTTTAACCACTAGGCTACCCCACCGCCCAGGTCGGGGAATTAATGGATATCAACACACCTGCTATATGTTGTAATAAAATACTGTTTCAGAAAACACAGAAAAAGGTCTGGCCTCATATCCAACACAAGAAAATAGCCTTAAAAATATTATATGAAACCTTCAACACTGGGAGCAAAAGAAAATCAAAATGTTCAATTAATACTAGAACACCCAAACCATCCAACAACATCAGCATGATCAAGAACCAATCAACAGCATGCACACCTATGCAATGTGGGATATGATGACATGTATCAACCAAGTCAGCAAGCCTGACCACACGATCCTGTTAAGTCGCCTCTTACAACAAACATGGACCTAGAAAACCCAAAACATCCATTGACATCAGCATGATCAACATGATCAGGAACAAAAAAAATCTTTTGAATGCATAAAAAATTATTGGCAACAAGACTTCTAGATAGATAACTAACAAAAACTACTACTTAAATAAACGTAATAGCTTCTTAGGCATGCTTACTAGTGCATTGCAAATTGGAAACATTTACCAAGTTTATTTGGCCTCGGTGAATGTGACAGAAATGTTTTCACTGGTTATTGTCTTCGAAGTTTTAATTAATATTGTCAACATGGTCAAAACATGTCAAAGAATTGTTTTGTTATTGTTCCACTGAATATAATGAATACATCCACTGATGACATGCATATTCATTACCCTATATTTGTGATATGTATTGTATTGGCCTCATAGTAGATTTGTTGCAGCCATAATTGGATATATAAAGCAACCTGGCTTCATCTTTATTGTACACTAAGCTGAACCAAAGCACATAAACTTTTCAAATCAACTCTTTTGCAAATATTATCAGTATCTTAAAAACCCAACTGATTTACAACAATACAACATTCACTTGAAAAACATGCTTAGAAATTCAGTGTAAAACTGGCACAGAATCACAGATTCAAATCTATTTACTATGTCGTCCTGTTAACAACTTCACAGGTGTTAATAAACTTTTCATAAGCCTCCAGAACTCTGTACTTGCCCGCTGGGAAATCGTGCTCCCAGGAGTGTTTGGTCCTGGTGAAATCTTGGCTTCTCTGTTCACGAGCCTTGGGCTCTTTCTTTGATTCTTGAAAGCAGCACTTGACAGTCTAGGGGAATCAGTTCTTTTACCTCTTTGTTGAGGGTAAACAGATGTAATTCCTTGAGAATGTGAACTCCTTAGTTTTTCTGTCAGTTTAGGAACAATAGGTGACATCACCATTGCTTCTACTGAGTTCTTCTTCATAGTCGATGGATGCAGTTGATTGTCACAAAGTTCTGATTGTTTCTTTCCAGAAGAACTATTATGCCTGTCTTCAAGAGTAAATCTAGGCCTTTTGGTACTGCTGTTACTGTTTTCAGGCTCAATATTGTGGGTGGACTGTTTTCGTTTTTTCAGGCAATCTTTCACTTACCAAAGATGGTGAACTTATGTTCCTAGTGGATCTACGATTAGGAGTGTCATGATTGTTTTTCTGCTGATTAAAAGACCGCAGAGACACTCTAGATAACTCAACAACAGGCTGAAAGTTGTTCTGACTAAAGTCACTAATAAGCCTGTTCGTTTTGTCTGATGTGTACCCTTTCTGTACTTTTGTCCCCTTTTCACAAGTGTTCTCAGCCTTCTTTCCAGTCGCCTGATGACTTTCACTTTTTAACCTGACATGAAATAATAGCATGTAAGGATATGCTTCCAGTGTCTTTCCATTCTGCTTGAATCCCAATTTTTCAGAAGCTTTCCAGTATTTCTTTTCACAAGAGACAGTAAGCTCCTTTGTGTCTACCAACCTCAACAGCTGGCCCCTCTCCTCAGCGTACAACACTGCTCGAATTACAGGCTCCACTTTTTCAAAAGCAATCACTTCGTCTGATTTGGATATTTGGCGTGATTCTTCAAAAGTGACCTTGACCTTGTAAACATTGTTCTGATGTCTGATGATGCGCGTGTGTTCAACCATGATGTGAAAGGGAAGATGTTTTGACATTGAAATGTCTGATTTTCTCCCTTGACTTCACTCTGAAAATAAATAAAAAACTCATGGTTAGCCATGAAAAACATGATATCATAATCGGAAAAGGCAGCATAATGACGAGACCCCCAAAGGGACTCAAGATTAGAATAGTTAAAAACAGCAACCATGCTGACTGTAAGAAGTAAACAAACTGACCCAGTGGTTAGATGTGGCTACTTGGTTCATTGTGTGTCATTTTAACCAAGTCGCATGGATTGTTCTATATACACTGACAGCATAAATCACTGGAGAATCTTGTCCAGACTCAATTATTTACAGAACGCCATCAAATAACAGGAATATTTCTGAGTGTGGTAATAAACAACATACAATCACTGGAGATGTTCATTTTCATTTTCTTGGGCACTAGCTGAGTTTGATTTTAAAAAATGATATCATACAGAAAAGTACCGTATGCCAAAATCAGATTACACTAATTTACAGCCCAAGGTCTTTTCAACAGTTCATCGATTAGCCTAGTCTGTCATACAGACCCTGAAGCAAATATATCCAAGAAATCCCACGCAAGTCTAGAAAATGTGGCAAGTCTAGATTTCCACAGCTTCAGGGTCTGTACCAATCTCAGGCCTACCATACAAGCGGTGAATAAATCATCAAAACTGAACTCATATACACCAAAACAGAACAAAAATCACCAAAATAGGAAAATAAACTTCCCAAACTGCAACAATATCCTCGAAAACCGAAACAATATGTTCATTTCAGAGACTAGTTGTTAGTCTGGCTCAGCAGACGACAGACCGAAAACAATACCATAATCTACCCAAGACTTTGCTGAATGACAAAGACTGCCGACTAATACATTTTGGGGCTTGTTTCAGCACAAGCAATAATATTATTGAATGACAAAAAATGGACGCGACATTGATGATCAGCTGATGATGGCAAATCTCGTTTGTATTCAATTTCCTTCCTGTTCATATGGTTTCATACAGCAATCATGGAAGGGAGAAAATCCGTTTGAAAATCAAAGAAACCAGTTGATACGATACTCGACATTGATGATCAGCTGATGATGGCAAATCTCGTTTGTATTCAATTTCCTTCCTGTTCATATGGTTTCATACAGCAATCATGGAAGGGAGAAAATCCGTTTGAAAATCAAAGAAACCAGTTGATACGATACTCACAGTGTGCTAATAAGATGCCGATTCATTCGAAGACCAAGAATTAAACTTAACTTGAAACGTCTGCTGTCAATATAACGATATTGACATTTTGTAAATGGCGGCACACAATAATAAGTGTGTTTCTTTTGCTGCCCTGCCGTGTTATGACGTCTACACCAATGGATCATGTCTTCTGGGAACTCAATATTCTTTCCTAAATTTTAGTTTCAAAGGAAGAGAGAGAGAGAAATACTGCTTAATAACAACAAATGATAGTTAAATTTAACACTCTAACGTGCATGACCCAATAATAAAAATACATGTTCAGTGGAAATAAGGCACCTGTACCCATTACAGTACCTATATACGTTCTCTTGCATGTGCGTTCTGCAACATATATACAATACATGTACATTAGCAATTACATGGTATATTGCGAAGTTTTGGTGATCATACTATATAGATTTTGTTCCCGATGCATAATATTTATTAACGTAAATACATGAGAATTTTCTTTTTTTTAATTTGAAGGTCATTCAAAAACGTGAGATGGAGTTTTGAAGCCGAAATACGCATTATATCGGAAAGCGTACGTAAATCTCCAACTAATAATCATATTAATCTACACTTTTGATGGGTAGTATATATATACTACCCATTCAAAGTGTAGACTAATGGTGAAACCTGTGTCATGCCGACAATATCTTATTCTCATCTATTATTGTAATCTTTTGCTTAGTTTCTACATTCGAATTTCGGGCTAGTGAATTATTTTGTGGGCAAGTAACTTTCAGGCATAGCTAGCCCGACTGGCTAACAAAATTTGGAAACTATTTTGCACACTAGATCAGCTCATTTGTACATAAATTTAGATAACCACAACTTTTATTTTTCTAACAAATTTTTGCAGTAGAGATAATGGGATCTAACAACAGTTCTCTCAATAATCAATCACACGGACGCACACGCACGCACGCACACGCCCATACCTTCAGTACACTTTATTTAGCTTTTCCGCCTGACATGACCTGTTACATTTTTAAACATTTACACAGGAAACATTATTTTATTCCCGGTATTTACCTTTGATATATACTTTTACACTCATTTCTTTTATACTCAGATGCCTACATGGCATTTTCTGCGTACCGTAAAAATAAATAGATAAAAGAACGAAGTGCGCAGCCAAATAAGTATCAGATTGCGTGAATTAAGTTGCATTGGGCTTATCTGACAAGAACTCAACTTTCAGAGCATTTCAAAGCCATTGCGTGAGATTGACAAAGGGAAACCACTCTTCTCAACTGTTTCTTGTAATGGAGGTAATATAATTTCTACCGGTGTTCATTTGTATTGCTCCTCCTGTAATTGTATCCCCAAACTGCAGTTTCAAGAGACAATAATTGTTGCTTATTTAACACATTGTTTAGTACCACTATGTTTCCCACAAAACTGGTATATTACTGTGTTAACCAATATATCTGCGATTTTTAAGCCATTCATTACTAACACAAAAAGCTGATAATGCTGGATGTTTTCAACGTGGGTAATAAAAAACTATTTCACTGGTCGCACGTTTCATCAGCCGGTAAACAGGGCTAGAACCTTTCCGGATAAGTATTGCAGACGAATAGTTGACACAACAACCAAGTCGATCATGCCGACGATATCGGTCCAGAGAGAGATGAGCTCTTCAAAGCGCTTGGGAGAACGTACAGTAAGCGATTTTGATTTATAGCCGTAACAGAAGGCGTGGTCTGCTGTTGGCTGTTGATTATTTCAATTTTGGTGTATCAACTATCATCAATATGTTGTGATCTGTTTGATGACATCAAGATGTAACGTTTTGCAGTAGGTAGCCTCTGATCTTGTCACTGTTTACAGAAGAAGGACGGTAATTACAGATTACAATTATGGTTTTGTGGAATGTGCAGTGAATGAACTGGGGGAATCTAAGTGTTAAACTGAGTGTTACAGCTAACATATGCTTTTCAACAAGCACATCACTCTTTCGAATCAGTAGAAACTTTAGGCTGAGCCTTGCAAAGACCAAGTCTCAGGGGAATTAGCAGACAGTAAAGCACAGTCCTCTTCAGAAGCAGTATCAATATGTGTGCTGTCAATAATTAAAAGTTACAATTTACCTGAATAGTAATATGTTTGTTCTTTAACACCACAATCAAGTCGCAACTAGATAGTCCAGTGATTGACAGGGGGGCGGTGGGGTAGCCTAATGGTTAAAGCGTTGGCCCGTCACGCCGAAGACCCGGGTTCAAATCCCCACATGGGCACAATGTGTGAAGCCCATTTCTGGTGTCGCCCGCCGTGATGTTGCTGGAATATTGCTAAAAGCGGCGTAAAACCAAACTCAGTCAGTCAGTCCAGTGATTGACATCATGAGCATCGATCTACGACTTGGGATATGATGACATGTGTCAACCAAGTCAGCTCGTCTGACCACCCAGTCGTGTTTGTCCCATCTTATAACAAACATGGTTTGCTGAAGATGAATTCTAAACCATATCATCACGAGTCTGAATAGTGATAACAATGTTATGAAATACAAGGGCACTCTTAAACTTTGTTAAAGTGATGAAATTCTACTGTTCATGGTGATAGATAGTGTTCATGTGGTCCAAAAATCATTCATCACTTCACGTCTTTACAGATTTTACACATAACAAATTGTCCTTGTATTTTCAGCTGATGAGGAGTTTGATGAGCTTTGTTTTGAATTTGGTATCGAACTTGATGAAGTGGTAAGTAATTCTGCTGTTTCAGTTCCAGTCTGTAACCTGTCAATGTTAATTAAGTTATGTTTATTGATTTCATCTTCCGAATGTTATACATTGTCTCCAGTATACATAGAAATTACATTTCTGATGAAATATGAAATTGAAATCGCATTAAAATCACCAATACAAGATCTCCCTGAAGGCAGATTGTCAGTGTGCACAAGTGTAGCATTTAGACAGGAATGTTTGATTTCTGTGTCTCAAAATTGAAAAATTGAATATGGATTAAATAATGCTGCACTTTTATTTATGTTCTTGGGCAGTTATTTAACATACTGTACTACATCTGTACCCAAAAGTATAACTTTGGAGCATATACATTTGTTTGACAGTGTTGTTTGTCAGAGATCAGATATTTCCACTTACAAACGGTAGAATTGGTTTGTTAATGAATTCTGTAGATTTTCTTCTATACGTGAAAAAAATATCCCCAAAATACAGAATAACTTTCTGGTCAACCTTAGAGAGTTGCCAAATGGAATCATGGTTTGAATAGGTCCCAAGCAACTATCAGTATACAAGGCAACATATTGTATCAAGGTCAGGCTTGGGGACTTGTTTGCAATTGATAGCTTGATGATGTGGATCATGACAGTAATCAAGGTTTGTCTGGTTCAAAATCAATTATTTACATGCTACATAGCTTGAATATTTGTTGACAGTTGTGTTAACATGATTAAGTGAAGAGTGAAAGTTAATTTATATAAAACTGAAACTGAAATGTTTTATAATAATCTTTGCAATTATCATGAATAAATATGACCATGAAACAATTTTTTGTCCATGTTATATATTGGGGATAACTTAGTTGGTGTGTTATGTTGTTTGATCTGAAGAGACATAATACATCCGTGTTCACGAATAGCGTCTGACCCTCTCACAAATCCGGCAGATTCGCCAACGGTCTGATAGAAGTCTAAAACCCACCAGCCCCAGTGTCTGACTGTTTGTTTCACAATGACTTTGACTGAAGTTGTTATATGTGACATGTGACACTTGTTTGCTGTTTATAAATCTTATGTTTGTTAATAATTTCAATGCCAATTATAAGAAATGTTCAATCTGAAATGTGTGTTTAATTTCATTCTGTGGGTCCTGTGAATTTTCAATGGGTCAGGGGGCGGTGGGGTAGCCTAGTGGTTAAGCGTTGGCTCGTCATGCCGAAGAACCGGGTTCGAATCCCCACATGGGTACAGTGTGTGAAGCCCATTTCTGGTGTCCCCCGCCGTGATGTTGCTGAAATATTGCTAAAAGCGGCGTAAAACCAAACTCAGTCAGTCAGTCAGTCAATGGGTCAGACAGGCATCTGAAACTTGCAGGACCCAATATCCTGTTACTTTGAAACACCATTCGTGAACACTGATACATGGAATCCCTTCTTGTGACAGACAAGTGAGAAGGAGCAGATTGAACGAGAGCAAGGGAAGGAGAAGGCGTCTGGAGCATCGGATGCGGTGGAGTACAAAGTGGAGGTGCCCGCTAACAGGTACAGGGATACATTGTCTGGTTTACAAGCTGGTTATCACGAAAGGGGCCTTTATGGGGATTCAGGGTCAGAGAATTGGTCCCCGGCAACCTGTACTGGTGGTGAGAGGAGAGTTAATGGATTTGGGTGGCCAGGCTTGGTTGATTGCTTGCCATCATACCCCAGTGGCGGGAATCATTGTCCACTGTAGTCTGATCCAGACTCGGTTATTTACAGGCCAACTTATCTGGAATACTGCTGAGGGTGACATTTAATTAAGGAGAGAATTAATGATGGAGGGAAGGGGGATTATGATTCGCCAACATCACATATCATGTTAATATTGCATGTTGAGCCACAGTGTTAACATTCAGGGTATGATCTGTGTTGGGAATTAGGTTAATGTCAGACAGGGTTTAGCTGACATGAGGCTGTGCTATCAACCAGTGTCTACCAAACTTGCCTGATTCATCAGTTTACAGTTTTCTAAAAGTATCAGTTTTGTATTAGAATGCAAATCAGGTCCTAAGTTGGCTTTTTTTGTTCAATCAAAGCTTGTTGGTTATCAAATATCGGTACAGTATCTGACCAGGAAAATATATTAAAATTGAATTCAATATTTGTTACTCTGTGGAGTTATAAGCAGGAGCAAATGTCAGTAGAAATATAAATGAAAAGAAAATTGCTTGGTTAGCAGAGAAAGTGTCACAGAATCACTTGCAGTTTATGTATAAATGTCTTTGAAATATTGACCAGATGATGATCTTGTTTTCAGATATGACTTGCTGTGTCTTGAGGGGCTAGTTCGGGGACTACAGGTGTTCCTGGAGAAGTAGGTAGCTTGGTGCTGCTTCTGATAGATTGTTTAGTCGTATATATTCATTGTTGTGATGGGGCGGTGGGGTAGCCTAGTGGTTAAAGCGTTGGCTCGTCACGCCGAAGACCCGGGTTCGAATCCCCACATGGGTACAATGTGTGAAGCCCATTTCTGGTGTCCCCCGCCGTGTTGTTGCTGGAATATTGCTAAAAGCGGCGTAAAACCAAACTCAGTCAGTCAGTCAGTCAGTCATTGTTGTGATTATAAGTATTAACTGTCACCTTTCTCAAAATAGGGGTAGTTATGAGTATTACTTTGACTGAAATGTATGACATTAAAAATATTGCAAGTAAGATTGTGAAATAACACACAAAGTGGCCTTTTATTCTAACCAAGAATAATGCTTGCTTGGTTGCTTGAAGGTTAATAACTTGCCATCAACATCCTTATTTGTGACAAAACTATATTTTTAAGAGTTCAATGGAAGCGCTGGCTCAAATGGTGACATATATTTTCAGGATGAAAGCCCCCCGATACAAGGCAGTGGCTCCCTCTAGCGGCTCGATGCAGCAGCTGATTATATTACCTGATGTATGTACACATGTTGGCAGTTGTATTATTAGTTAAGGGGTTATCTAGGCTTTCTCAGGGGTCAATGTTCAGACTACAGCAAAAGTCTCTAAAAATTCCCACTTTGGAATAAAATTTCTCCTTACTGTGGGGAAGTGAAAATGGGAACAAGGCCCCTGCAGTCATGGCAAGTTGTGTTCCCCTGGTACCATGATCCTCAAGTCATTACCCGTGAAGATCCGGGTTAGAATTGTTCTTCAGTAACCCATGCTTGTCGTAAGAGGCGACTAACGGGAATCTGAGTGGTCAGTCTCGCTGACTTGGTTGACACATGTCATCGTGTCCCAATTGCATGGATCGATGCTCATGCTGTTGAGCACTGGATTGTCAAGTTCGGACTATTATTTACAGATGGACTCCATGTAACTGGAATATTGCTGAGTGCAGCGTAGAACTAAACTCACTCTGGTCATTAGTATGAATTCCAGATCTCTCTGGATCGTGGTAATTTTGTCAATATCATAGCTGGACATTTTGAATCTCCATCTCTGATTGTTTTTTGCTAGTTTTATGTTGTCAGTCATGATGTTTTGTCGATGTATTGCAGCAACTCAATCCAGCTTCATTCATTTGTTCTATTACAGACTGCTAAAATTCGACCATATGCTGTGGCAGCCACTCTGAGAAACATTAAATTCACACCAGTAAGTGTGTCTAAGGGTTGCTTGAAAATGATACATCTTCTTTTTTTTACATAATCATCAAAGATTACATTCAAGCTGGACACTTGGTTAAATGTCCCCGATAAATAAATGGGGAGTACTGGGACAATAGGCCTAATTTACCAAAGAAATTCCTGTGGCTTGAAGGATTTCATGTTGTACTTGACCCTAAGAGAAGACTTCTTGGTTCGAATTAGTCATTCAAACCTATGCTTTTTGTAAGAGTCATCCTAATACAAAAAGTGGTGAGATGATTGCGTTGCCCATCCCCGAGAGTGATCCACACTGCTTACAACATCAATCACTGGATTGGAAGGTCCAGACACAAGCCGCTGAGCATTCTTAAACATATGAAAGGGGGCGGTGGGGTAGCCTAGTGGTTAAGGCGTCCGCTCGTCACTCTGAAGACCCGGGTTCGAATCCCCACATGGGTACAATGTGTGAAGCCCATTTCAGGTGTCCCCTGCCGTGATGTTGCTGGAATATTGCTAAAAGTGGCGTGAAACTAAACTCAGTCAGTCAGTCAGTAAACATATGAACAAACACATGGTAATGGTTCATGCGACTCACTTAGCAATCTGCTGTATCGTTACAGGAGAGGTACAGAAACTTCATCGACCTCCAGGAGAAACTTCATCAAAACCTATGCAGGTTAGTTCATCCGTTGATATCCTGTGTTGTTAAGCTTGAGGAGAGGTGGGGTAGTGGTTAAAGCATTTGTTCATCACGCCAAAGATCTGGGTTCGATTCCCCACATGGGTACAATGTGTGAAGCTCATTTCTGGTGTTCCCTGCTAAAAGCGACATAAAACTTCACTCACTCACTCACTCACTCACTCACTCACTCACTCACTCACTCACTCACTCACTCACTCACTCACTCACTCACTCACTCACTCACTCACTCACTCACTCACTCACTCACTCACTCACTCACTCACTCACTCACTCAGTTTGATTATTTGACCTACGTTTCAGCGTAGCTGACATTCTCAAACAATTTCTTCCCATATTTCATTTCCAGGAGAAGAACTCTGGTTGCTATAGGAACACATGACCTTGACACTATCCAGGGACCCTTCACCTACAATGCCAAACCTCCATCAGAGATCAAGTTCCGGATCCTGAACCAGGAAAAGGAAATGACAGCCCCAGAAATAATGGAAACATTATCGGTGAGCGGAACATTTCTCTTATACTTGACCTTGACCCTTGTTGGCAGGTATGGAGGTCATATGTTCTCAGCTTTTGTGTACTGTTATGTTGGTGTGTACTTTTTTTATTTTCAAAACAAATTTAAAGCAGTTGATATATGTCCTCTATCATCACACCCCATGATTTTGTTGGAACAGTTCCCTTGAAAACAGGGGCGGTGGGGTAGTCTAGTGGCTAAAGCGTTCGCTCGTCACACCAAAGACCCGTGTTCGATTCCCCACATGGGCACAATGTGTGAAGCCCATTTCTGGTGTCCCCCACCGTGATATTGCTGGAATATTGCTAAAAACGGCGTAAAACCATACTCACTCACTCACTCACTCACTCCCTCCCTTGAAAACAATAGGGCCCGTAAGTAGGTCACGGCACTAAGTGAGACCTGTCACTTCCGGTGACAAACAACGTTTTATACATTATCTGATGGTGTCATGGTTGTCAGTTGACAGTAAGGAACTGATAATCTTTGCAGGCATAACAAATTTCTGATCTAACCATCCCCAAATTAGTCAACTATTGTGAGTGTCAACAGCTGTGACAACAGTACCGAAAGTAACGCCTCGCAAGACTTACAGGCCCCATGCTTTACAGAGGTGGCTATGACATGAGCAATGGCTACAGCTTTCCAATATATATGTTTCTTTGACTTAAAAATGACTGATGCATAATCTTCAAACCAGCCCACTAAAATCAGATCTTTGTTCTTGCTACTGCTAAACCAAGATCTCAAGATCTTCAATTGCTGGACATGTCAACCTTTCCCAATTGTTTGCAGACCAATGAAATGACGAACAAGAAGTTCATAAAAGCCAACACCTCATGTTATTCTTTTTTGAGGTTGCATGATTAGAAATCACATTCTCAAATCACAATTTCCTATTCTAGAAAACGATGATCTGATTGGTCAGCTGATTGGTTACCCATATTTGGATGTCCTCAAATCTTTGTTTAGCAGTATTGAGAATGAAGATCTGATAGAAATGAGATTGATAATTATTTCACATCAATGCTGAAGATTTTGCATTGTTTGTTTGTTGTTTAACGTGTCACTCAGCAATATTCCAGCTATGTTGTTGTGGTCTCTAAATAATCCAGTGATCAACAGCATGAGTGTCGATCCTTTTGTAAACACTAGATTTTTTACCTTATCCTGCATTACTTTAATCCAAGAAAAATCACAAGGCCTGTCAGACTAGTGACAAGCAGTAATGTGAAGATATGCAATGTCAGCACATTCTGGGTCATGTGGGCCCAGTGCGATGGCAATATGGCGGCTCGCTTAGTTGGAATACTTCTCTTCAACGTTTCCATCGCACAGCTTTGTCTTGTTGCAGGAAAGCAGTAAATGCATTTAGGAGTAATGCTGCATAAGTATACAAATATAAAAAATATCTATATTTTACAAGTGTTGTTGTTTCAGGCTGACAGTCACTTGAAGGGTTATCTCCCCATCATCCGAGACTCTCCTGTCTACCCCATCATCTACGACCAAAACAACGTAGTGCTCTCCATGCCCCCTATCATCAATGGTAATTTTCCGAGACCTGTGTAGTTAATTATACACAAATGCCTGTTACTCTGCACAGGTGGCGGTGGGGTAGCTTAGAGGTTAAAGTGTTTGCTCATCATGACGAAGACCCAGGTTCGATTCCCAACAATTATTACCAACATGGTATAGGTAGTTGCATACTAATCTCGTACGTCACACGAGTGTCGTATCGCGTTGACCTGTGTCGTAATGACTTGACCTGAGATTCTAACGATTCGATTGGATAACCGATGAATTAAGACTGGATGTAGAATTCCGATTGATTGTACACTTAGAATAACTTTCAATCTAGAATGTGTTTTTCACTAATATTGCCCATCCCTGTAGGTTTCCACACAAGGATTACCCTGGACACGCGGAATGTGTTCATCGAGGCAACGGCTACCGATCTGTACAAGGCGCAGGTCACGCTGGACACGCTGGTCACCATGTTCAGTGAATACTGTGCAGAACCCTTCACGTAAGTCGTCTTGATCTGTGGCTGTAGTTATCATTACTCATTGTAGATTATAGTTCCATGGGATTCTTCATAAGGGTATTCTTCATCAACAACCAGTGCTGGTCCTTGGAGGCAACTTCGATCAGATGCTCAGACTCGGTGACTTGGTTGATTGTCATGGTAACCTGATTGATCGGTATTCACTCTATCAATCTCAGGAATTTCCAGTCCTGACTCATTTACTGGCTGTGGCCGTATGACATGAACATTGCTGTTCAAGGTGTTTAACAGCAAGCAAACATAGTGTAGTCCTCTTTTCAGAATTTGATAGCATTGTTGTACATTTTTCAGAGTTGAAAGTGCAGAAGTTGTGAATCCAGATGGTTCTAAGGTCCAGTATCCGGTAAGAGTTCATCATGATATTTGTTCACATGCCACAACAAAAACACAGTTCTGATTAATGTTATAGAAGTTTGAAGTGAATTATTTCTGGAATTAATTGTTACATTATACTTGATGTAAGGGAAGGCTTTTCTCTTGGCTTACATCCAGTATAATGCAATGAAGGCTTTTGTCTTGGCTTACATCTTGTATAATGCAACCAAGGCTTTTTTTCTTGGCTTACATGTTGTATAATACAAACAAGGCTATTGTCCAAGGCTATTGTCCAAGCTTGCATCCACTAAAATGCAACCAAGGCTATTTTCTATTGTCTGTTAGACATTAATAATATATACTGACACAGGAACATATTGTATATTGTGTACAGTACATTTCAGATGTTGTATATTTTGCATGTTGTATATTTCAGTTGTTGACATATCGTAAGGATACAATTGATGTCGAGGAAACGAATAAACGGGTCGGAATAAAGTAAGCGTCTTCACCTGTTTGATTTGATGGTATATTTGACTCGTTGCCTCCCTCCCTCCCTCATCCGACCCCCACCCACTCACTCACTCACTCTAATCTCTCTAATATACCCTTTTCTCTGATACTTTGACCATTACACACATTTGTTGAAATTAACAAAGCTTTTTGTTCTGAGTTAAACAAATTCTCAAAGGAATGAAGCTTGAACCTCACTTGTTATCTCACGTAACAGGCTTGAAGCAGAGAAAATGGCGAGACTGTTGACGAAGATGTGCCTGGAAAGTGAGGTTGTGGACCATGGCAAGTCCATCCGGTCGAGATCCCTCCCACGAGGAGTGATATCCTTTTCCTCTTATTGTATATATGTTGTTGTGATATAAATACATCTATAAAGTAGAGCTTTTGAGCAAGTACATGATTTGAAGTTGAAAATCAGCAAATCAACATTTAGTCTTAAGTGTGTCATGAAATTAATCAGTGGCCTTGTTTTTGAAATCAGCAAGGTAACACCAGTGTATGATAGCATTATTTAGTAGATTTATGCAACCACCATAACAAACACACACTTGTGCCATCATGCCATGCCATTGTAGAATGCTCAGGATTTGCATATGCTTCTATAATGCCAAGGAATGTTCAACTACCATAGAAAGGAAATAAGCCACTTAAGGAATGACAGTATGTCTTTTGAAGAACATGCAGCACTTGCCGTAATTAATAAGTTTAGTGGGAAACATCCATGAGAAAATACAGTTTGATCTTGACATGGCTGTTATGAGTTTACTGTGTTGGAAAGTAGTTTATCAACTTGAACACTCAATGTGTCCAGTGATAGTGACGTCTTTCAAGCCAAACAATGAAAACCAGCAGAGAGCAACCAGACATTGTTAATGATAATATGGACGTCAGGACACAATCTTATCAAACTGGGCCCCGTTTTACAAAGCTATCATAGCTCTACAACTGACATAAGTCTATGGTACAGTTTAAGAGGTCTGACAGTCGTAGGGCTACGATAGCTTTTTGAAACGAGACCCTGTCTTGTAATGCTGACTTGTAACTGTTATGACAACTTAACTCTCTGCACATGTGATTCATGCCTGTGACATCTACGAGGACGTGGCTATAGCATACGGCTTCGGCAACGTGCAGATGACCGTTCCTGACTGCAACACCATTGGACATCAATACCCTATCAACAAGTTGACGGACCAGCTCCGGTATGAGGTCGCTTCCACAGGGTTCACGGAGGCGCTCACTTTCGCTTTGGTGAGTTGGACGTCTATCAGACACCAAGAACACCAGTTCCCTCCCTTTGGTTTGCCTGAAATCTGTAATTTTAGGATTTAGGAAATCTTGATTCCCTCAAAGTATTCCGATGTTTGTTGGGTTTCACTTGATTAGTTTCATAGGCTTGATCTTACTTCGGTTTAACTTCACTCACTTGCTCACTGATCTACTCTTCCATTCACTGACTCACTCGCCCACTCATCTGCTTACTCACTCATCCATTAATCTGTTACTCCCTCACCTACTCATGCGCTCACCTACTCATCCATTCATCCTCTCACCCATTCATCCATTCACCCATTCATCCACTCATTCATTCACCCACTCACCCATTCATCCACTCACCCACTCATCCCCTCACCCATTCATCCACTCACTCATTCACCTACTCACCCATTCATCCATTCACCCACTAGTCCACTCACCCATTCATCCAGTCATACACTCACCTTTCATTCATTCACTCACCCATTCATAAATTCACCTACTCATTCATTCACCCACTCATCCATTCATCCACTCACCCATTCATCCACTTATTCATTCACCCACTCATCCTCTCACCCATTCATCCACTCATTCATTCACCCACTCACCCATTCATCCACTCATTCATTCACCCACTCACCCATTTACCCATTCATCCACTCATCCATTCACCCACTCATCCTCTCATCCATTCACCGACTCATCCTCTCACCCATTCATCCACTCACCCACTCACCCATTCATCTGACTCACCCATTCATCCACTCATCCTCTCACCCATTCATCCACTCACCCACTCATCCTCTTACCCACTCATCCTCTCACCCACTCACCCATCTATTCACCTACCCACTCACCCACTCATCCTCTCACCCATTCATCCTCTCACCCACTCATCCTCTCACCCACTCACCCATCCATTCACCCACCCACTCATCCACTCACCCATTCATCCAGTTATACATTCATTCATTCACCCACTCACCGACTCACCCATTCATCCACTCACCAATTCATCCCCTCACCCATTCATCCACTCACTCATCCACCCATTCATCCAGTCATATGCTCACCCATTCATTCACTCCCCCATTCATCCTCTCATTCACTCACCCATTCATCCATTCATTCATTCACCCACTCATCTTCTCACCCACCCACTCACCCATTCATTCATTCACCCACTCACCCCATTCAACCACTCACCCATTCACCCACTTATTCATTCATCCACTCACCCACTCATTCATTCACCCCATTCAACCACTCACCCATTCACCCACTTATTCATTCATCCACTTATTCATTCATCCACCCATTCATCCATTCACCCACTTATTCATTCATCCACTTATTCATTCATCCAATCACCCACTCATTCATTCATCCACTCACCCATTTATCCATTCACCCACTCATTCATTCATCCATTCACCCACTCATTCATTCATCCATTCACCCACTTATTCATTCATCCACTCACCCATTTATCCATTCACCCACTCATTCATTCATCCACTCACCCATTCACCCACTTATTCATTCATCCACTTATTCATTCATCCATTCATCCATTCACCCACTCATTCATTCACCCACTGATCCTTTCACCCACACATCCATGCACCCACTCCTCCTCTCATCCACTCCTCTCATCCACTCACCCTCTCATTCATTCACCAACTCATTCATTCACCCACTGATCCTTTCATCCACTCACCAATTCACCCATTCATCCATTCACCAACTCATCCACTCACCCATCCATCCATTTACCCACTCACCCATTCATCCTCTCATCCATTCACCCGCTCATCCTCTCACCATTCATCCATTCACCCATTCACCCACTCACCCACTCATTGTGGAGGCATTTGTGTCTGACATGAAGAACATCAGTCTTGTCAAAATTGCAAATGCTGGTCTGGTTCCATAATGTTCATCTGGAACTATGAGGCACCATTTGTTCAGTTAATAAAGTCACTGCAATTTTTTCCTTTCAGTTCCCTCCCTTTGTCATGGTTGTAATTTTAGGATTCAGGAAATCCAGATTGCCTCCCTTAAATTGAGCAAATTTAAAAAAAATTGGACCTCACTTGTATTTTGAGTATGAATGTACATGTACAATGGTACAATTATGTATGAAACTGCTTCTGTATTCAGTGTTCCCGGGATGATTTGTCAGAGAAGATGTGTCGGAAGATTGAAGATGTCCCTGCTGTGCACATCGCGAACCCCAAGACACTTGAGTTCCAGGTACTTAAAAAGCCTCAGGCACTCGGTCTCACCAGGGGAGATCTTATGGCATATTTACTTTTGCAATGGAATTGTGATAGAATGTAACACTATACTATTGTACAGCGGCAGGTGTATACTCCGTTATTCTATTATTGGAATGTAATAGTTCTACCTTTATTCTTTTAGGTATTTTGTTGTAAGAAAAGAAAATACCCATTTTAATAATGCACTGTTTTAATCTAAGAACAACAGGACCTGAAGTTTTGGTAAACCATAATGTATTTCACAAAGGAATCCAGAGTTCTTCAAAGCTTCAGCTTCTGTTCACAGTGACCAGTTCTGTTTATGCAAGATGTGGTTATCTCAACAGGTTGCCAGGACAACTCTTCTTCCTGGTATTCTGAAGACAGTTTACTACAACAAAAATATGCCGTTGCCTCTCCGACTGTTTGAGATCTCAGATGTAGTTCTCAAGGACTCACAAACAGGTAAGTTGTTTCATTATTGCTTTGACTTGATATGTTGACTCATCAAAGTCTGTTGGTCTCAGGCCCTGATTAGCTGAATATTAGATGTTAATGACAGGCTACATCGGTATCAGACCATCAGTCTCACATCATTTTAGACCGTGAAGATCCTGGTTAGAATTGGTCTCAGAGGCCCAGATAAGCTGCGTATCCGGGTAAAATACGCATAGAATTACGCATTGAAAAATAATTGTTGCGTACCAATTACGCATTTAAAATGTTAGATACGCAGAAAGTTTAAAACAAATGCGTCCGGAATATGCTTACAAAAATTGCTTGCGTAATGAAAAAGACATCGATTGCTATCCAGTTGTACTGTTAGTATAGGACAAGTGTTGTACTGTCAGTAGAGGATCAGTGATTTTTTATGAAATCATTTCCATTATATTTAAGTTGGTTTTGATTAGGTATGACATAAGGCAGAACATACCTGCTTAGTAAACTTACTCAATGGCATATACTTAGGTGAGTAAAATGACTGAAATACGCACATATTTGAAAGCAGTGGGTAACGGAAAATGAAATACCCACTCAACATTCATAATACCCACTCCAACAAAATACAGTGGGTGCAGTACCCATATGAGCTAAATCTTATCTGGAGCTCTGGGTCTTCAGCAACCCATGCTTGTCGTAGGGGCGACTAATGGGATCAAGTGGTCAGGCTTGCTGACATCGTATCCCATTTGTGTAGATCGATGCTAATGCTGTTGATCATTGGATTGTCTAGTCCAGACTCAATTATTTACAGACTACCGCCATATAGCTGTAATATTGCTGAATGCTAACCAGATTTCATTATTGTGTCTTCAACATTGTTTGGCACTGCTTTACCTCACCAGACCACTGGCTGCTGTGATGTCACTGATAAATTGTAGACTGCAATATGGACAATTCATTGACTAAATGATTTATGACAACCTTATGTTTTGTCAGATGTTGGTGCTAGGAACGAGAGACGCCTCTGTGCTGTCAACTACAACAAGACTGCAGGATTTGAGGTCATCCATGGACTCCTGGACAGAGTGATGCAACTGCTGGAGGTTCCAAGAGATGCCAAGACTGGCTACCACATCACTGAGGCTCAAGGTAGGTCCATTATTAAGGCAGAAATGGGTACACGGTGGGATAAGTCATGTGACTATTAACTTTCTAGCACCTCATAGACAGCTTGGGTTATCCGGGGTAATAATAATCAGATTGTGTGTTAGTGCTTTTACGTGGCAAAGGCGCATTATGAATTCACAATTACAACATCACTGAGGCTCAAGGTGGGTCCAGTGGTTGGTCCACATCACTGAGACTCAAGGTGGGTCCACTTGTAGGTCCATATCACTGAGACTCATGGTGGGTCCACTTGTAGGTCCACATCACTGAGACTCAAGGTGGGTCCACTTGTAGGTCCACATCACTGAGACTCAAGGTGGCTCCACTTGTAGGTCAGCATCACTGAGACTCAAGGTAGGTCCACTTGTAGGTCCACATCACTGACACTCAAGGTGGGTCCACTTGTAGGTCCACATCACTGAGACTCAAGGTGGGTCCACTTGTAGGTCCAGATCATTGAGACTCATGGTGGGTCCACTTGTAGGTCCACATCACTGAGACTCAAGGTGGGTCCACTTGTAGGTCCACATCACTGAGACTCAAGGTGGGTCCACTTGTAGGTCAGCATCACTGAGACTCAAGGTGGATCCACTTGTAGGTCAACATCACTGAGACTCAAGGTGGGTCCACTTGTAGGTCCACATCACTGAGACTCAAGGTGGGTCCACTTGTAGGTCCACATCACTGAGACTCAAGGTGGGTCCACTTGTAGGTCCAGATCACTGAGACTCAAGGTGGGTCCACTTGTAGGTCCACATCACTGAGACTCAAGGTGGGTCCACTTGTAGGTCCAGATCATTGAGACTCAAGGTGGCTCCCCTTGTAGGTCCAGATCACTGGGACTCAAGGTGGATCCACTTGTAGGTCCAGATCACTGAGACTCAAGGTGGGTCCACTTGTAGGTCCAGATCACTGAGACTCAAGGTGGGTCCACTTGTAGGTCCAGATCATTGAGACTCAAGGTGGCTCCCCTTGTAGGTCCAGATCACTGAGACTCAAGGTGGATCCACTTGTAGGTCCACATCACTGAGACACAAGGTGGATCCACTTGTAGGTCCAGATCACTGAGACTCAAGGTGGGTCCACTTGTAGGTCCAGATCATTGAGACTCAAGGTGGATCCACTTGTAGGTCCAGATCACTGAGACACAAGGTGGATCCACTTGTAGGTCCAGATCATTGAGACTCAAGGTGGATCCACTTGTAGGTCCACATCACTGAGACTCAAGGTGGGTCCACTTGTAGGTCCAGATCATTGAGACTCAAGGTGGATCCACTTGTAGGTCCAGATCACTGAGACTCAAGGTGGATCCACTTGTAGGTCCAGATCATTGAGACTCAAGGTGGATCCACTTGTAGGTCCAGATCACTGAGACTCAAGGTGGATCCACTTGTAGGTCCAGATCACTGAGACTCAAGGTGTGTCCACTTGTAGGTCCAGATCATTGAGACTCATGGTGGGTCCACTTGTAGGTCCATATCACTGAGACTCATGGTGGGTCCACTGATAAGTCAACGTCACTGAGTCACAAAATGGATCCAGTGGTTGGTCCACACCACTGAGGCTCAAGGTGGGTCCACTTGTAGGTCCATATCACCGAGGGTTAAGTTAGGTCTGCTGGTTGATCCACCTCACTGAAACTCAAGGTGGGTCCACTTGCAGGTCCACATCACTGAGACTCAAGGTGGGTCCACTTGTAGGTCCACATCACTGAGACTCAAGGTGGGTCCACTTGTAGGTCCACATCACTGAGACTCAAGGTGGGTCCACTTGTAGGTCCACATCACTGAGACTCAAGGTGGGTCCACTTCTAGGTCCAGATCATTGAGACTCAAGGTGGATCCACTTGTAGGTCCACATCACTGAGACTCAAGGTGGGTCCACGTGTAGGTCCACATCACTGAGACTCAAGGTGGGTCCACGTGTAGGTCCACATCAGAGACTCAAGGTGGCTCCACTTGTAGGTCAGCATCACTGAGACTCAAGGTGGGTCCACGTGTAGGTCCACATCACTGAGACTCAAGGTGGGTCCACGTGTAGGTCCACATCAGAGACTCAAGGTGGGTCCACTTGTCCACATCACTGACACTCAAGGTGGCTCCACTTGTAGGTCCACATCACGCCAGAGTCGAAACACGAAGATAACCAGTGGGATTGGGTGGTCTGACTTGGCAACTAATTGCACATCATCATCGCCATGGAGTTGGAATACTGCTTTGTGTGCATTAAACAACAAACAAAACAAACAATGCATGTCATCATGTCACAGGAATAATTCTGAGTGTGACGTTAAACAATACATTCTATATTCCAGATCCTTCATATTTCCCTGGAAGATGTGCAGAGATTCTTGTGAACGGCAAGTCAGTTGGAAAGTTTGGAGTGCTTCACCCAGATGTTATCACCAAGTTTGAACTGAACTTGCCTTGTGCAGTGCTAGACCTGAACATCATGCCATTCCTCTGATAGACATTATGTTGTAGATGCAGTCAAGATCAGTTTAAAATCACGATTTCTATATAATAAAAAAAAATCACTTTCTTCACAACTGAGTAACTAAGCTAACTAATGGCCTCATGGTGGCCACAGTTTATAATGTGCATTACTTTTGGGATCTCTCATGAAGTTCCACTGCCATCAGGGACCTTTCTGACTGTGACATGCTTATCTCATTAATGTCAGATCCTTTACTCAGACACCATTTTGTGTGAAAATGACTTCATCGTCACAGGAGGTCACATCCGGTAAATTCTCGAAAATTCAGCATCAAGATTTCGGCGTATTTTGTACAAGTGAGCAAATCATTTAGAAAGAATATCTGATCATGATGATAAAGATGAGCTTAAAGAGTCTTTACTGAATGTACATGATATAGCCTTTGTCACAGATAATTTTGTTTGTTTCTGACGACATGGGAATCTACATCTGAAGGATGTTGGTCCAGCATTGGTTAACTTTTGTTCAAGCTGAAAATTCTGAAAAAGGATGGTTAAGAAATTAAAGAAAATCAATTTTGAAAACAGTCATACTATTTATTGGTTTAAGAAGTACATTTACATAGGGTGGTCAGTGTGGAACAGGTGGGGTAGCCTAGTGGTTAAATCGTTCACTTGTCACACCGAAGACCCGGGTTCAATTTCCCACATGGGCACATTGTGTGAAGCCCATTTCAGGTGTCCCCTGCCGTGATATTGCTGGAATATTGCTAAAGCGGCGTAAAACTAAAACTCACTCACTCAGTGTGGCCAAGGGTCACCTGAAGCAGCTTCAGATGTAATCACAGAGATTTTACGTCCTCTGAAGCATTTTACAGGGTAAAAGATTGAGATCATGGGTGTCACTGTTAAGACCATTTGTAGTCCAATTATGACAATCTGTTTCAAAAACAGTTGAATGTGAAGCTGACATTATTTCCAGTCAAGCTTAAGGTTAACATGAGGAGATCTATTAGCAAAACAAAGACATTTAAGCAGATCTGAGCGTCAGACAATTGTCTAAAGTTGCAGACCGCTTTGGTTAAGTCAATCTGTCATGATCTTTCTTGCACTTTGGTGACTACAAGGTTTCATGGATGTACTGGATGGATGCTACTAGTCATGTGACCTCATCGTGAAGTCAGGCTTTATACATTCGTCGCAGGACTAACAACAAAAGTTATCTTCGACACCTGGACAAGCTTGCAGTTGATCCTGCAATGGTAGCTCACACTATAAAGGATTCTCTTCAGTTGATTTCAGGTTTTAAGAGCTGCACAGAAGCTATGCTTGTCACACAAGGAGGCAAAATAAATCAGTGCTCAAACTTTGTGACTTGGTTAATTGTTTGTCATCATACCAACACAGTAGAACAGTGCTCATTCTATCGACCACTAGTCTGTCAGTACTTGATTGTCTGCTGGACTCTGAAATATAGCTGCAATATTGTTGTCCGTGGCTCTGTGCAGAGAGACAACCAACAATGAGGCACATATTCAACTTAGAATGCATATTGTGCCGCAAGAAACTTATCAGCTTTTCATTCAAATATTTCACAAACATGGGTGGGAGGCATTAAATTCTTTAGGTATATGTTGTTAATTTCATCCAATGAATAAAGGAGAACACACATAGTGATTATCTGTAGATACTTGAGCATAAACAAATAAGGTTAGGCCACCTCAGAATACAAGACGACTCCACAGGCAGTGTGGATTCAATGCTTCTTTCGCGCCAACTTCACTTATGTTGTCTTAAGGCGCGGTGGGGTAGCCTAGTGGTTAAAGCGTTGGCTCGCCATGCCGAAGACCCGGGTTCGAATCCCCACATGGGTACATTGTGTGAAGCCCATTTCTGGTGTCCCCCGCCATGATGTTGCTGGAATATTGCTAAAAGCGGCGTAAAACCAAACTCAGTCAGTCAGTATGTTGTCTTAATTTACATGGTACTTACGTACCACGGTAGTTTGACTATTGTTTGAAAATATGGATGAAACTGAACAGCTTTTAGGTTTTCAGGATATATATTACTACAATTATGGTCCAATAATCAAAAAGAAAACTGGTCAACTCACCAATCCAGAAGAAATAAAATTAAAAGGTCAAATCCCTCGTTATAATATATCCTGAAACTGAAGTCCAAATTTAAAATGAATATCCCAATTTTATAAGGATGTTTGATGCACCTCTCAGAAACTTGAGGGTCCTATTTGATGCATGGTGATAGGTGTGTCATTACAGCCCTATATCACTATCTACATGAAGATACGGACAGTAAATGTACAAAAATTTCAGGACATGGCTATTTGTGATTCTCATTGTCTCTTTGTCCATGCCAGCATGAACTCAATGGATTACAACTGTGCCTAGTTTCTCACTAAGTTATTCGTGCTATGTGTCCTCGTTCTTTTTGCGTCGATATGGCTGAGATATTGGCGATGTGACGTTAAATATTAACTCACTCACTCACTCTTTTTGCGTTTGTAGGGCACATAATATAGAAGGCGATCTCTGGGACCATGATTCGGTACTAGCATTTCAGGGTCAGATCATCCTATGCTTCATTTTGTGTCATATTGTCCAGAAGGATGAAGGATGAAATAATTGATTCTCAGGCAATGAAACATTTGATTTATTTCAAGATTGTGCTGTTTGGTGGTTGATATTTTATTTGTTTTGGGTATCCAATATCAACATCATAGGATAAGAACTGAAGCTTACGTTCAAGATGTTATATCTCCCTCCATTTGTTGGTAAAAAATATTTGATATGTCATTTTGTTTTGTCTTTTCCAGCTACAGTTGTGTTTTCACCAACATATCCTGCTTATTTAAATGTTTGTCTCAGATTCTCCAAGGGCCATAAATTATGTCATGTAAACACTGTCAAAGTTTTGTAATGGGGGCTCAATGGCACGACATATTTTCCTATGCTGCGATCATGTCTATAATTTAATGACACATGTAATGGGTATGATATGAAATACAAATAAATAAAATGAAACAATTGTTTTCGTTTTTGTTTTTGTTTTCAATCAAGATGAATTAGGATGATTTGTCATATTTGATATGGATTATCAGGAGAGATAGTAAGACCTGATGGTCTCTTCTCAAGGGTTTACAATTCCAACAAGAAAAAATTGTATCAAGGGACACGGATGCCCCCGCTGCTGTAGGAAGAGTTCCCTTCACTGAGTGTGAGATGCACACCTTCAGAGTCCCTATAAAGCACATGTGTAATCTAAATGAATTCCATAAAGTAGTTTTTGAGGAGAAGTGGATAACATACACCCCCTGTTGGATGGAACGAACAAGCTGAATAGAACAAAATTCAACTAAGTTCAAACATCTGTAAAAGTGACAAAATTAAGAAATTGCATTAAAAATTATGAAATGCACACCTTTAGAGTCCCTACGAAAGACATGTAGAAGTTCATTCAATTCTGCTGAGCAGTTTTTGTGCAGAAGTGGATAGACTTCATCCCCTATTACACTATCATCATAGAGAAATTCAGCAAAATGTACCTAAGTTCAAATGTCTCTAACCTTACAAAAAAACAATAAAATACAAAAACAAAATATGAGATGCACACCATTAGAGTCCCAAGAAAGCCCTTGTATAAGTTCATTGAATTTCACAGAGAGTTTTTTGTGGAGAAGTGGATAGAGTACATTCCCTGTTTCGTACGGACGGACGGATGGACGGACTGACACGGAGGGTAACCCTATATGTCCCTAGCCATATATGGCGGGGGCGTAAAAATTACAAAAGGGGAATTTTACTCAGATACCTACAAATAATAGTAATTAATCTTCCAATACACCAACAGTTTTATAGAAATCACAGTACACAAGAAAGTCTCATAATAATTTATTGCTATGGAATGTCCATAAAATAACATGAAATATAGTCCAATATGTTGATTCTCTTGAACAATAAATACAAACCAAACTGAAAAAAATATCACAGATATGACATTGTCAAAAGTCCAGTTAAGATTTCATAGTTTTGCAGTATTTGAATATCAGGTCACTTGTGGACGGATAAACACAAATCACGACGGATGGATGTCAAGAGTTAAAAGTATCAAGCAGTGAATCTGTCAACATGTTTCTTATCCTGCATTTGAAGTCTCTGTTTGGATAATGATGTTCAGATAGTCTTGTATCATGGCCCAAAACCCCAAGGTTTCACTTTTCAGCCCATCCCCCAAAAATTGTTGGACAGGATATTTTGTTGATTTATTGTTTTCTGTTATTTTTTTAATTCTAGAATAAAAACAGCTATTAAGTTACAGTTAATCTTTGAAAGACCTGATTTGGTTATTGAAGAAGCACAACCAAATCACAGTTTGGGCATAACTATTGACAAAACTGGGGTAGTGATAGATAATTTGGCCTACCAGAGCAAATGAAAGCCAGTTTTAGTAAATGAGCATTCAGATTAGGGTGTATCAGAAAAAAGTCCATCACTTCCAAAGTCTTCCCTGGTATGTAGAGTACAAATGAAGACCCTTCTTTTGATCATCACGTAATGCAGTCTCCAGACGTTTACCAAAGTTTCAGAAAACAATCCCTGGTTCATATCATAATTGGTGCGTCATTTCCAACATCTTCCAAGTGTATTCCAGGTACAAATGAAGACACTTCTGTTGATCATCACATATCTCAGTATGTTCATGCAGTTTCTCTGGACTGAGGTCAGTTCTGTGGAACTGGTCACTCTGTGATGACCATGGCCCTGACGATGACCTTGTACTGTTCTGTGAGGTCCCCCTTCAACGTGATGATCACTGAGCCTTCTGTGGGGACAGTGGGCTGGAGAAAGAAACATGGTCATCAACAACATAGTGACATAAACATGGAGTCATGACATCTCAATTAAACTTAATTAGAAAAACCTATTTTAATGGAAACATCTTTTGAACCTTGCTGTTTCTTCACATTTGCCCTTTTCATGATGTCTAGTGTCATATTTAGCATTATTATCCATATGGTGAAATAACCAGGGTCATATATCCCTTTTGCTTAGCATTTTGTTTTTGTATTTTGTCTGTGACGTCATTAAACAATGGAACGTGATGTCATTAAACAATGGAATGTGACGTCAATTAACAGGGCTGTCAAACTTGCTTACCGTGTTTTACTGCACAAATGTACATGAATAAAATGGATAATAAAGCAATTATTGCACTTGAGTAAGTGTGTCATACGACTTATACGAAACTCATGCAAAATTATGCACTCGTTTCGTATAAGTTGTATGACACTCTTGCTCGTGTAATAATCTCTTTATATAACTGTGTCCCTAAAGATCATCCAAAGATTTTGGATATGCATCGAGTGACACATTGTGTATTGTATGCTTATTCTTTGAGGATATTTGTTTATTTTGTTGAACTCCACACACAGAAAAAGTCCATGTATGTGACAGTGGTCTGCAAATAATCAAATCCCAGGGAGCCAGGTTTAGTGACACAATTTAAACCAAGTCACTAAGCCTGAATACCCAGTCATTTTTAGTTGCTCCCTTGACATGAAAAGGCAGCAGGGGACTTGTATCCTAACCTGGTATTCCCATGGGGTTAATGCATGTGTCAAGGAATGGTCATTACTCATGACATACGACCCATGAAATTCGGGTTAGAATTGATCTTCAGTAACCCATGTTTGTCGAAAGAGGCGACTAATGGGATTGGGTGGTCAGACTCGCTGCCTTGGTTGACACATGTCATCATATCCCAATTGCATGGATCAATGCTCATGCTGTTGATCACCGGATTGTCTGGTCCAGACTCGATTATTCACACAGACTGCCGCCATATAACTGGAATATTGCTGAGTGCTGCGTAAAACTAAGCTCATTCACTCATGACATAAAATGTAGCACTTGACATATATTGTGGCAAAAAATAACCCATTTGTGTTTCAATGGCCGCCATGTCTCTTCTACCTACATCATATCCTGATGGTGGTGTCCATGTTATAGTGATGGGCTTTCTGGTGCCAGCTTCTATCATTCCCTGTTGAAACAAAACATTAGAACTTAAACTCTGTCTTACCTGCAAAAATACATCTTTCAACCTTGAGGAGAAAATCATGCAAACTGTATGCAATAAGTGTTGTTGAACCATTACTTCCATTCAGTAGTGTCATGTAGATCTGTTTAAGTAGTCTTACAGTTCATAGCAAAACTAGTGCTATTTCGACATGTTTGTGTTTCTATTTATGTAACAACAAATAATTCAATAGTTCTTTTGAGAAAACCTGATCTGTAAATTGAAACATTAAATTGGTTCTTTCAGGTTTTCGCTTTCATACATTTCACATAGAAAACATGTTATTTTCAATCATGGCGCTAAAATAATATACTTCTTTTTTTAAAACTTCAGGATAAGCTCATCATTGAAAGGAGAAAGTATATTGCTCTCAGCAATGAAGTTGACTGACCCTCTGAGGGTCCATGTTGAATCCTTTAGCCTGTAACAACTGCAGGTTCTCGATCTGAAACTCTCCATTCTGGAACACATAGATACATATGATGATGCAGCTGTTCTTGGCAACAGCAAAACTGCCATTTACACATGCAAGGTCTTGATAACGTCATTCTCATCAGAAAGCTCTTATAATGTTACCCACAAAGATGTTTTCTGTGTACAATGGAGATGAAATATCAATATCCCAAGCAACATGTCAGTCAAACCAGACTCAAAACAAAACTGTTAAGGGTTGGTAGTATTTCAGTTTGTTGAAGTTCATTTTTTCCACGATATGTATGACAATATTGATTTTTATGGCTCAGTTTCAGTCGATGTGAAATTCTTATCAATGTTCAGTTATACTCTTGCCAAAAAACCTTCAAAATTTCTGTAATTCCAAAATGTCTGCAATGATAAGAGGTTAATTCTCAATTACCTCCTTTGTGTGCATGTGCATGAAAGTTTGAAGTGTTCTTGACTTCCCATCAATAGCTAATGAATGAATATTGAGTAAACATTATCGCAAGCATCTGTGTTATTCTATTTAAGAACTTCAGTTCGTGCAATGATGTTTCAGATTGCTTCGGAATTCAGAATTTGAAGTTGTACAATATATCATAGCTACATAACATGGAGGATATTATATGAGTCGCTCTCGCTCGGGAAATACCAACATTTAGGCACTCGTGTCGTAAACAAAGTATGACATGGGCACGAATAGTATATACTGTTTATTGCCGAAGTTGTCAAACTGAGGAAAATAACCCAAATGTACTTGCAAACATAGGCTGTCTACCCGCTGTCGCCACATGTAGAACGCAACGTCACAGAAGAAACATGACGTCATCGCATTGTTCATGACGTCACGTCACCATGACAAAGTGACATTTTGCCCTAGGGCATTGTATGAAAAATATGAACCCCCCATATGTTCACCCTCGTAGGTAATAAATTGTGATACACTTTGAACCTTCATTTCCCATCCCAAAAGCTATCATGGCAATACGTCCAGGGTATTCATCATGCTGCAGATAATGGAGATACAATACACTGGCTAACTGACAATGCAGTTCTACTGGAAGACTGCTCTCTTCGACAAGATGCAGAACAGAGAAAAACACTGAACAACAGTGAGACAATGTGGAAGTGTCATGTGGCTGTGTGTTCCTATGGTAACCATATCTCTGTGATGCTCCCTATCAAACCAAATCAATTTGGTGCTTCAATATTGAAATTGCTAATATCGAGTGAGTGACTTAAGATTTCTAGTCACATCGGCAGTATTTCAGCCATATAGTGATGAAATTGCTATTACAGCACAGCAGAGAGATAAGGCAGCTCGGCTCAATGTGTCAGTTATTTCATTTGTTCGACTGTCTAAGATCCTGTAATACTTTGTGAAGGATAGTGTTACTTGATGTACCAGGATCTGCTGACCATGGGTTTGAATCCTGGGTCACCCATATCAAAACACTTGGTGTATCAGCACAAGGTGCTGGCTCATGGGTGCCACAGTAGTGATAGATGTCTACCATGAGCATCGCCTTTAAGGACCGTTTATAATTCATAGGTAGGAGGAAGTGATGATGATTTTTTGGGAGAAGCATGTACAATGTGAATTACCCCCCTAAAATTTATGTACAAAGTAATGACACCCCACCCCACCCCCACATGTCATGTATAAAATCAATAACACCCCCCTGGTACATGTGTACAACATTGATCACACACCCCCTCCCCAAACCTAACCAGAACAAAATGGCTGATCCCCATTAAAATCATCATTCCCCAAAGCCAAAAATTATGAACGGTCCCCAACTTTCATAAAATGGAAAACTGAAATGTTGTAACAATGTAGTGTACATACTATTTAAACATGGAACTGAAATAAGAAAATTCATCATGTAAGGGATGATTGCTGCTCTGTGGTCATGCATGTAAGTGTGCAGGTTAAATGTGCTTTTTTAGTGTGTTGAGTGCATGTCTTGCAGAGTTATGTCCCCTACCTTCTTTCCTTCCTGGATGCCGAGGATGGTGGAGAAATAACACAATACATTGGGACGAGCGCACGCCCATGCAATCAGATGTTGGTTGAAGCGTTAGGTGTGGGGAGACAATCATGGTTGGCACACATTAATATGAGGCAAAACATTCATCACATATCAGGGGTTAAAAATGTAAGTCACTGAGGCTTGAAAACAGTTTCAGCTAAATTATACTGTCGTGAATCCAAAGGTATCAGCTTGCATCTGTATTAAACCACGATATACAATGTGAGTTCAACTTGCCAATTGTAACTGACATTAGCATTACAAAAGTTTTGCTGACACACAAACTTTTGTTTCATCTTTTATGTAACCACTGGAACTTCTCATAAAGTTTTAAAGACTTCAGCGACTTACAATTTTTAACCCCTGCATTAATAAAGTGCAAAAACATCATTAATCATGCATCACTGTGATCAGATAGACAGATATAGTTCATAGAAGATCTTGAATTGATATATATTCAGTTACAAAACGATTTCACCAACATTTATTTACCAAATTAAATTGATTGTTCTGGTTACATATTTTTATTTGGTCCAAATATGAGAAAAAGAAATGAAATCCCATCATTCCCTCCATGTTTATTGCTCCATTGCTGTTGTTTGACTTAGGTGACTTTCACAAGAGATGTCATCATGTATATCATGATATCAATAAATTCATGGCGTTACTGAATCAATACAAATTAATGACCATCAATTCTATATTTATAAGTCACCGCCACAGAATATTTCATTATAAGGTTAAGATGGTCAATGAGTTGGCAGAAATTCTAATTTCAAACATTTACTTTGGTCAACCTAGCTCAAATGTAGCATATTTTTTCATATTCAGAAAAAAATTGAGTATATGTTGTATAACTTTTCAGTCAATATGTCAATACTCATGAATGACACCTCTAGTGTAAACCATTTTTTAACAAATCCTAGACCTGCCTCTGTGATTGGACAGAGATAAATAGAACTATTTCATTTTCAGTGGCCAAGAACATTGAGACTCCATGTCACAATATCTGTCTGTAAGTGTATTAAAAAAAAATGTGATAAATTCATATATCATAAACATATAATCAATATGGCTATAATATAATATTGGACAGAATCGTTCATGTGTTAGTAGCAGTATTTGTTTCCTGCATCTCTTGTTTTTTAAAAAACTGCAGAATTCAAGAAATGGATCTTGACTATAAAAGAAAATTCAGTGAAAAGAAGAAGTTCTGAAAATACAGGGTCACATTTTGAGTCATTTGCTATTTAGTCTCATAATAATAAATAGTAAACTAAATACTGGAAATAAATAGTTATAAACTACCATAGGTTTCGACTAGGCATATGCTATTCTTACAAATATATGTATTCTTAGGGGATTACATCTCATACATTATCTTACAATATTATTAAAACCCATCTACAACAAAACCCTTTCTGTATTCATAAGAAATCCCTACTAAAAGAGAGTCTATTGTACGATTCTGATAATATCATGAGAATGTGTCCCTATCATAGAGAGATGATAGCAGAAAGCTTAAGGAAGCATTTTCTTCTATGATTTTGTGAAGCTGACTTTTTCTCAGAAATCAGAAGAAATACCAGTATATAAACTGAATTATTTTGCTAATTAACAGATTGCTCAGGGGCCTGATAGCTGAATCCTTTCAACTTGTTATGACAAAGGTTGACATCAGTTAGTACCTTGACAAACAGATATGTTCAACATTCTACAATGGATAACAAGTACAAATCCACCATGCATGCCTTTGGTTTACCAATAATGAATTTACATCCATGACCCTACTTTATGAAATCGGGTGATGTGCAGTGTTAGAAAATTAAAAAACTCATTCATATTTCTTCCATACTTGCCAACTTTTGGTATTTACAACCCAGACAAGTAGCATGTTAAATATGTTTTGCTAGTTTAAAACTATAAGGGCGCAGGTGGGTCAGAGGTCAAAGGTGCTCCTCAGAATTATATCACACACAGACACACACACACACACACACATGCATGCACACACACACTCTGAGAGCCACTCAAATAGTGATCCAAGGTCACTAAGCATACTAGCCATTCAGGACATAGTTATATACAGTCAGCACTCGTTAATCCGACACTTGTGGTTGCAGAGAAATATGTCGGATTAACGGAAATGTCGGATTAATGAAAATGTTGAATTAATGTATTTGTGTGAAAATATCAATGTTTACTAAATGTCATGTATACACAATAACAAAGAAATCTTTGAAAATAATACATGGGCCAAAGATTCTGCCCCTAAAAGAATTACCAAGATATTATAACTGGAATAATCGCTTTTGTTGACAGGTGTTTATAATTTACCAGTACTTATTATAAATATATAACTTCATATAGTCATGACATGGCTGAAATAATGCAGATGTGACTTAAAATTTTAACCCACCCACTCACTCACTATATCTGGAATACTGTTCAAAACATGTTAAACTCACTCACTCACTCACTAATGGATGTGTGTGAGATTTTAAAGCATTTCAGCTGTTGGCAAGTATGCAAGATGTTAAACTTATTAGAATGCAAATTTGTTAATCATTAAAGCATACCAATGACATAATGATTACAATCAAATATCCTAGACTTATATTAGGAATAGCCAAATGCTGAAAATGTGTAGTCACTATAAAATTATGACAGTTTTACTTGTATATCAAGTTACACAATCAAATGGGGACACTTCAAGGGATATATTACGTTACAAGTTGTAATGAAGATGGTTCAAGGGATGGATATATCATGTTACAAGTTTCAATGAAGACAGTTCAAGTGATATATATTGTTACAAATGCAACTTGATGCAGTTTCCCTGTATGTTACTCCTCAAATAGGTAATTTATAGCAAGGCATACATTTCTTGGGGCATGGACAGTGCTCACCTGATGGGATAAATGTGAAGTTTTGCAATTTGAGGACATATGACTAGGTATGCAAATCAACTCAATGATGCTCTATGAAAATACTTAATAATCACTTCAGCTTCTTGAAAAAGTACAAACTGATAATCTTATACCTCATATTAATGAAAATGTAAAAATGTTTGTTTGCCTTAAAAGAAACATGTATGGTGTCTAAGAATGGTTTCAACATTTATTATTTACTGGATTTTGATGACAAATGGCTATGAAATTGTAATCATTAGCTTATTGTGCACTTCAAAATTTATTGACAAAACACATCATGGAGTAAATATATCTGAGAGTATGTTATTCACTTTAAGAGGCATCAAGATCAAGGAATCACTGATGACAAGCAACAGACTACAGACAGCCAGGGACTTTCTTCAGAACACAACAGGATCAACTTGGACAAACAAACACTGGGGCAAGTGTACGGGGAAAAAAGGGAAAAGTGTTCACAGCAATCACTACATCATCAGCTCAGTGTCCCTGAATGTTGCAAATGAAAGAATGACTGAGTCTGAGGTCTAATAATCTGTCCAGGATAACTCTGGATGTTGCCCAGAGCTTTGAACCTGGAGGCTGACCTTACCTTTTTCTGACTGACTGCCATGGTCCTGACACAGCCAACATAGATGTCCCTGGTGGCTGCCATGTACTCGTCGTCCTTGGCAACGCTGGATAATGTGATAAGCAGAGGTTTGATGGATGGCTTCAGTTCTGCAATGTATGGATAAAAAAAATGCACAAAACGGGAGGAAATAATTTAGAAAATGTAGCAGATACGCACCACAGCAATGGTGTATGGTCTTACAATTATTTACAGACGTATGTATCTCAAAAAAGTATTAATATAGATAACACAAAAACACATACCTTCTCCATCCTCTTCTGTGGGAACTGGAACAAAAGACAGAGACTCGACATCTGGAGTGAGGTCCTCTCCACCTTCTAGGTACATGATATGATCTTTGGCTATACCGGTTAACTGGAAAAAGTGACTCTCTTCCTGAAATGAAAGAATGAACATTGTTTTATGCCTTGATCATCAATATTCCAGTTAGGTTAAGGCAGTAAACAGGCAAGTCTTTGTCAGGCAATACAGTCATCCACTGTGCAAGCAAAATCATTCACATGGTTAGGCATCATGACACACAAACAAGTCCGTTCAAGTCATTAATTGCCTTGGCCAGGGTGCAGTTAGCGTGTAGTGTCTGAAAAAAGGGAGAAGTGGGAACTCCTTGCATCTCTCTTGGGATCCAACCACCACTGCTCATGATTGGTTATATCACCTTTTCCGACATTACACAACAGCATATCATGTATCCTGACCATTAACCATACACAATGCAAACACCAAATGTCAAGGACAAACATTTGCTAAGGTACCTATGATACAATTTCAGAAACATTTAAAATTTGCAAAACAGACACATGACGCAATACAAAGAATTACATTTAATGTCTCCCTCTGAATGTGACATGTTTCCCGTAAGTTATGTTTTGTTTGAGCTTTGAGCTGCTATTTAACATCGGACGTTATCTTCCTCATCTTTAACTCTGACTTACTTGATTGAAGAGTTCTATTCGGACTCCATCGGAGTAGTGGTCACTGGCATGGTCAGGAGCAAAGGTGACAAGGATTTCTTTGGAAGCACCTGTCATAGCAGTCAATACATGTAGCAGCCCAATAACATTTTTCACTCCATATACCACTGACAAAAAATTAGGGTACTGATGAAATGATGGTGAAGGTGTAAAGACGAAGAACGATGAATTTATTTTTGAATATCTACGTCAATATCTGGTGTGTCTACAATGTGTGAACATAAATACATCAGATGTTGACAGAATTCTGTTGACTAACTTGCTCATGTTGCCTTTAGTATTGCCTGACATTCACCTATAAGAGCAACCCCAAACTGAGCCACACTGGCACAATGCTCGTGGATACTCGCTGCCGAGTAACATCCCAGTGACGACTCATTGGGGACATGTCAGGGACTTAGTGGTCCAATGTCCTCATCTGATGGTGGTGGTGGAGGAATTGGGTTTAACGTTGTGCTTAAGAATATTTTGCTCATATGACGACGTGCATGCGTGCGTGTGTATGTGTATGTGCGGCTGCTTGTACAAGCCCAGACTGAAGCCGGTTTTATAGTGCTAGCCCACTGAGATACCATGCCGCAGTGAAGCATGAATACCCCACTCAGACACATTATACTGACTCTGAGCCGACCAGTCCTTGTTGTACCCATTAATGCCGAGCGCCAGGCAGGGACCAACAAGTACCATATTTTAACGCCTTTTGGTATGACGCGGTCGGGGATCGAACCCGCGACCTTCCGCACTCCGGGCGGATGCTCTAACCACTACACAACGGAGGCGGTCGTCCTCATCTGAGATTATTGGTAATCTGATCATGATGTTGTCAGGCACTGCTTATTGAAATATGTGCACTTCTTTCAGCATTCAAGAGTGCAAGGGACTCCTAACACTAAGGCTTTATCTGACATCTGTGTTAAAGCTTCAAAAGTTTGGCATTATTAAGCGGCTATGACAATGTGGATGAACAACCACTCTTTGAGCAGACTGTACCTACCGGCTTCTATTGTGCCTTCTGATGGAACCAGGTCAAACACATTTTGGCCGTTATTATTCTGAGTTCCTGAAACGGAAGACAAAAAAATTATGCAATTTGGATGAATCCCAATCTTGTCGTTAACATTTCTATAAGGCTGCTGGGATGCTGAATTGACATATCCTACCTTTACATACACAATATTTACTCCTGGAAACAAAGTACACGTGTTCCTTTATTCTTTTCCGGGTTTCTTCACAAGGTATGTATATTGCACTGTGAGTAAAATTCGGGAAATAAATAAAGGAACACTTGTACTTTAATGCGTTCCATTATTCGTTTCCATGAGTATATATATCATCTAAGGAGTGATGATGATGATGACGATGACGATGACGATGATGATGATGATGTCGACGATGATGATCATGATGATGCAAACTGGTCATGTATTGTAAATCAGTATTCACTGAATCGGTATTGCTCAAATAGTTTCACATGACTTACCAACAAATACTTTTCTAGATTTGTCCCTGTCTACAAAGCTGGGTACCAACTGGCTCTTGGCATGACGGAGGAGGGAGAGACTGTCCATCTTAATCACGTAGTCAATGGACAAGGAGGATGTGTTGTGGATCTGTAAACAGGAACATACAGTGAGGTGAAATGGGGTTTAGAGATTGTATACAAAATTATTGCACTTATATAGTTACATTCATATACATGAGATGAAATGTGATGTGCAGGTGTGGTGTGGTGTGGTGTGGTGTGGAGAGGAGTGGAGTGGACTGGAGTGGACTGGAGTGGTTTGTGGTGTGGTGTGGAGTGGTGGGTGTGGAGCAGTGTGGTGTGTACTGGATTGGTGTGTGTGGTGTGGAGAGGAGTGGAGCATGTGGTGTGGTGTGGTGTGGAGAGGAGTGGAGTTGACTGGAGCGGTTTGTGGTGTGGAGTGGAGTGGTGGGTGTGGTGTGCAGTGGTGTGTGTGGTGTGGTGTGTGGACTGGACTGGAGCGGTGTTGTGTTGTGTGGTGTGTGTGGAGTGGTGTGTTGTGTTGTGGAGTGGTGTGGCGTGATGTGTGTGTGTGTGTGTTGTGTTGTGGAGCGGTGTGGCATGATGTGTGTGTGTGTGTGGTGTGGAGTGGCATGGCGTGGCATGGTGTGGTGTGGTGTGTGGTGTTTGTATTATGCGGATGGATGTCCTCGTGGGTGTGGTTGGTTTTACGTGGGAAAGTGTTTGTGTGCCTGTATTTATCCTAACTAATGCTGGTTTTGTTGTGCTTGCCCTCTGAGATACATTGCAACATGATTATCCCACTCAAATAAAGTAAACTCCTGCCAAGCCAACCGGTCACCCTGTCATACAGAGAAAGTACCTTCTAAGTACCCACCTTGAAAGGCCTCTCCACATACTCCCCAGATAGCACAGAGCCCATGTCAAACAACTCGGAGTCTATGGACAGGTTGACGATGGGGCTGACACCCCGCCCAGTCAGTGTCAGGTACAAGGTAGCCGTAGGGCTATGTATCTCCAGAACTTCATGGAACTGGAAAACAGAAACATCTTGAAATCATAATGCATTGTCTGTATGATAGGCCATCTACACAGCTCTATTTTCTGAAAAGATGTTTTGATCTACGAGACTATGGAGATGCAAATCATGATATGAATAGAAAAGCACACTGACCACTCTGCCTGCTGTAGGCGTGAAGGATATGACGGCTGTGTGAGTGGCCCCTGGACTCAGCATCCGGAGGGCGTTCAGGTTCTGGAATGGTCCTGTTGTGTCCAGTAGTGACGCTTGAAGCTGGGTCGCGTTAAGGAGCATGTGAACATTGTTTCTCCAGTCTACACCAACTGATGCTTCCCAAAGATTGAAACTCAAAGTGTCTGGATACTGTTCTTTTAAAACCGCTGCTCTCATGAAATGAAGCCTTCATTCAAATCAAAACACTCCCCAACACCCAACAGTTTCAAGACAAGCTACAAAACACGTTTCAAATATTCCACTGTTATTAGTAACTATTAATGTTGCAACGATACATTGAACTATTGATGGATTGCAACTGTTGAGTGTCTGATAGCAATTAATTGATGGCAGAAATGAAAAACTATCGATGCATTGATAGTATGTGTGACTATCGACAGTTTAGTAATTGACTGAAACAGGAAGTACCAGATTCGTTCACTTTGATTTAGAGTTATCCGCCCCTGTTATCTCTTAAACAAACACGGTGACAAACACGGCATGCGACTCAGAGTTTGAAATTGTGAATAACAATAAGTTTATGTTTTAACTGGTTATTTGATCTGGGTTTCAAGTTTCTTGTCAGTTATTAAAAGAGACTGAAACTACTTCAACTTGTGTTTATTTCATATAAACTAATGACTTCAAATGAGACAATTCAAGGAGAAAAAAACTTTCTGCAATAGTATTGCAAAATTTGGTTGCAATAGACTATTGTTATCGCAATGATATGTTGCAATAGACTATTGTTATCGCAATAGTTGTTTCCCCCTCAATAGTCACCCCTAGTATCTATAGTACCGTTATACATCATAAAGTGAACATTTTGTCTGTGTGGAACTATATAACTGGTCTCATTTTCACTTGTTACTAAAATCAAAAATCACTAGTTTGTCTTGTCCAGATTCAGTTGGGAGGGGGAATAGACCAGTGGTCCACTCGTTACACTGAAGGCCTGTGTTCAATTCTCCACATGGGTACAATGTATGAATCTCATTTCTGGTGTCCCCCGCCATGAAATTGATGGAATATTGCTAAAAGCAGCATAAAACCCAACTCACTCACTCACCCACATTCAGCTATATAGGCCACCATTATACAACTGGAATGTAGCTGAGTACAAACAGTAATACAAGACTGAAAGGATACTTCAAGATTTCTGTCCGAAATGTTCTGTATTGTGACCGACTTGGTCGTATGTTGACCGATCGACACTTCACCGAAGTCCAGCGTGGTCTTGCCATTGTCAGAGATGACCACAATGGGTGGCTTGACCACTGGGCAGTGCACCTCCAGGTACAGAGTGTTGTGGATACTGTGGCAAAGTATGTACAAAATCAGATTCAACTAACACTTTACTTGTTCAAGGTATCTACGCTCCTAAATGTTACAGCTGAATAGAAGATCCGGTTTAGAATTGATCTTCGGTAACCCATGCTTGTCATAAGAGGCGACTAAGGGATCGGGAGGTCAGACTCGCTGACTCGGTTGACACAAGTTATCGGTTCCCAATTGCATAGATTGATGCTCATGCTGTTGATCACAGGATTGTATGGTCCACACTCGATTATATACAGACCGCCACCACATAGCTGGAATATTGCTGACTGCAGAGTAAAATTAAACTCACTCACTGCAGTTGAATAGTGTTATCCGAATAAGTTTTTAGTTGTTTAGGTGTTTCACATGTCAGCTGATCAGAAGACCAACTATAATTGCAGAAGGTATGTCTAAATTAAGTAATCAAATATCTCCAGCCTCAGGTCTTCCGACAAAATCTGGTCCTGCTTACAGTTGCTTCCTGTCCATTCAGCAGCAGGTCAGTTTTGACCATATCAAAGTTTTTCAAAGGAATACAATATGCTAGCAGTATGAACTTCAGCCCTATTACTGTCTGGGGCACCAGATTTGTTGTTTTAAGGTAAATAATACTGTCATGTGTCACGCTGGGCAATGGGTAAGGAACTGCTGATCTGCTCACAGTCATATTACAAAACTAGGACCCGTGAAACTCTGCGGGTTAGAATTGATCTTCAGTAACCCATGCTTGTTGTAAGAGGTGACTAACGGATTGAGTGGTCAGGTTCACTGACTTGGTTGACACATGTCATCATATACCAATTGCGTAGATCAATGGTTATGCTGTTGATCACTGGATTGTCTTGTCCGGATTATTTACCAACTGGAATATTGCTGAGTGCGATGTAAAACTAAACTCACTCACTCCCTTACAAAACCAGATCGTTCTGGAAAGCAGTATTTTCTGATAATTGCACTGATGCTGGGATTTGAACCATGGACTTTCTGATCAACATGACCAAAGAGGTTAACCCTGTAAGCAGGCTGACAAGGTAAGGATGTCATCTGCAGGATGATTACATGCCCTGCTACTGTAGGTGCCTATAACGAGTACAGGCTGTGTCGTTTACTGCTCTGGAGTATACTCTACCTGTAGGGCAGCTCTCCTGGGTTGCCGCATGTTCCCGAGGCCACATAGCAGGGCACAGTGCAAGTCTTGAAGCCTCCCTTGTATTGCCTCAGTAGAGATCCTATAGCAGCAGCATAGGCTGCAGAGCTGGACAACAACACAAACATACAAACATACATGAAGAAAAGCTGATTATTTACAATCTGCCATCAAACAGCTGGAATAATGCTGAGTGTGGCATATCAAAAATGCAATGGGTACCTGCTATTAGGCATGTATATCTGGTTCAATTAGATTTCACAAGAATTCAGCAAAAGTGTGTCAAGTTTTACAAATGTCAGGGCCAAAACCTTCCAACAAGAAAGACATTGTTCATTTGTCCTTCATTCGACATTGCCTTCCTGCAGAAGATAAATGGAAAAATGGGTATCTTGATGACTCCAAGTGTGTGTGAACATGAGAAGAACAATGTGAAATCAAGTTTATAAAGTTGGCAAACTTGGCAAGAAAGTGAATTGGTCTCTTTTCTAGTTAGTGTTACGACAAACATTTTAGTGTTTTCAAATTTCTACTTTAAAAAATGACAAATGTTTGGTATTTTTCATCCAGTGTCTACATGCATCTACTCCAAGATGGCCTCAGTCAATTCACTTGACACAACAACTCACTCTTTGCTGATAGAATCAGGCTCTGGTGGTGTGACAGTTCCAGGTTTGGCAACAGATGACCCTCCTCCTGGTGTTTGCGGAGACTGGCCTTTACCCTTTCCCGCCGGTTTAGGGGAGACCTTCCCCTTGGCTGGTTTCTTGGCAGCAGCAGCAGCCTTCTGAAGAGGAATAAATTCCTCATACATTTTCTGAGCAATTGTCTTTTGAGTGAGATTTTTCTGTTTTGTGACCTTGACCTTGGACCTGCTGACTGCATGGTGCCAAAACCATTCCAAACGCCCGCTGTAGGATAATGTTCTAATATCAATAATCAGTTTGCCATATTCAAGGATAGAAAATGTTCTCAGCAAAATCAAATTTCCTCAATGGCGCACTTGACTTTGGACAATGTAGCTCTCATTTTGAAGAAACATGTTAACATGAAGTTTCACCGTTGAAAAGATTTCTGAATCAGAAACCAACAATGATTAAATGTTCCAAAAAAAGGTCAACGATGACCTTGATCTTTAACTCATCTTGACCCAAAAAAGATTTTTTTGGATTTTCTTCCGCTCTTTGGATGTTAATTTTGACCTTTTCATGACAAGTGTCAAAAGAATTCAGAAGTGGAAGAGGAATATTATGGCAATAATGTAGAAGTCACAAGAAAATCATCAGTGGTAGCAGCAGTCAAATTCTAACAAAAACGAAAAGGAGAGGCTGCTGACTACTGCCACAACAAATACAAATATTTCAGTTTCATCATAGAAAAGCAGTCTTACCACGTTTAATACTCTGATGAACAAACACAGGTATAATGCTGACAAACCACGAATCAATGGTTTGAACCAACATATAGGATCAGAGAATCCTTGTCCACCCAAGGGACACAACTATGTCTTCCTGTACATATAAAGGCCTCCATGTTACCTGTGCCTGCTCCTGCTGTTCCTTCTCCTTCTTCAAGGCCTCTCGGTACTCCCTGTCTGCCTGGGCCTCCATTATCCGAGTGGCCATCCGCACCGCCTCCTTCCGTATGTCACACTCCTTCAGCATGGGAGAAAACCGTAACTGGATGCGACATTTCTGGAATGAAAACACAAACACTATGACAAGACATCAGACAGAGCAAAGGCGATCCAAGAGGTCATAAACAACACAGAGGTCATAAACAACACAGAGGTTGACAAGTCAGGTGTGTGACAAAGATGTTGAGAGCATTCCCTGCCCACTTCGGGATCCATCAGTGAATAATTCAAGCTCAACAATTCCTATGCCTTTCATAACTGTCTCTAATATAAGGTTAATGCTATTTTCGAGGGCATTATCATTTGCAGAAGCCCTAGGTCTTCTATTAACTGCCCGACAAAGGAGGGCATTTGAAAAAGACCAAGGGCTTCTGCAAATGATAATGCCCCCCAAAATAGCATTACCGTTATTATTGCTAAAATACAAGAATTTGTGTTGAAAAGAAAAAGGAAACCATGAAGGAATTTGACTGTAAGTTTACTGAAAACCAACTTCTGACGGGGTTGACTGACCGAATGCAATTACGTCATCGAACAATTCAAGTGACGTCACAACAGAATGTGACGATATTCGACCTTGGCCTTTGACAAGACCATTGCCTGCAACATGTCAAACTATGTCAGACACAACCTCAGTGTTCAGTGTTCGGTGGTTGGTTTTGGTCCAACAACAACGTTAATAGTGCAATTGTTAAGGTTAACACCAGCAAGAAAGCCAATTTTATCGCTAAAGCGGGAATTCGGGTTGCTTTGACTTGTTTGCCCTAAAATATCTGCCAGTCCAAAGCCAATGTCGGATGAACAGTAAGCCCACACACCCACTATGGATGGGTGACCGTGTTTGGCAGCTTGACTCCTGAGAATGACAACAGAACAGATAGTGGCCCTTCGTTAAGGTTGAGCGGTCCAACATCATTTGCAGTGGCCCGCAAATTTCTGATAATAGCAGGGCCCTTTCATGATAATTCCATGTATTTTAGCTATAAAGGAAGATAAGATACAACAGACTTGGCTATTTTGCTTTCCCAATAACATAAACAAGTTAAGCTCAGTATGGCCCTAAAGAGTTTTTTTGTAACGCTCATGAGTGAGTGAGTGATTTGAGTTGGGTTTTATGCCGCTTTTAGCAATATTCCAGTAATATCACGGCAGGGTACACCAGAAAAGTTCTTCACACATTGTACCCATTTGGGGAATCGAACCCGGGTCTTTAGTGTGACGAGCAAGTGCTTTAACCACTAGGCTACCTCACCGCCCCTGCAACACTCATGAAGAAATTGTATTTTCAGGTCTTGTTTCCCTTTGAACATCATGAAGGTGTCGTGACCAAAAACAGTAATTTGGTCACAATTCTTTACATGTGTCATCGTCAATTATTTTTTTCTGCCATCACTGTACCCAAAGCCATAAATGTCAGAGGTCTCCATCACTGAAGATTTACCTCCCTCATTAAGCAGACACTTTGTGATAAAAATGATACTGTTTGAAGCAACTTCGAACTTCAGTCTCGAACAAATAACCACAATCTGCCCAGGGGTCCTTGTGGTGCAACATGTACGTAGGTGACTCTTGGGTACATCATCAACCTTGTTGTGCCAACTGATTCATCGGTGATAAAAAGTGTGAACATTTGGTTGAAATTCTTTTAGATCAAACCTGAAAATGTACATGCATTGTAAAGAATTAGGAAAGATTTCCAGCAATATGTCAGACAAAAATTGAGCTAAACCTGTAGAGGTTTCCAATTCTTTGAAGAGAATCATCCTTGGGGTACATATATGCATTTTCTGCGGCTGAAAATGTCATGTGACAGTTGTATCAATGTTTTAATAAAAATATTGTACAATAAATAAGAATCTTTGCTATTTATTATATGGCCCCCACCACGTGGAGTTACCTCCCTGCTATGCATGCGCAGCCAACCAGGTAAGCACCTAGGCCCGTATCATCATTCCTTCTGCTGAATAAATCAGTGAACAGAACTGCGGTGAGGTGGGCGGCCCTACCCCAAGGATGATTCTCTTTAAAGAATTTGAAACCTCTACAGGTTTAGCTAATTCTTTTTCATAGAGATCGTCCTTGGGGTACATATATGCATTAACTCAGACTCCCAAAGACCGGAGGCTAGGGAGGAGGGAATTCTGTCAAACTACACATAAATAGCGATCGTTAGGAAGAATGTAACAGACGCCACAACACTCACCTGTCATGTGTCCCGGAGCTTCTGCGAGAGGCATGATGGGAGGGGAACCGACAGGGAGGAAAGTACTGAGACCTGACCTCACAGGTTAAGCAAAGCAATTCGCACACAATGCGAAAGTAAAAAACCCTGCCCACATCGTGATTCTATTAAAGGGCACCGTAAGGGGGAAAACCAACTCACAACCGACTATAATCTCATGAGAGATATCGAAAGTAGTTAGATATGATAACAGCGGATATATCAATTATACACAACTGATAGTAGCGTCATCTGTCCAGATAACCAAGACTCACTCGGTCGGGGAGGCAGGACTCTGTCCACTGGAGAGAACAGAACGTCCAAAACGCGCTCGATCACGAGAATGTGTATCAAGCTGTTAGTGCCTTATAAAAGTGCTAGGCCTGCTCCAAATAGCGGCAGAGCAAATCTCTTCAATGGGCAGTGCCGATGCAAAAGCCTTTGAAGTGGCCACTGCCCTGACCAAGTGAGCCTGCAACCCCTCAGGGGGAGGCTTGCCCTTAGCCTGATAAGCACCACAAATGACCGATACAAGCCAGCGTGATAGGGTCTGTTTGCTAGCCGGCATCCCAGCCTTCCCGCCAACGTAACAGCAGAACAGATGGGTACCCGTACGGATCCCTTGTGTTCATTTGATATAGACCTTGAGGGTCTTATGGACATCCAACGGGTGAGTGCTCATTGCAGAGGTCCCCGATGTGGAAGGCTGGGTAAGAGTGAGAAGTTTGATAGGAGCTGTCACATGGAAAGCGTGATAGATCTTCGGACAGTAAGTATCCGGGAGGCGAATACTGACACGATCAGGAGGGAACACAGTCAGTGCCAGGTCTGCCGACAAAGCATGTAAGTCACCAACCCTTCGCCTAGATGTTACCGCCACCAGAAACACAGCCTTTCATGTTAACAGCTGAATGGAAATTGCCGACAGACTAGAGAACGTAGGACAGGACAGCCAATCTAGCACGATTGACAAATCCCAAGGTGGGCTGCTTCGCCTGACAGCAGGTCGAACCCGATCCACGCCAGCTAAAAAGCGCTGCATAAGAGGGTGCTGCCCCAGAAGAGCACCATCGACAGGGGTGTGGAAAGTGGAAATAGCGGTGGAGTAGCCACGAATGGTCGGAGCCGCCAAGCCTTCTTCCAAACGAGCTTGCAGAAACTCCAGTTCTCGGTGTAAATCTGCAGAAAAGGGATCTGCAATCCCCCTATCTGAATACCAGCGCGCATAGCGGGACCACATGAGTGAGAATGTCTGGTCGCAAAGGTAATAGAACAGGAGGCTGAGCAAGAAACCTGAGAATTACCGGAAACCAGTTCTGTGACAGCCATAGCGGTGCCAGTAGCACAAGTAGCCGAGCTGGCTGGGTGGACAGCTGGGAGAGGACCCGGGGAATGAGTGGTAGAGGCAGAAACGCCCACAGCACCTTGCCCGTCCAATCCAGCAGGAAGCCAACGCCCTCTGGTCCGGTATTCAAGAGCAGAACACAGGTATCTGATATCCACCTGAAACGATCCGTACAACTGGGAGATAACTCCGAATATCTGCCGGTCGAGCATCCACTCGTGCGGGGCCAGGATCCGGCGAGAGAGCGCGTCTGCTCGCACATTCTCCAGCCCCAGGTGATAAACAGGAATCATCTGACAGTCGCACTGGTCGCACCAGAGGAGAAATTCCCACGTCTCCTGAAGGAGCTTAGGGACACCGCGTGCCGCCTTTGCTTCAGGATGTACGTCATGGCCGGACGGTTGTCCAACTGAAGACGCAACCACCTGGCCCTGAACATGCTCCCCGGAAGAGCTCGAAAACCAACCGCACAGCTCTCAGTTCTAAGACATTGATGTGAAGGCAGGCTTCGGCTTCGACCAGAGTCTGGACACCAACAGACTGTCCAGAATACCCCCAGCCCGTGAGGGACACATAGGTTTGAACTGTAAGAGCTGGTGTCAGGATTTCCAAAGGGACCCCCTTGGAGAGATTCCCGACATTGGTCCACCACTGAAGGTGAGGAGACAACCACCCAGGGACTGTGAGACACTTCTCCAGATCCTCTGAGTGAGCCCACAGACTCGCCAAAGCTTGCTGTATAGGGCGCATCCTCATCCTTATAGTCGCCGCCATATGACCCAGTAGACGGAGCCAAGTCTGCGCTGGTGCCTGGGGCTGGGAGGAACGCGAAGACACCATCTCCGTGCTCTGGTGACCTGGTCGGGCTGACAAAAGAGACAAGACCCTGTTGAGTTTTGAACTGCGTCGAGAAAAACCAAGTCCTGGGTGGGTACCAGGTCAGATTTCTTGAGGTTTATGATCCACCCCAGTCGAACTAGAATGTCTATCACCGTGTGGGTAGAATCTAGGCTCGCTGGCTGAGTTAGAGCTGAGCAACCAGTCGCCTAGGTAAGAGTAACAACACCTTCCTTGGCGACCTTGCGAGGTAGCCGGCACTAACATTAGCTTGGTGAACACCCTGGGGGGTAGTGGATATGCCAAAGGGAGCACCGTGAATTGGTAACCCATCCCGTCGTAAGAGAACCGGGCGGTACTGCTGAACGATGGATGAATTGGCACATGTAATCCTTTAGGTAGATCGACGTAAATGCCAATCGCCGAGGGCTGAACAGAGGAGATCACTGCGTGAAGTGTCTCCATCTTGAAGGATGGAACCTCTAACATGCGATTCAACCCCTTGAGGTTGAGAATGGGATGGAACCCGCCGTCCTTCTTCGAACGAGGAAGTAACGCGGAATAAAACCCCGCCTGTTCCTTGCCCGGTAGCATGCACTCTATTGCGGACTTGTCCAGCAAAGCCTGAACTTCGCTGCACAGTATACCTGCCTAGACTGGACATGACGGCACCGGAGTGCACCTTATGCCGTGTGAACTTGCGGGCCTTGCTTCCACAGTGGTAGATGGCGACACTGGATAGGTTGCTGGTAGCCTTCTCCCACTTCGGTAGGAATAGAGAGAGGTGGCCTCCCACTGGGACGTGTGGTAAGAGTGGGTGAGTGGTCCCCTGCAGATGAACTGGCTGAGGCGGATCCACGGTGACAGCCTGCAGGTTTTACGGCTGCGAAAAGGCTGCTGGGGGCCAGACAAAGAGGCGTGCTGCTTGCCCTTACCTTTGTCGGACGGGATCCTCCTCCTACCTCTACCCAGCGGCCGAGGCCAGCCCGGGCAGACTTCGGGCATAGGCTGCGCCCGGAGGAAGAACCCGCTATGGAAGCGCAGGAGTGAGAAGCCTGGCGGTTGCTCCCCAACAAGGCTTTAAGAGTCCTTGAAGGAGGTAGCTGCTGCAACAGCCTCCCGAATGACCTGCTGTACCCCCGAAACAATGTCGATCCCAGCCAAACGGAAGGGCCAGCAAGGTCTGCTGTGTTGCTGCCAAAAACCTGATGTAGACAGCCATCCCCTTATGACTGGGCAGACCACGCCGCAGACCGTGAAAAGAGTCTCGTCAGGTGGGCCTGTACTTTCCGATGGCTGGCTGAGAAGAACAACATTTGGGAAACGTCACCAGTGCTCCCTTCCACCACCAGAGCCGACCTTTGTATCAAGGAAAGGTATGCCATGTGGACCCACGACCGCACCTTCTGCATGGCATTCCGGTAGACTTCCTCGTGAAGTCCAGTATGCCTGCTGCTGGGCGGCCGCCATGGTACTAACCGTCCTTGCTTGGCAGCCAGGGCTGCACTTGAGGAAGCCGAGACTCCCCGAGGCGAGAAGTAAACACTCACTTTCGTCAACCACCGCACAAAGAACAAGAATCATCCCCAGCTGATACCTCTTAACGAAGTTCTGGAAGATCAAACCGAGGCGAGAACCAACCAGGAGGGATCCATCACGTCCTGCACCAGGGAAGGCAAGATAACGGAACAATGTCTGAGAGGGCTGCCTAGGGCAAACGCTCTCACCCGCAGCGGAACTCAGGGTCGAGGAGTCCGGGGCACTGCCACTTCTTGGGTAATATACTCGCAATACGCTGCCTAACCTCCCGAAAGCCACCGTGGCAGGGTAATATACTTGGCAATACGTTGCCTAACCTACAGGAAAGCCACCGTGGCTTGGGAATATACTTGGCAATACGCTTGCCTAACCTCCCGGAAAGCCACCGTGGCTTGGGAATATACTTGCAATACGTTGCCTAACCTCGGAAAGCCAACAAAAATGGAAAGTACCCACCGACTCCTCGACCTCCCCAACCTCCATTGACTCGGCACCCAAGCCCGAGTCAGAATTTGGATCTCCACGCAAGAGGAGCTGAACCCGACCCGGTGGGAGGCGAGCCACAGATGCTGCAGGAAGGGAAGAGCCGGAAGGGACTCTCAGCTCTGGCCACCCGACACAACACTTGAACCCGGTCCGAGACACGGGAGGAAGGCCAGACAGAACCGCCTCCTCCGCTCTCATGGGGCAGGGTGGCGCCAGGGACCATAACTCCATGAATCCTCAGCGGACCCTGCGCCAACACCAAGAGAGAGGAACCCTCCCCTTCCCTCCGGCAGCCAAAGGCGTCCGGACCCGAAGCCAAAGGCAAAGGATCGACAGACGCCTCCCAGGCCAAGGGATCGAACCAAGCTCGCTCGATCCCACCCTGGACTCTTGATCCCCGATCAGAGTAGGCGAGGAACTCCTGCCGGAGACCTCCAACTGACTTGTGAACGAGGGACTTCCGCGAGTCCATATGCTGCTGAAACAATTGAGGGATAAGTGACATATCAAAACAACTGGACAGAGGAGACGGAGAGTGTGACCTATGTGAAGATTTAGATTTAGTTTGCTTAGCCTTTTGGCCTTAGACGGGGAACCTCCTGGGTCAAATCCCTCCACCTCATGCAATTCCTTGTAAAAGGAAGTCAGCCTGCCCAGGGCCTGGGCCTGGGGAGAAGCCCATGCACAACTCACAGATGTCAGGGTTATGCCCTGCCTTCTCCAGGCAGCATAAGCATTTGTCATGTTTATCAGAACGGGAATATTTTGCCCGCAGGTAGCACATCCCGTAAACGCCTGAAAGCAAACACGCAAGCATGTAGCTAACGGCATAACCCAACAGCATAAATATACACGTACAAAACATTGAAAATTACGTGAATGCGACAACGCGACATGAAATACTTGGTTAATAACGCAATATTTCAACCACGTGGCATGCTAAACTTCCCGCCATGGCTTAGCAACACGTGTGTAAACCACGGGAAAGCGTAAAAGTTTAATACAAAGTCACATTAATGAGAAATAACAGACTGCAAAGTCCATAAGCGAATAATTCTCAAAACAAATATAGACCATACATACAGTTGTTGAAGTCTCAGACATTCTTCTACAAGAAGTAAATCAGCTAGTAACTCTTGGGTAAGTACGTGTGAACGCTAGAGTGACAGCAGAAGGAATGATGAGAGGTGCTTAACTGGTTGGCTGCACATGCGTAGCAGGGAGGTAACTCCACGTGGTGGGGGCCGTGTAATAAATAAAAAAGATCTGTATTTATTGTACAATATTTGTATTAAAACATTGATACAACTGTCACATGACATTTTCAACCGCAGAAAATGCATATATGTACCCCAAGGATGATCTCTATGAGAAAGAATAACAAACCTTTCCTGGTTCAATGGTGCCAACAGTTGGGGAGATGGTCAGTGGACAGTCTTCCGGAAGGACAAACTCAAATGATGTCGGCCCAACTGGAGCAATCTCACCTACAACATAAAAATAATCATAAAATAATACATCATCTCAACAAATAAAATAATTCATATACATTTCGGTATTCCTGAATATTTAATTTGCCAAATGATAAAAGATCTGAGTGAATGAGTGCTTTTGCTTATACAGTCTACCACTTTGGTGAAACCCTTTGGCAGAGGTACTGACATAAATGCAAACCTAATCCCACAAATCAAGAATTGAATCCCATGATTGCAGGTATCTGGAATCCCTGAAGGACCCTTTAAACAGAGTATTAATTGGCAGTGTTTTCAGCATGACAAGTGAATGATTCAAACACATGGCTACCCCACCATGATTATTCCAAGACAAAGCTAAGAAGAGTCAGCTGTGCAGTCTTTTCATTGTGGAACATTTTGCACAGTGACTAAAACTTCCAAGTTATGTTAGTACTACTCTCATTATCAGATACCTCCAAGTTGTTTTTGAGGAGTGGGAAAGCTTGAAGGTAAAGTGGTTCATTTGTCATGGTGAATAAAGAGGTTCAATTCCCTACATGGGTACAATGTGTGAAGCCCAGTTTTGGTGCCCTCCAAGGTGATTTTGCTAGAATGTTGGAGTAAAATTGAACTCACTGTCCATGTTGTGGCATACTGACACTGAACTCACTCACTCGCTCACTCACTCACTGTCTATGTTGTGGCATACTGACACTGAACTCACTCACTCACTCACTATCTATGTTGTGGCATACTGACACTGAACTCACTCACTCACTCACTCACTGTCTATGTTGTGGCATACTGACACTGAACTCACTCACTCAATCACTCAGTTGTTTGTGTCCATGTTGTGGCATACTGACACGGAAGTCACTCACTCACTGTCTATGTTGTGGCATACTGACACTGAACTCACTCACTCACTCACTGTCTATGTTGTGGCATACTGACACTGAACTCACTCGCTCACTCACTCACTGTCCATGTTGTGGCATACTGACACTGAACTCACTCACTCACTCACTGTCTATGTTGTGGCATACTGACACTGAAGTCACTCACTCACTCACTGTCCATGTTGTGGCATACTGACACTGAACTCACTCACTCACTCACTGACTCACTGTCCTTATTGTGGCATACTGACACTGACCTTTGCCAATCCTTGGAACTGGATGAGTGAACTCATTACTGCTGGTGTGAGAATTGATGACGTGGAGCGAAGCAGTGGAGACGTCATACAGCGAGGTTGCAGCAAAGTGTATGACTTGCTGGGACAACTCCAGTGGTGGGTGGACCCCAACTCCCTTACACTGGATCTTGAACTGCCTGAAACAGAGAGCGAGTCAGTGTTGTTTCAGGCCAGAGTAATATTCAAGCTGTAGCGTGACTGTCTGTGAAACAGATCTCTGAGTGGAAGTAAACATAATGACATGATTACGCCAATTTCACAGTGTAGATTCTAAAACTGTCATCAAAACAAGAGAATGTGTTTGAATGGGCACACACATCAGAAGTTGATCATATCATTAGCCTGCAAATAGTCCAATCTGGGCCAGATAAACCAGTGATTGATAGCATGAGAAAAGATTCCTGCCATATATCAGAGCAGGATGAGGTACCACAGGTGATATTTCAGATCAGTCAATCAAGGCTTCCAAATTGTTAGAACCATACAGCAAGCTTTCCAGACAACCAAATCCGATTCTTGTGTCTCACAAAGGTATATAACATGGTTTAATGATGTCATAGATACAGAGGTACATCCCGTCATTTCTCTATACCGTGGCAACTACAGATAATCAAGTGCTATCACGGTTATGTGTGACCCGGGACATTTCTGAACAAGAAATGGCACTAAGGTGACATAATTCCCCGCCGCAAATTATCAAACCAAACTTGAAAAGTAATGAAAGTGAAGGTCGTAGTTTAAGATGAAGTTAAATGTCAATAAAAACATGACCAGTCAACCTCTCTTGATATCTTCCTCTGTAGTTGTCCAAACACACAAATATTTTCAAGATTCACTTTGACCTTGACATGAGAGTCATGGTGTATGAAATATGCAAAAATAGAAATACAGAAATTGTTTATCAAAATACAAGCTTAACATGCAGGTTAACATGATGAAATCTTCAAAGTGTTGCCATGACCTTGAAAATTAGGTGAAGATCACAAAAATTGGCTGGACCCTGCGCCTTCCCTAGATGAAGCTTAGTGTCAAACATGAAGAAAATCCAGTGAACAGTTCCTGAGATATCTTGCTCACATGGGTAAAACGTTAATGTCCCCTTGTGACCTTGAAATAAAGGTCAAGGTCATCAAACCTGACTGGGACCTTTAGCATACTGTGATGAACCTAGTTACCAAATATGAAAAGAATCTAGTCAACGTATCTTAAGATGAACCAATTCATACGTACGGATGTACGGACGTAAGGATGGACAGAGCCTAATAACACACCTTCGCGGATAATTAAAGCAGGAAGCCATATCTAAAAAACAACTGACATTTAACAGCTCAAGTATATCCTTCATTCGTTTTGATTGTGGAGTCAAAGATAGTTTTGCAGGTGTCTTGATGCTGGAATCTTATCTGTGTAAACCATATGATTTTAACATTGTTTTTTGAAATTGGTCATAAATGTTTGTAATGAAAACAAGCTTGCTGTTACTTAGGACATAAACCTCCTGTCTTTTCAATGCAAACTTTAACAGCACCAACCAACATAAACCAAGAGTTTTGTTTAGTAAAAATATATAGTTTTGAAGTCTACATTACAATCTAAGTTCCTGCAAACCATCATTGAACACATCTCACCTATTAATAAGAGATTTACAGCAGAGGTCAAACTTGTAATCCCTGGCTTTGGGAGGGCTGAAGATGACATGTAGTTCAATAGTTTCAAGTGGTAGAAGCGTCCCGAACCCATCATTTGGCTGAATCTCCACATACTGAAATCAAAACATGAAGAAGTAAAAATGAAATGCTCAGTACTCTTTATACCTAAAAACAACAACGCTGTAGTACTTCACCCTTCTACTGTAGTTGGTCAGCAGTGTTTGCCATGACACAGAAAACCTGTGTATTTGACACACAAATTATCTCAAGTACGCAGTTAATTTAGAAGCTTGCGTCATTGTTGACACAATGCTACTGGGCCCTTAGTTCAGATAATCTAAACTTTGGTTTCTGTGCAAGACTGCAATGACTGTTTTTTTGACTGCTCAGTGCTGATTAAATACCTGGCTTGCCTTGCCTTGTTTTTTTGTCGATATTAAACAATCACAGTTGATGTCTGGATGAAAGTTCCAAACTGAAGTTGACTTTCAAAAACATGTCAATGACCTACTCTCATGACACCAGGGAGTCATGATGACTCCTCAGTTTTTATGCCATGGGCAAACACTGGGTCAGTGGTTGGAAGCAATGCTATGAAGAGTTATTTCCCTTAGCTGCAGTGGCGAATTTTCTTTTAGCACAGCTGCAAACCCCTTATGTCCAATAACTGGGTGGATTTTGTTTTTCGCAGATAGGATCATTGGTAATTATTAGCTTTTCTTATTTCCACCACACTCAGCAGCAAGCCAATCATGATAAGACAGACAAAACAATGATCGATATCATGAGCAGCATGCAACTTTGTCGAAATCCAACTGCATCCATGAGTATGATGCCAAATTCAATTGTGGAAATAGCATAGGTTGTTAAGGGAACCCCAAATCCCCAAACAAATTTGTCACTACAGAATGCTTACATCTGGATGCCCAACAAAGCCATATGGCTGGGGTAGGATAGACTTGTTGGTCAGCTGGATGGATGTCTTGACCGACTCGTAGATGGTGCAGCAGCCGAAGTCAATGTTGGAGACATCAAACATCATGTCCGAGTTGGTGACTACCGCTGTCACTGTGAAGGGCACAGGCTGTGTCTGAAACAGAAACATACACAGATCAAACACTGCCCCTGTAACACTATCAGTATGATGTCAGCAGCTGCAATCACATCACCATCATAGTTCATTGGGCTTTCGTTAATTTCTGTCCTAATATGGTAGTTTCCATTGTCAAGTGGATGGAGCATCAACCTGGGCAGAGAAAGGTTGGCAGTTCCATCCCTTGCTGCTTCACCAAACTACATACAAAGATGGTACTTGTTTCTGTACCTGGTGTCTGACATTAAGGAATGGTTAGCTAAGATTCAGTACACTGTGTAGAAATTCTGTTGAAACTTGATACAAATCAGATCTTGCACATTGATGAGAGATGCATTCTAAGCTTGACCAACAGTAGTAATGAAATTGCTCTGATTTAAATGATAGTTAATGCGCAAAGTATTTGTGATCATCATAACTGCATGCAATCCAAAGACATGTCCCAAACCCTTATTTTGAATGTGTATAAAGATATATTTGTCCACTACAATGTATTAAGAAAAGAAACGGGAAAAGAAAGTTGCTCTTAGCCTGTCACATACCTGGTCTGCAACTCTTATCAGCAGGGGAGCTTCTAACACACCAGTTTCCTTGTCAAAGTACTTCCCCGCTTCTTCAAACAAGCTTTTTCTGCCCATGAAGAAACAGGAAATGTAAACAATACTGCACATTGTATTTTTAATTTTTTTGTAAAACAATGCTCAAGGCATTGACAGCCACTGTTGGCTATACAGTTGCAATAATCCCACCACAATGTTGAATCATTTTAACAATTTTTAAGCATAAGGTTCAGCTAACATCAGTTTTACTGCGATTTTTACCTGGGGAGGAACTTGAGCTGGGCAGAGAACTGGGACTGTGCCTGGATATATCCTGTCTTTGGCAGCAGCTCCAGGTGGTTACGCAACTCCTTACACACCTCAAATCTCAGCCGCAGGGCCGTGGTTGCTCTAAAACACAGATTACCTCATAAACCAATATTAACATACTACTAATGTTATGGAGCCTTGTTTCATGGAATTAACCTCTGACATGTACATTTAACAGAATATCACTCTGTCCCTGACACATTCTGCAGAAAGTCCCTGTTGTCTTCCAATGCACCTGTAATGTGGTTTTGACATGTTAAATGTCTGATTGATGGGGCAATCAACATGGGTGTATGTGAAACCTATTTTTCACCATTACTGTCATGTCATGAAGCCTTGTGGTTAAAGTAGTGGCCTGTGACACTGAATAGCCAGGTTTGATGTCAGAATGAAGCAATTTCTTAAAAACCCCGCGAAACAACATTCAGACACTTACTCACAGTAACCATTAAACACTAACAGGAGAGAATGTATGTAGACAATGACACATTGTGATTAAGAGCAGACAATTTTTATTTATTATATTTGATAGGATATTTATCTAGCGCACATATCCACATAACTAGTACATGCTCAAGGAGCTGGAGTGTTCCTTCGATCATTGGATGTCAATCTCAATGGCACATCGTATTATCAATCTCCACTCCCTGGGGATCATACAACTCTTGCAGCCACTAGGCACACTGAGTTTTTGCGGCTGTTTCATCCTTACAAGGCACCCAATCACAGCTGGGTGGACTGGGACACATAGTCACAGTACTTTGTCCAGGTTTACTGCACGTTGTTGTTCATGCAACTAGGTGTTTGCACGTATTCATGAGGCCACCATCTGGTCATATACCAACGGATTCGTGGGTTCTTTTAAGACCTCAAACTCGCTGGATCACAAGCCTGGCACGTTAGCCAGCCGCCCACAATGCCCCAGACTCCATCATGTTACAGAAACACCGCTGGAAGCCACACTCACCTGTTGTTGACGATGACTGTATCCTGGAAGAGCCGGTCTAACATGCAGATCCTCAGGTCCACTGTCTGCCTCTCCACCCACACAGGGACGTCCATTGCTGTCCCTAACGCACTCACAGAAAGCTGCAACATTATCATCATTCTCAGTCAGAGATGCAGTTTTCCATAAACCCATTTGTTTCAAGGTCCTTCTGCTATTCTTTAATCAATAAAGCCTCTGACCCACATTCAACTGATGACAAACATAACGTAAAACTCTTAGCTGCAGTAACGCAGCATATCAAATTTGAAGAGCAGAGATTGAGAGCTTAGCCAATGTCTGGAAAGTATGAGCCACACCTTCAGCCTAGTGTCCAGACTGTATGTGATTGATATTAGTCTACTCTGACAACAAGCATGGGTTACTGGGGACCAATTCTAACATGGGTGCCTCACCAGCATGAACACTGTCCTATGACAGCATGGACCAATTCTAACATGGGTGCCTCACCAGCATTAATGCTGTCCTATGACTGCATGGGGCACTTTACTGAGGTAGTTTGTCTCATAGTTCCTGAACCTAGTCCCTTTACCATATTATTTTGTTTCCTTTCTGCCCATGCCTTTAGGCAATGAAGCAGGCCCAGAGTTTCCTCAGCTTCACGATACCCTATATCAAACTCATGTTCAATTTACATGGAGTTATTTGATTCTATAAAAATGACATAGTTGCAGAGGCTACTGCTGGGCATCTGGGCATCTACCTCAGAATCCTCTGTGAGTTGTGTTATGAGTCTGACAGAAGCAGTAGGTCCACTTACCACATCAGACAGGGGTCTGAGAAGGTGACGAGGAACTCAGTGTCCACTTACCACATCAGACATGGGGTCTAAGAAGGTGACGAGGAACTCAGTGTCCACTTACCACATCAGACAGGGGGTCTGAGAAGGTGACGAGGAACTCAGTGTCCACTTACCACATCAGACAGGGGGTCTGAGAAGGTGACCAGGAACTCAGTGTCCACTTACCACATCAGACAAGGGGTCTGAGAAGGTGACCAGGAACTCAGTGTCCACTTACCACATCAGACAAGGGGTCTAAGAAGGTGACCAGGAACTCAGTGTCCACTTACCACATCAGACAAGGGGTCTGAGAAGGTGACGAGGAACTCAGTGTCCACTTACCACATCAGACAGGGGGTCTGAGAAGGTGACCAGGAACTCAGTGTCCACTTACCACATCAGACAGGGGGTCTGAGAAGGTGACCAGGAACTCAGTGTCCACTTACCACATCAGACAGGGGGTCTGAGAAGGTGACGAGGAGCTCAGTGTCCACTTACCACATCAGACAGGGGGTCTGAGAAGGTGACGAGGAACTCAGTGTCCACTTTGCCTGGTATTGTCGGTTGCCAGATAATCTCAAGTTTGACAGAAGAGAAAGGACCAATCTCCCCAGTTACCACCTGACCGACTCGCATTCCATCCAGTGTCCCATAATCGTCCATTTCACTGATCGCAAAGTCAGGGGAGGCAACTGTAAACAGTTGAAAAATATTACATATTACCGGATTTGCCAATAATGGTGTAATTATTCAATAAAATGTCACAATGTCATCTGTCATTCAAAACAGAAAAACTTGAGCATTTCAAGAAGAAATGACAACCATGAAATGCATAATCATTTGGGCTATCAAACTTTAAAGTTTGTTCAGTCAGTCAGGGGAGACAGTCTGACAACCGTGAGTTCCTGGTAAAAAGTGAAACAATTGTAGCAAGGGAGATAACTCAACTATGTACCTTCTCCATCCAGCTCCATTGGCTTCAGCTCCATGCCTGGCAGACCATCAGCTGTCACGCCAGAACTCTCTGGCAGAACCGCTCCATCCGGTAATGGATGACCATCAGAAGGAGTCAACTCAGGGCTTTGTTCTGGGATTTTCTCCCAAATCTGAGACAAAATAGAATCAATGAATTCACATCACTCATCCAGTGGGAAGATGCATTCATGCTTGCACCACTTTCTGAAGCTTCTGAGTCATGATGATATGTGAAAGCTGTAACTAAATCATCGGAAGACATGTTTTCAGCAAGAACTAATATTAGTACAAAATATAGTTTCCTCACAAAATTTAATTGTACCTCACATTCATAATGTCCAGCATTTTTTTGTATTTTTCAAGAGCACTTCCCCTTTATAAAAGATCTGCATCTGTGCATGTCACAGGACCAATCTTTTGTGTTTGAGATAAAAGTGTTGTGATACTGATGCAATGGACAGCATAAAAATAACTGGCATTTCCTGATGAAAATCCTCACCATCCATAGACATCTTCTTTCTACTTTCTGGCCCTCTGTCTGTGAGACTGATGGATTTGGCCTTGTCTGTGAATTCCACCGAGTCTGGACTCATAGCTCTCAGTGTGTCTGCAGTTGTCTGGAAGAAGGTTACAAAGACATAAGTGTCCACATTCTCATCAAGTGAGAGCACTTTTACTCCTGCTGACAATAGATTTCAGCAGTCGGATATGGGGGTCATTCAGCCTTTATCATAGGCATGCCTTTTACTGAGGCTTGAAGTGGGAGAAACTCAGTCTTAGATGATTACCTCTTTGATGAAAGGCATGAGCACATGTGCAGACAAAATTAACCAAGGCATTACAACCCGACAATAGCATGCCTGGGGACTAAGGGACATAACTCAACATGTCACAGCAAATTCCACCTTGTGTTTCTTTTATTTATTTTTAAACGCTGCACTCAGCAATATTCCAGCTATATGATGGCAATTTGAAAATAATCGAGTCTGGACCAGACAGTCAAGTGATTGACATCATGAGCATCGATCAATGCAGTTAGGATATGACATGCATCAACTAAGTCAGAGAGCCTGACCACCTGATCTCACTAGTTGCTTCTTACGACTGACTGACTGAGTTTGGTTTTACGCCACTTTTAGCAATATTCCAGCAACATCATGGCGGGGGACACCAGAAATGGGCTTCACAAATTGTACCCATGTGGGGAATCGAACCCACGTCTTCGGCGTGACAAGACAACACTTTAACCACTGGGCTACCCCACCGCCCCAGTTGCTTCTTACGACAAGCATGGGTTGCTGAAGACCAATTCTAACCCGGATCTTCATGGATTAAACCTATGTGTTGTATATAGAAAACATTGCCTTACCAGTCTTCCAAGTGAAGTCTCAGCTGTGGTGCATGTTCTCTGCTTCATCCCTGTAACACACATTCAACACTGTAGGCATTGCTACACAAGTTCATCGATAACATAATAATTTTCTCTCATATGTCTTGCCCCAAAAAGTTCTTTAATTTGAAGAAAATCCACCATTCGCTAACCTGTGACTTTGAAGAACTCAAACTTTGTTCCAAGTGCTCCCTTGTTGCTAAGAGTCACAGTACGTTTGAGTGTCTCTCCAATCACGGTGGTACCAAACTCCACAATCTTCGAGTCAACATGGAGCTGAAACACAGAAACATCCTTCACTAGAACAGTGTTTAAATTGTTTCACTATGAATACTTAAAATCAACAACTCACAACAATTTATTTTATCATCTAGAATCTGTATAATCTCAGGTCACAACAGAAACCAATTATATTTTTCCGAACAACCAGAAACAAAAATGTGGACAAATAAAAGGGTTATGAAAAATAATCATGAACTAGTAGGATCTGAGACTAACTGTAGCTTTTCTAGCATTGATAAGTAAATAAGCAATACATCAGCCATATTATACCAGGTAGCCACCTCTGGTCAATGGTTAATATCGCACTCAGAAAATCCAGTTCATCTGTTCCAATATTTATCCTCTGTTGCACTGGGATTGTACACACACCCCTTCCTCATCCTCTCCACACACCCCATTCCTCTGGCCCTCACCCTCCACCTCTATCCTCCTCCACCCTTCCTACCCCTCCACACACCCTCCACCTCTATCCTCCCTTCCTCATCCCCTCCACACCCCCCTCCCACCCCCATCCCCTTCCTCATCCCCTCCACTTCCCTCACCCTTCCTTCCCCCCACACACCCATATCCCTCCCTTCCATCACCCTCTACACACCTCACCCCCCTCCACACACCCCATCCACCCTCTACCCTCCCTTCCTCCACCCCCTCCACTCCAGTCCCCTCCACCTCTCCTTCCCTCCCTCCCCCTCCACACACCACATCCACCTCTATCCTCCTTCCTCACCCCTCCACACACCACATCCACCTCTATCCTCCCTTCCTCATCCCCCGGACACCCCATCCACCTATACCCTCCCTTCCTCCATCCACCTCCCTCACCCTCCCTTCCTCCCTCCCTCCACACACCCCATCCACCTCTATCCTCCCTTCCTACAGGTCATAACTTACGTCACACTTCTTGGTTGTACATCGCAGTGGGATTGCGAAAGGCCCCGTCTGGGACAGGAAGTTGACCTCGCCAACAAGATCCTCGTTGATCTGTGGATTAATTGTTTCAAAGTAAATGAACACAGCATCTCATGCCTTAAACAACAAACACTTGGTATAGAAATTTATTTGAAATTATTCAGTCTGTGAATTGTGGAGTTTGTATGATGTTCGGTCACTGTATGAAATAAGCTAAAAACCCAGCCAGACGTCGGGGTGGTAACTTCAAAATGTTAACAGCCCACAACGTATTTAACCAGACCAGACTATCCAAAGAAAATTACTCAGATGTATGGAACCTGTTATCTAAAATGTTACTTGACCATTGGGCTGGCTAGCTATAAATTTAGACCATCCATCAGAAATCTTTCCTGTCTCGGGCGGTCGGAAGGGCCTTATTTTTAACACTGATTCAGTGTATGGTTTGTGGAACTCAGATGTTTGTGCTCTGAGATACACACAGAACATGTGTCAGTACTTGTGATACAAACATACTGTCACAAGAACTAACAGTTATTACACATTTTGAGACAATATTATCAAGAGACAGCTTTTACCTGCAGGAATGTTCATAAAACTCACCATGGGATTGAATGTTACACATTTAGAAGCAATATTAACAAGGGACATTTTCTCCTGCAGAATCTTTCGATAATATTCACTTACCATTGGCTTGAATGTAACCATCATTTCACAGGTCAAACCAGCTGACATCTGACCAGGCGGGTCAAAGCTGAAAGTTGAATATTCACATGGACATAAATAGGGAGTGAAGTCAGGCTGCAGACAGTATTGTTTCAGCTGTATATATTAGAGGGTTCACACAGGGGTTCACAAAGGGGTACTCATGGGAGTAGAGATAGGGGTACATTCGGGTTGAAGAAAACATCAGGGTATACAACAGGTACACATTACATCATACCAAGGTGGTATGGTACACATCTGGGTACACTTCAAGGTACAAATAAGGGCATGCATCAGAATCAGTATACATCAGCCATGGTAACCACCCTCCACCAATCTCAGTTGTCTCTTGCAACAGATAGACCTGCTCTACTCTAATAGTAACTCAGACGAATGTTTGATCTGGGCTGCTAATCCTTGAAGAAATCAAATTCCACTACTTGGTCACATTACCCATAATGTGTTTGGCAGCTTGACTCTTGACAATTTCTCGGACTTTAGTCCTGCTTCACAATGAAACACATGTGATACATGTGGTCTCACCTTAGACAAGTGAGTTTGTTCAAGATTGCCTCTGTTCACCCAGCAGAAAATGGGTACCAGGTGGGATAAGTTATGTGACACTTCTAGCGCCTCACAATCAGCTTGGGTTATCCGGGGTAATTATGAACTGTGGAACTCTGTTAGCGCTTTGAGCACACTTTGGTGTGGAGTTTAGCACAATATAAGAATCCATATTATTATTATCATTATCTGCAGTTCATCAGTTTGACTCTAGTGGAAGTCTGTGTGACTCACTCGATATGTATGAAGTCCTTGAGCCTCTCAGTGATGCCTACAAACTTGCAGTAGTTGACTGTGTACGACACATTGGTCAGTATCACCTTCTTCTTGTAGCAGTGGCCGACGTTGAAGTCCTAGATGAAGGAACATGTAGTGAGACACAGCAAACAAAGTCTGCATAATTCATTGTAGTAAAACTTCGCATGAATCAAGTCAAACAGTACTTATGAGTCCCCAGAGTTTAAGGTACACTTAGAAACACAATCCTAATAACAAACCTCCCTTTTGAGTTGTTTATCTTTTTCAGCCATTTATGTGTGTACTACTGCATAAGTATTAGGGGTGGGCGATAATACCGCTTAACCGGTATATTGCAATTCGAACTTCACAATACGATATATTGCGGCACACTTTTCGCGAACCGGTTCACCCGATACGATCGGTAATTTCCGTGACCAAGATCGGTAATTTTCGTGATGATGTATATCCTTTATATTATTATACATTAATAGTTTTGAGAGTGTTTATTGGCCATATAATTGCATTTGCGTGACTTTTAAAGCATATAGATTGGTACCGGCACTCGTTGATAAACAAACCAAAATGGGGGACGCCGCTGGACGCTTTTTCTCGAGTTGCAAACTTTAGAGTGAAGTCTTCAATTTGGAAACATTTTCAATTGATCTCTTGTACAATCACATCTGAGTTCTGACAGTGGCCAGTGGCATTGTTTCAAAAGAAAGGAAACAGTAATTTCATTACCTTAAACCATCTGTAACACTTTCACAATATATTGCAATACATATTGCAATACGCCAACACATATCACAATATATCGCAATACGGAAATTTTGGCAATACCCAACCCTAATAAGTATACTGGACAAACATCTAAGGAATGATGAGAATATGAACATACTTAACAAACAGTATCTTTCACAAAATATACCTAGGTATTTAGCAAGTAAACATTGCATCAATAACATTCCATGAAAATTAAGCAGGTGAACATTTTCTAGCTTAGGGAGCATTCATAATTTATGTATATGGCCAGGGGGAGATGATGATTTACATGGAGAAGCATGTACAATGTGAATGACACCCCCACCCCCCAAGATTTATGTACAAAGTAAGTGACCCCCCTGCATGTAAGTGTATTTCAAAAATATCTTTATGTACAAAACGGCTGACCCCATCAAGTACATGTGTAAAAAATTAATGACCCTCCCTACCTTCTCAGAACAAAATGGGAGACCTCCCTTTAAAATCATCATCATCAACCCCCCAGCCCCACCCCCAGCCACATACTATGAACGGCCCCTAACTGCATTTTCTTTAAGCAGCAAAGTGAAGTGAAGACATCGTTAAAAGGAAATAGTGCCATATTTGTCTCAAGAGCATGAACGGAGCTATGAGTACCCAATATGGCCTCCAAGAAGGTGCTCTTACCTTGAAGTGTATGATGTCCGGCTTGCTGTAGAAGGGACAGCCTGTGAACTCCTTCCCAGCAGCCACTTGCTTCACAATGATACCCTCACGGTGTTTGTCCAAAACCTTGGCTAGGATTTCCTGGTTCAACATGACAAGGTATCATGTTAAAATGACCTTCTAACACTACATACTAGTAACAATACCAATAATAACCATTCCAGCAACAAAAACAATAATAATGATAGTAATAGTGATGATAATAGTGATAAGAAACATACAAGGTAACACAGGTCATGACACTTTTCTACTTATGCAAAATGTACAAACAAGGATCTGACATATTGGGTTTAGTTTAGTTTGGTTATGCTTTTAACAATATTCCAGCAATATCACAGCAGGGGACTCCAGAAATGGGCTTGACACATTGTACCCATGTGTGGAATCGAACATGGCCTTTGGTTTGATAAGCGAACACTTCAACTACTTGGCTACCCTCCCATCACCAGAAATTAAACCAATGTTCTGGACAGGTCAAGGATGGAACTACACAGTGAATGGTGATAACGTACACTACTGAGCCATGTATGCAAGTCCTCACCTGGTCCATCTTGCTGGCTCCTGGCAACTTGACATGACTGTCCACATCTTTGGGCACCTTGTACGGTTTGTGCTGGTCCCACAAACCTTCAAACTCTGGTTTGGCCAAGTTGACATGCTGGTCATCTGGAATCACGATGAAAACCATTTTATTGTTTCAGTAGCGAGGTATTATGTTTATGTTGCTATTTCCACGATAAATGTGGACTTTTCAGCGTTTTTCTGCATAGTGGGAATGTTTTCTTTGGTAGGCCTGGTTCTGTCACTGTCAATAGTGGACATGGTAACTGAGATGGGAGCCCATCCTACCTTCACTGTCCCCTGGCGTTGGAATCACTAGAGTCGAGCAGTTTATGAGAGATGCCCATCTCCCGGAATGTGTCCTGTCTCTCATCCTCGTCCTCTGTGTCATCCTTCACTCCATCCTGCTTCTGATCACAACAAAACACGGTTTAATACAATTCAGAAAAATGTACAGATAACAAGAACTGAAATCAGCAGGAACAGAAAAACATTGTATAGATTATTGCAAAGGTTTATTACTAACAAGTCAATCCAATGGCCCAGTGGGTTTTTAACCCTTGGAGGAAAACCTCTCTCAGTGAGTTCCCGTTCCGCTGGAGTAAATAGTAGTTAGCAGTATCAGACATATAAGACAAGAATATGATGCCCCATTGGAAGAAGCATCGGTGCTGGCTATTCAAAAAACTCATTTTGAACATCCACTTATCGATATACAAATGACTCTAGAAGACTGACCACATATCCTATTTTAGATGAAGTATTCCTGTTATCTTCTAAGTCATTTTCTGATAACAATATGAGTGAGTTCCATTTGTTGCCTCATTGAACAGCATTTGAGTTCTATCAAAGTTTGATAAATTCCTAATATAGGATATTAATGATACGGAAACACACTCGGTTAATAATCTCTTTATCATATAATGTCATTCTTAAAATTACTCTAAAATAGAAGCAAATCGTATGTGAATTTATATGTGAAGAGAATCAAGCATACGTGTAAGAATACTTAGCGGTACACCAAGGTGAAGGTCGTTCATGATGGCAGCATATGGTTGTGACTAGTCGCTAATACAGTGCAAACATAACTCATGCTTAAAATAAGATCTTTCTGTCTAAAAAGAACAACAAAATAAGGCAGGGTTTTCTTGGTAGTGTTTCTATTTTCATTGCGGGTAATCACCTCATCAGTATCAGTTTCTGATACCTGACGGAATTGATTCGTCGTCTTCTTTGTTGTGATCAATAGATCGAAATCCTTGGTTGGTACCTTTCTTAAATGATAGCCTGTCACTTGTGCCTCATAATCTGTACCTTCAATCTGAACGAAGTTCTACGTTTCATGTTTTCCAAAGTCAATTACTGCAGTAACGACTCCAGAACCTCTGTCATCAGTTCTTACAGAATCACCAATTTTGATAATGGGGGCAGCCATGTTTGTTTACAAACTCGTCCACGCAATGTAAACTCGCGGGGACGTCAGCAATGATATGTTAACATTTTAGGATTCGCATGGCATGTATGGAGTTTTGAGAAAGTAGTTCGTGGATTGACGTTGTTTGCATAGTTATCAGATTTGGATACGAAGTTTATCAGACTGCTTTTTTGCACTGATAACACATTCTATTAGATGATAATGTGAATGCAATGCAAGTCTTTGGTGAACCCCATGAGCATGGGTATGGTGCTGTCAAACCTACAAACATAATCAAGGTGATTCACTTATAGTCATGCCGCCACTTCAACACTGACTTAAACTCGTCAGAGCACTAAGATCTTCTTATGGTAGGGTCCCAATCCACAAAGTGTTCGTAAAGTTATGACCTATCGTAATTATATACTTTATCATAGGCTTACAAATAGCGTAATGATACGAGTGAGTTTAGTTTTACGCTTTTAGCAATATTCCAGCAATATCACAACGGGGTACACCAGAAATGGGCTTCACACATTGTACCCATGTGGGGAATCCAACCCGGGTCTTCAGTGTGACTGGCGAATGCTTTAACGACTAGGCTACCCCACCGCTACGTAGTGATACGATTGTTTTGGGGACCTGAACTGAAGGTCTCACCTCTGGTTGAAGATCAGGAGATAAGCTCAACGTTTCTTCTGACTTGGGACCGTCAGTCATCTTGGTATATTCCTCAAACACTTTCAGAGTCTTCTTCTTGTGGGGCTCAACCATCTACAATGATAAGATAATGAGACAATATCAGAAACGTTTCATAACAAATTCAGGCAGTATCTGTCATTCCATGAACACATATACCTACAAAACCAGTGCTTCAAGAAAATACTATGATCTATTCTAGAGAAACGATTTTGCAACTGAAAATAGTTTGGGGCAAAAATAAATTATATTCCCAAAATGCCAAGCATTCCAAGAAAAGCTGAGCATCATTCCTTTCCGAAAAGGCTGTGCATCACCTTTTCTCAAAAGGGTTCCTGAAAGTTATGTACCTTTGCTATGTGTCTTTTCGGGTCATCCCACAGCTGGGGCTGTTGTTTCTTCCTCTGACGCATGCGCGATTCCTCCAACAGAATCCTCCCCAGGATTTCACTCTTGTTTTTGACCTGCTCATCCTCGAACTGACTGTTAATAGATGAAATCAAAGTCCCTTGTAATAAGCACCCTCAATTATCCAACCCGTGAAGGTCCAGGTTCGATGTTGATTTTCAGTAACCCATGCTTGTCGTAAAAGGCGACTAAGGGGATCAGGTGGTCAGGCTTGCTGACTTGGTTGACACATGTCATCGGTTCCCAATTGAGCAGATTGATGCTCATGCTGTTGATCACTGGATTGTCTGGTCCAGACTGGATTATTTACAGACCACCGCCATATAGCTGGAATATTGCTGAGTCCGGCGTAAAATTCAACTCACTCACTCAAATATCCACTGTAGTATAATGCCATTTTATCATTATAAAGACCCTAGACCCATTCACCACCAGAGATTGTTCGTAAGTGATATCATGGCTCCAGTCTCTCAGGAGAGAATTTCTCTTGCATGTCTGAGTAATTTGACTGGACAGCTACTTTTAGTCCTATGCCAACTGACTCAGGTTCAAAATGAAGCTATGGTGGCAAATGGGTTCAGTGGCATTATTATACCCTGGGAAATCATTGATAGAAAAATATAGAAAAAATAAAGAATAGTTTTGTCCTCAAAACAAGAATGAAATTTTTAGAGTAAAATTAATATTTTTATACTTATCCTGACTCATGCTTATTTGCTTGTCTTCTTCTTCTGGCGAACCTAGTGGAACACTTGTATCTTCCAATTGAAGTTCCCTTCAATAAAAAATCACTCATTAGTACTCACCACGAGTTACCTCCCTTCTGCAAGCGTGGGACGAGGGCGCCACCCAAGCCCATGTGCCTCACTCTCTCCTTTTTTGTTTTGAGCCCAACACTTTATTTTTCCCGAGAAATCCAAAGTGTTAAGTGGGGAGGACGGGAGGGCTTACTTCATGAGTCAGGATAAGTATACAAATATTAATTTTACTCTAAAAATTTCATATTTTTTCTTATCCTGTCTCATGCTTATTTTCTTGTAGAATCCTACAGGATTAGGAGGTGGGATTATATATACTTTGGATTTTACTAATTAGTGATTTGAACTGAGATGATTGTAAAACCCTATGGGAACTTCATGAAGGCACTGAACTGAATTCCTGCTGTTAATTTAACAGCTGCCTTTTAAAGAAGGTTATTACAATTTACTGAATATAATAAAAGTATATAGAACATTAATTAAGCTAAAGCTATTAATGTGATAGTATAAACTGTTGATAGTTTATAATGAATACTTTTATAAGAACCAAAGTAGTAAGCTTACAATATGCATATATATAAGCTATAACATAATTGTGCTTAAGATATAATGATAACTTAAGCTGTATAATAGTAACCAACTACTGAGAGTTTGATACTAATACATGTTATGAAATGAACATATGACCGAGCTTAAGGATAGACACTTAAGCTGAACATATATATAATAGTAGAAACTCGTAAGAGTTGTAGGTATATATATATTATGATATAGAATCATAGTACTGAGCTTAAGATAATATTTTAACTTAAGCAAATATATATAGATAGCATGTAGCTATTAGTACTGTTATCAGATAAGTATAAAATCAACCAGATAGACTTATCTTCTCCGTGGAACTGTCAACTGTTGAGCGAGGACCATGGGACCCGAAATGGTGGATACCTGAGGCGTCCTTGGTGGTGATATCTCTCAGATAGTGGTTGGCAAACACCATATCGGGATCTCCAAAAACATCCCTCCATAATGGTATTCAATGAGCAATTTCCATGTAAAGCCAAAGTTGAAGCTAGTGCTCTAATTTACGTGAGGATTAGCAGCACTTGGAGGGTCCAGTCCAGCTGCCTTGTAGGCTCTTAGTATGACAGTTCTGATCCAAATAGAAATGGTAGTGCTTGCTGACACTTCTGTCTGTGAGGCGGTAGATATAGGGATAAACAATCTTTTGAATTTCCCTCTACTTTGCTTGGATCTTTGGAGATATATTTTCAGTGCACGCATTACAGGGCAAAGTGATAAGTCCATCGTATCCTGCGGTCCAAGTATGGATGAGAGAGCTGGGACATGGAACAACCTGTCTGGTTGACCTGGTAGTTGATTTTTGCTATAAAATCCCAGCCCGAAGTCCCAGATGGCGATGTTATGAATATCATCAAATCGTGTTCTCTCGTAATCCAAAGCGTGAATTTCAGACATCCTGGCGGCAGTAGCTAGCGCTAGCAGGAATAAGGTTTTGTGGGTCAATGATTGAAATGGCGCAGATAACAATGGTTAAATAAGCCTCACTTGTGAGGTGTTGAAGTACAACATTTAGATCCCAGGCTGGCGCTTGAAACTTCCGTTTCTGGTCTTCCAATCGAAGGCACGTAACAAAGCGAGTAACTCTGGTGTTTTAGTCAATTTGGCTTCCCGTTCTCATAGTTATGACTGAACTTATGGCTGCAAGATAAGTGGACAGTGTAGATCCTTTTAGATTCTTAGTTTGGCGTAGGAAACATAAGAAATCTGCCACTTGAGGATGTGTAGCAAATCTGGCTGAAAATCCTTTCTTAGCAGCATAATTGACAAATCTGAGCCATTTGTCATCGTACAAGTTCACAGTAGAGTTACGTGAGTGCAAAGCGTGACCGCCTTCGCCGCTCTGGTGGAATAACCTCTCTTATTCAAACATGCCTTGATACAATCCACACGTGAAGTCGGAATGCTTCTGGTGTTTTGTGCACTTGTTTGGTGTGCGGATGTATCAGTAGATTGGAGCGTAGTGGGAGCTGAAGTAGTGGTTTTCCGATTCCTAGTATGAGGTCTGGAAACCACGTTCTTGCTGGCCAGTAAGGCGAGACCAAAATGAGATCGAGGCTCTTCGTTTGACTGATTTTTAGCAAGACTTGTGGGATTAACGCAGGAGGCGGGGAAGCGTTATCGTTTAGTTCCTCCACGATGTGCTTAGTCGTCCGTTGCCCAGGCTAATGGATCTGGCACTGGCGATACGAAGGTTGTCAGTTGATTGTTGAATCGGGTGGCAAATAGGTCTATCAGAGGATTTCCATGATTATCTGATTGAATATCTCTGTGTGGAGCATCCATTCTGTCGGCGACGGTTGGTGCGGCCGAGAGAGCGCGTCTGCTAACACATTCTTTGCTCCTGGAATGTGGCAGGCTTTGTTACGTATGTTTAGACTGTCGACTAATTCGAACAGTCTGAAACATTGAGTGAGTAGATTCAGTGATCTTGTTGACCCTTGTTTGTTCACATAAAACGCCACTGTTGAGTTGTCTGTGTGAATCATTAACTGAGCGTTCTGTAACAGGTTGCTCCAGTGACCTATGGTGTTTATGACTGCTTGCATCTCTAGCAGATTTATGTGACATAAGCTCTCTTGAATGCTCCATAGGCCTGACGCTGTCCTGCTGGTAAGGTGGGCTCCCCAACCTTTTAGTGACGCGTCCACGTAGAGATGTGTTTTCGATTCCGGCTCTACTAAGGAGACGCCTGCGCAAACATTCAATCTCTTGGTCCACCAGAGTAGATGTGGTTTGACGTAATCTGGTAGACTGAACGGTAGAGGGTCCTCGAGATGGGCATTGATGAGGACTTGTAATGGACGCAATTGAAGCTTGCCTCTGAGTGTCAAGTCTTGAGCTGATGTGAGTAGTCCCAGTAGTGGTAACGGAGAGAGTAGGGCTTGGGGGATCAGTTGTTGTATCTTGATCCATCTGTCCTCCGGGACTACCATACGATTCTGAGCCGTAAGGAATCGTATACCTAGAAACTACAGATCCTGCGTGGGCTCTAGGTCCGACTTGAGTAGATTTACTAACCAGCCTAACTGCGTTAGTAGCTTGATTGTAAAGTTCAGCTGTAGTCTGAGACGCTGTGGATCTAGATCCACCTGTATACCGTCGTCTAGGTAAAATGCATTCCGCAGTCCTTGACGATTTACGTATGAGACAATAGGCTTGGTTACTCTTGTGAATACCCATGGGGCCAAAGTGATTCCGAAGGGAAGTACTTTCCAGACGGAATGTGTAGGTATGCGTCCTGCAGATCTATACTTACCATGTAATCTAGTGGATGAATCAGATGACGGAGTTGAGGTAAATGTATCATGCAAAACGCTGGTGGTTTGCATAGAAATTCTCTGTTGAATGTGCTCATGTTGTAAATGAGACGATACTTCTCTTTGGAATTCTTCGGCACTAGGAAAACTGGGGAGTAGAAACCTGGTATGATGTTTCGCTGATCGAGAACTTCTAAGGCCTGTTTGTTTAGTAGAGACTGAACTGTTTCTCTTAGCATCGGTAGTTGTGCCAGATGAACGTTGAACCCTGGTGGGTTGACTGTTAACGGTGGCTTGGCCTTGAGTTGTAGACGATATCCGTGCTGAAGGATGTTGGATACATCACGGATCTTGAAGTATTCCCCAGTTTTCCCAGTGTAGTTGTAGACGTCCACCCACTTGAGAAGGTTGTACTGGGGCGACTGGGGTGGAAGACTCCAGTCGTTCGAACCTGACTTTCATCGTTTAAATCCACGGGCACCTCTGGATGATCTGCCTCTAGCTGATCCTCCTCTGAACTTGTTTTTTACGAGGCGCATCGAAAAGAATCCTTGGGATTATTAGCGGCGCTAATTTCTTATCCCGTGCTCTCTGTAGCCCTGAAAACTTAGACTTACCCGAGTACCTCTGTGCTGATTGTTTAAAGACGTTCGCTAACGTATCCATCGATCTAATCATGAGTACTTCTCTAGAATCTTTAGATACTTCCTTGGAAACCTTGTTAATGTTGCCACCAAACAGTAAAGGTGAAGACCATGGAGCTGTGTACAGGGGCTCTGTGAATTGTTTATTCCAAGAGCAGGAGGCTAGTAATCCTTGCCGACGTGTCATGGTAGTAGTTTCAGTAAGTGCTGAAAGATGGTCTGTAAGGAATTGTTGATCTTTTCTCTGCATAAGTAGAGCTGAATAGATCATCCTGTCCTCCTCATCCATAGAGTTCTTGAACTTAGTGAGGAGAGTCTCGTTAATAGTCCTAGTCCGAAGAACATCCTTCTTGAAATGGTATCTAACTGGGCCATCTTGTGATCGTCTACCCTATAACTTCTGGACTTGGAATCACTGATAAGTTTAAAGTTTTCATCAATCTCCTGAGTCGTGAAAAAGGGCTCCATATTATGTCCATAAAAACTCTTGGCATTGAGGAACGGTAAATGGGTAGGATGGGTTTTAGTAGATTTGGAGTAGGCTGTATCCAGTTTAGCAGGAACGGCTGCGATAGGATCCATAGGAGGCATCTACATCATCATCTTTCATCAGGTAAGTTTGGGCTGCATCCTCGTTCTTAGAAGGGGAGGCCAGTTGTAATTCGTTTACCATCCAATACCTTATCTCAGCCTCTGATAAAATGATACCATCGTCCTCCTCTGACGTATGGTCGTATGTCGGAGTCCTCGATCTGTAAGAAGATCTATGTGAGGACTGAGGAGAACGGACTGACGAGTGGCTAGTGTATGTAGACCTTGGAGAAGACATCCTTCACGGAGACTGTGGGCTTCGTGAACGGTGATGGCTTCGCAGACGCTCTGGATTTCTCGAACGTTGAGGGCTACGCGAACGCCTTCTAGGCAATGTAGAACCACTTAGCCTTCGCGTCCTACGCGAATGTCTGGAGTCAGTGTCCGATCCGACATATGAGCTTGCTTTGCTGAACGCCTCTTCGCATGACAAGGTGCATGCTCGGCAAAGCGCTCCTTCTCCGTGAAGCCTCTTGCAAAAGGTGAGGCTCTAGCTCCTTCGCGGAGGCGGCCTGGGATACCTTATGCAAAGAGCTCACTCCGGGCAGGGTTGCCCTTCGCGGAGGCGCGTCTATGGGCTCAGAGGCCCTACGCGAAGCCAAAGGGGGCTCTGAGGCCCTGTATGACTTAATATGGGGTGGGCTCTGAGGCCCGTGGCTCTGAGGCCTCTGTAAGCCGTAGCGGTCTTCCATCACCCTCATTATCTGGTTGATCAAGTCGTCTGAAGCGGTCTGCTTTGATGAGGGATGTCTCTCTGCAGAGGTGACGGGACCCTCAGATAAAATTTCTGGTGATAGTGTCGGTTGTGTGTTCATCTGCGCTGAGGTGACAGTCGCAGAAACGGGCCGTTTCTTGTGACGAACTTCTGGAATGATTATTGGCATATCATCATCATATAATGCTAATTCTGTAACTGGTAAGATATCAGAGGCAAAATTATTAGATTTTGTTGACTTCCCTTTAGATGAAGGTGTAGATCTTGGTGTACGCAGTGTACGAGATGATACGGCTGGTTTCCTCGACTTGGACTGAGAAGACGGCAGCTCTTGAGATGCAGGTCGCTTCTTGGACATAGCGGACTGCGTCCCACGCTTATCCGCCGAGGGAAACTCAGGCATGCCACCAGCCGGTGGCGTGTCCTCAATCAACAGTTGACAAGGAACATTAATTTGCGATCTATTAGCCATGTTTGAAATCTGTTTACGAGATTTATCTGCCTTCCGTCTATAAACGGAACATAAATATTTGTCAAAGGCAGAGATTGGTAAATTGATACACAATTTACAACGAGAATCAAAGGAACATGGAGTAATGCAACTAGGGCATTTTAAATGTGGATCGGTATCAGAATAACGTAGTTTACAATCTGCAAATTTTCATTAATGTAGCCTACTGAACAATCATGGTGAAGCGTGAATAAACAGCAGAAACACAATTAATAATCAATGCAAATTGAATAAATATACTAGTAATACCTCTATACTAACGTATAAGAGGAACTAACTAAATATAAATAAAGGATATAGTGTGTTGGGAGACACAGGCGCTCTCACGTCCAGCTCACTGGGCGAAGAAGGAGAGAGTGAGGCACATGGGCTTGGGTGGCGCCCTCGTTCCCGCGCTTGCAGAAGGGAGGTAACTCGTGGTGAGTACTAATGAGTGATTTTTTATTGAAGGGAACTTCAATTGGGAGATACAAGTGTTCCACTAGGTTCGCCAGAAGAAGAAGACAAGCAAATAAGCATGAGTCAGGATAAGAAAAAATAAAGGTTGATAATGATATGTGATCTAACAGATATTTAAAGAACATCTTAAATCTTTTCTCAATACAAAACTTCAAATGAAAACAATTTTCATGGTGACTGTGTGGGTTAACAAGAGACTCTTCATGATTACATCTGTTTTTGTGTGAGTGAACACTGTTTTTACTGCAGTCAGTACAACACAGGGAAACCAATGACTGATAGCATGAGCAATCGATATAGAGCATGGCGATCCACAAATATATTTACTACAAAAGATATTTACTACAAAAGAGAACATACCCAGTTTAACTGACTCTTCTTCAAAGCCAATGAACTCAGGGTACTTTTCAGCCTTTTATTCGACTGAGTATAACATTACAAAATCAAAAATCAGTTCCCATGTAAAATCATTTTGAGGAAATGAAAGTGAACTGATAAAAGTATAATTCCTCACGTTTTTTGTCTCTCAAAATCATTCAGACGCTTCTTGATCAGCAGAACTTCATCTGGATTTCCTCCATCTTGTGATATCCTTCTCCTTTCCTCTTGTTCCATGAATGTCTCCTCTCTCTCACGTGCCTTGTCCCGAGCTCGGAGTGCTCGGAGGTTTTCCTGCAATTCAGGCAAGAAGAACCATTGAAAGTACTTTGTGACAAGAGTTGCTTAGCAATGAAATGACTAATAATCATGATCAAGCAATATTACAGTTGTGTTGATGCCACATTTACCGGTTCAGAGATAAATGTGCAACAGAACACAAAACTCCATCACATGATTTTTATATGAGAGAATAGGGGGAGGGAGAGGAGTGAAAGAGGAGAGGGGAGAGGAGAGTGAGAGGAAAGAGGAGAGTGAGAGGAGAGTGGAGAAAGATAGAGGAGAGGAGAGAGGAGTGAAAGAGGAGAGAGAGAGGAGAGGAGAGAGGAGAGGAGAGAGGAAAGACAGAGGAAAGAAGAGGGGAGAGGAAAAGGTTAGAGGAGAGAGTGGAGAGAAAGAGGAGAGAGAGGAAAGAGGAGAGTGAGAGAGATGGGTACTTTCTTATTTCACTGTGAAGGTCAGCCATAAGTGACTTCTCCACTGTACGAGATACCAGTCAGAAGACGACAAGACACATGTTCATAAATGTTCTGGTACAATGTATTGCAATGTAAGTGCCGGTGTTCAGACAGATTGCCATTCACTCCATGGAGGTTCGTTGTCCAAAATACACAAAATACCAGTGAATTCTTATTACTTACCCTGTTAGCTGCGATATCATTCTTGAGTTTCACCAACATTTCTATTTTCTTCTTCATGTCCGACTCGTAGCGGTTCTCCTCCTCCTTCTCTCGGGTCCGCAATCTGCAGAAATACAAACATTCATGGACATCCAAAACAGGGGCGGATACAGCTTTTTGAGAAATGGGGGGTGCAAACTATTGAGAAAAGAGGGGGTGCACACTTCATTTTCACCTGAGTTTCAATGGTCATTTAATAAACTTTCAGGACAAAGGGGGTGGGGGTGGGTGCGCACTCCTGCACCCTCCTTCTGGATCCGCCTATGCAAAATGGAGCTAATACATTTATATTTAGTGCATGTAATATCATTTATGTTCCAAGGTCTCACGAACATCCCTTTCATTACTATCTTAACAATATACAAATACAAATGTTCTTGATAAATTGTTGTTAATTGCATAAGTCAGGTTAGTCAGGCCATAGATTTAAAATATTTAAATGGACATCATTCCTGTGTATGGTGCGAACATATCCAAGTTGTCTCACTTGTTGAGGGTTATGTTGAGGTACTTATTGGCCCTTTCCTGGCTTCTCTTAGCCTCCTCTACAGCATGTCGGTGTCGGTCCTCTCGTGCCCTGATAGCCTCTCTCTGGTCTCTGGCAATATGTAACGGAGAAAACAATGAGATAATTTCCCATCACGATTTTATCAGACTGTCACACAGCTAGCATAAACCTGAAAATAATTAATGCTCCCTTATTTTTACAATCGGTCATCTTCTGCAGCACATATTCAGTGTTCGCGGTAGGAAAAAAAGCACAGCCCACAGCCTCAAACGCAGAGCCCCAAGAATCTTTCGTGTGCATGCAATGCAGGTGTATGCCCGAGCCAGAAAGCGGAGAGGTGTCTCGGGGAGTCCGGGGTTCCCCCGTACAATTGTGAAATTTAGACGTCATTTCAGCGCATTTCAGAGCATGTTGTCATCATTCGCAAGTCAAATTAGCTGAGAGAAACTTTGTTTTATTTTGTTGTTTGACCTTGGGGAAAATACGTTTTCCGGTTACTAATGTTCCTAGAACACAAAATACTTAGCGTGTAGAACACACAGGTAGAAAATATCGTGCTTGAAACATAGATTTATTTGCGTGAAAGCTGCAGGATTTTGTGTTAACGCGAACACTGATATTTGTTACAAGAGCATAAAGGGATTAGGAGTTCAGGATAGCTGACTTTATTGATGCATGTAATCATATCCCTATGACTGTAAATTATCTTTGTGTCAATCACTAGATAGTCTGGTTCAGATTCCATGATCCACAGACCAGCATAAAAAGACATGCAGGTACAATAGTGCTGAGTGCAATGGAAAACAATATACTAACCCACAGTTCAGTCCAAATTCAATACCTTTGGTTATTTTTTAAATTGTTTTACCATGTTTATGTCTATTAAAACTATCAATAGTGAATCATGTTGTCGAATTCTGGGGTCAAATTTAGATTTCTTACACCTGAGTAGACTGGGTAGGATTGGGGTTCAATTCAAATGTTTCAGATGCAAGGTCATCAGAGGAATCTGTCTACATTTCAATAATACATAAGTATCATCTTCTTTTCTTATCACATGTGATTTTTAGAAGAAAAAGAACAGTGGGGAAGGAATTGGGTTGTGTGGGATTGGGGTTTCAGCTCAATATGTCTACATTTCAATGATGCAGAAGTATCATCTTTTTCTTTGATCACCTCGTGAGTTTCGAAACCAACAGCAGGGTTGGGGTTGTGTTGTGTTTACATCATAAAACTGGAAAAGTGTTCATACAGAAGTATTAGAAGCACATCTTTACAACAACCTGCACATAGCTCACCTGAACCTTTTCAAAATTAGCAAAACATTTAATGAAACTGTAAATAATTTATGATCTCAGTTGGCACACGACACTGAATACAAAGTTTGACACACGCCTCACCTCTCCCGTTTGCGTTGTGCTTGTCCAGCCTGATCAGCATACTTCTGTTCCTTTTTCAAGCGAACCATCGCCTGTGCTGTCTTGTCGGCAGCCAACTGCTCCTCTCTCTCCAACAGATCAGCCTCAATCAGGATAAACTTGCCATGTTCAACCTCGGTCTTTGCAAGCTCATACCTATCAGTGACGATAGAAAATGTTAGGTAGCTGTCAGACAATTAACATAGAATCTGAAAAATCTTAATTCTTAAACCTCACACAAAAATCCACCACTCCACAAGATTACCCATAATTGAATTTTTTTAACTATAAATTGTATATTTATACATATTCGACCAGCTGAGTGGAAATGAGCAAGAGAGAGAGTATGGTTTTATGCCTCTTTTGGCAATAATCCAGCAATATCACGGTGGGGGACACCAGAAATGGGCTTCACACGTGTGGGGAATCGAACCTGGATCTTCGGTGTGGTGAGTGAATGAGTGGAGTTTAACTGTAAACCAAAATCTAGGCCTCTCTTGTCCATATGCCTGTGCACCCATGCTGCTCCCCTTATTGGACAGCTCTGTGTCTCCTGAGGAGCAGGCAGTTTGCTCCACTACTTACTCACGTGGCAACAGTCTGCCAATAATCGAGTCAGGACCAAACAATCCAGTGATCAACAACATAAGCATCGTTCTACGCAACTGGGAATGGAAACCGATGGCATGTGTCAACCAAGTCAGCGAGCCTGACCACCCAATCCCGTTAGTCGCCTCTTTTGACAAGCATGGGTTACTGAAGATCAATTCTAACACAGATCTTCACAGGTTCATGTACACTTACTCTGCATCCTCCAGTCGCTCAGCAATCACCTTCTCCAAGTCTCCCTCACCCTGGATTTCCCTGCACACTCTCTCATGTGCTGACCGCAGCCTGTACAGTGCCGCTCTGTCAAACAAGATGGAGGTCAGTACTTTAGCCAGATTTTTTCTGATTGGATGGATATACATTGTAACAGGTAGGATTTCATTTGTTTAAATAAAGCAACAAAATTACTTCGCAAACTGAATGTAGTGGTACTAAATGAAATTACAAAACATCCAAAACGTGGTTGGTTAATGCCAGGCTAATAATCCAATTTGTATACAATGTTTACTTGTATGAATAATCAAACAGAAAAAGATCGAATCGAGGGTCCAGGATCGAAGATCGAATCGAATTGAGGTCTGGGTGAATCGTTCCAGCCCCATATACAACATGTGATGTTCAATTTGATATCAATATTTCACTAAATCATTCAGTCAGCGATTCGTAGCAAAATTCCATGCATAATAAATCTAAATTAATGTCCCATGTGCTTGATGGATAGACTTTGCCAAAATTAACTCACAACATATATATTGGGCGAAAATGGGCAAAGTGTTTATATATGACTCCTGATCTTTCACTTAGATCGAAAATATGGTTGATTAATTACACATTTTTAAAAAGAATACATAGTAATGTTTACTGAAAAGATGCATCCAGCAAACAATGGTAACTGAAGATGATGAATTCACCATATGAAATATGTCTAACTTAAGTGATTTATGTCCATCAAGATATCTGTAACTTACGTGTTGTTATCTGTTTCATTTTGCTCTATCTCCATGAACAGCCTGTCTCTCTCTGAAGTCAGCTCCTGTATATGACTCTGACACTTCTTCTGTTCCTCCCTGGACATGAGAGAAAGTGAAAGAAAAGACAGTGAGTGAATGAATAAGAAAATGACAATTATTTGTTTCAAACCGTGCTGTCAAAGTAGGATGTCACATAAAATTCTTAAAATCTAAATATATATATATCTGAAAGAATCAGTAAGCAGCGAACTAGCGAAATCAAAAACGTTGGACACACAGTACGCTTGAAGTAAAAGTGATTTTGGATAGACTGCTCTTTCGCGGAGAGGGGAGATCACGTCACTTCTGTTCCTGTACACTCGTTGATACTTGAGGCAGCCATTCTAGAGAATGGCGAATCAACGACTGTTTAACCAACGACTGTCTGATCTCTTTTAAGCAGAGCTTGGGGTAATATGCATAAGACCTATGGTAAGGTAAGTTAAAAATTTGCAAAATCAGCACATCCTGTCCATTCTAAGGGACACAACTCTGCACAGAGACAATCATTTTCAGTAATTCATGTGTGAGCTGAATGACCTTGTTTTCTCTGCTGTGTACTGGTGGGCTTCCACTTTCTCCACCAGCTGGTTGATGTGACTCCTCAGGTGAATCATCCGAATCTGCTCCTGGTATGTCACCTTGTTCCCAGCAGACTCAGGGTGCTGGTGCTCACTGAAACATTGTCATGAGACAATATGTAATCACGGTTTACCTTGACCAACAAAATAACGGGTCCAGATGACCCCCACATACTAATTTGAGGGTCCTTACATGAAAAACGACAGTCCTGTAAAGTGACGAAATGATGTAGATTGTATTGTAAGGTTTAATGATTACTTTAATTACATGAACTTTATATTTCTTGTTATGAGTGAACATCATTGTGCGTTCCAGGGGACACAGGATATGTATTTTTCTGAGTCCACTCTATACATTTGTCGCGTAAAACACTGGTAATTCTTTGTTTGAGAACAACAAACTGAAACCTTAAAATTATCACATGGAAATACATGTAATTAATTTACTTATTTGCCTGAGGAGTCTTTATTTTAACAAATTTCAACTGACAGTTCAATCACCCTCAGCATAATATTAAACAGATATAGATAATTCATAATTGCATTTGCCTGTCAGCTCAATGGATTATGTAGTTTTAAAAAAAACCCATAACATAACAAAATTATCAAAGAGGGACTTAGAATAATCACATGCACTGTGTAGGCTCTTAGTCTTATTCCTGGAACTACCTGCTCCTGAGATTTAAGAGTTCTGTGAAGTGAATAATTGCTGCTGTAATCAGCCAATCTGACATTATGCTGGTGCCATCCTACAACTAATTGGCCATTTTAGTTTTGCACAGAATGTCTTTGTGACAATCAGTCGAACTTACTCTATGACAGTGTCAACATCCAAGTCATCTGCATCATCAAGGTCAAGGTCTCCATCATAATCCAGAATTCCATCGTCATCCTCAGGGATCCCCATCACATCAGGGCCTTCTATGGTTGCTGATGCTGACATGTCCATCTACATTATATTAGTATTTAACATTAACGTCATGTCAGTGATGAATATCTTGTTGCTAAGCATCCTTTTCTCAATAAATAATTGGAAAATTTTGGCAAAAACGATATCACAATAAAAAGTATTATGTTTGAACACATATAAATTTAAATGTTGTTTTCACATCTTTCTAGAATACTAACCAACTGATTTTTGGAGGGGGAAGACAGTTTGTATATTGTATCATGGACTCCCTTGTCACATCATTCGTATAATGTCTGAAAATATGTATTTCATTTCAGTTGAGATCACTCAAACATTAGAATGAAAATTATGAACTATTTCATGCAATGCAAAACTAAAACTTGAACACATGGTTTAACAACTGGTCCATATCGAAAGCAATTGAATTTATTTGAATTGGACCAATCACAATTCTTTTATCAGCTTAAAACAGGAAGTGCATCATAAGAAACCAAGTTTTATCCAACAAAACTGCATGTTAGTGTAACAGTATTAATGTTCTGGGATTTCACATGATACAAAATCTGAAACAAATCGTTCACATATGGCATACTTACAAAGATTCACTGCAGTTTCTTATGTTGCTGAGCAGATAGCTACGATTATCTAGAAATATTTGATGATAGATAGTACTTAAGATTCTTGTCATCATTTTTCCTCATACTGTGAAAATAAAAATAAGTGAGGGAATATTATGAAATCTTACAGCTGCCATGATTTTTACCTCATCGTGCTTAGTCTTGACTTTATTAATGTATCAGCTTAAATGAAAATAACTAAGTTAATAATTAAATATTTGGATAAAAATAACTTTGATATTAGATGAGAGCAAATGATGTGTGATATGTCAAATTATCATGGGATCCTCTATTATCGTGGTAGTTAAGGTTGTCGATATCGGGATTAAGAAATCCTACTGACATTTGTTATTTTATATATATTTTCAGTTGACTGATGTTTAATGTTCATTTCTGTTGCAAATAATGTGACACATAATCGCAACTCATTCAATACAGTCGCCGCAATCCTGATTGCCTCATTTGACTCGGAAATTGAATCAACTCTCTATTATCGTAGCATTGCTATTTTCTTACTATGGCACGCTGTATAAACAAACGACACTGTCAAACGATTACTTAAGACAAGTAACAAATCTAAATACACATGTAGTTGTAATATTTACAAAATTACTTAGGTATTTTATTAAGATTAGTAATATCATCATGTTTTAAACCAAAACATCTGAAACTTCTATTCATTTGGAAACAAGGTACAGTGTTCGCGAATAGTGTCTGACCCTCTGACAAATCGGCAGATTCGCCAACGGTCCGATAGAAGTCTACAACCCACTGGCCCCAGTGTCCGACTGTATATTTCACAATGACTTTGACTGAAGTTGTTATATGTGACATGTGACACTTGTTTGCTGTTTATTTTATCTTAATTTTTCTTATGTTTGTTTATAATTTCAATGCCAATTATAAGAAATGTTAAATCTGAAATGTATGTTTAAATTTATTCCATGGGTCCTGTGAATTTTCAATGGGTCAGACGGACATCATAAACTTACTGGACCCAATGTCCTGTTACTTTGGAACACCATTTGTGAACACTGAAGGTAACATTAACGTAACAAAATATTTTTTTCCACCTTAAAACGTTCCATACAATTTGCTGCAATATTTCTTTGATTTGACATGACATTCCAATGAAATAATTGACGTTTTCAAGAATTTTATTTATGTAATTTGCATATGTAAACAGCCGATACAGGCAGTGGTACTTCTGCTTTGCCAATGTTTTCACGTGCCACAATAATAGAGAGCCTGCCATTGATAAACATCTCTTGGAACAAATTGTGATTGAAGTTGTATCATGGTAATCTCACATTTTTTAATATTAAATTGTCAGTTGAAAACAATGTATTGGTTTTCTCAAAATTGAATACTCAAGATGACCACAAGTCATAAAACACATAATGTCTATCTCTAAATGAACATTACTGCTCCATTTCTTAAGTTGTCTTTGTTTTCATTCATTGACTGTTTATTGATATGAAATCAATCATTATTAATTGATCATTTACGGAACATCTACGAATTGTACAAAACTTGGTAAACATATTCAGCTGTCATATCCTTTCAAGCATGATAACATTAAAATATCTGACTCGCAGGTCAAGGGCAATGTTCGAATTTCCACATCCGAGAAAAAAACAACGGCTGCAACAGGTGTGACAACGACTATGGTTTACCCATTTTGTGAAATATACATATGCTCAAATGACCAGTGACAATCAGAAAAGTACTGAGATCTTACTTTGAAAATTAAGAATGCAAAAGCACAATGTAACAAATCCTTCCAAGTCAAAACTCAAGTTCGTCGGCCATTGATGTTGTAGCAACGAAGTCTCGGAGTTTCTCGCGAGATTGACTTTTACGGAGCGGATTACGGATCCGTCCAATAATTAAGATTTTCCCGTGTAATTTTAACAGTCGAACATAAACATTTACCCGATGTATTGAGTGTGTATCATGTATATAATACTGCAACACAACACAGTGTATTACGCCCACGAAAGAGACAAGCACCTGTCAAACGGTTGAATCGAAAACGACAACAGACATCTTCCGGAAACGGCTTCCAGTATTTTCATACCAAAGCTTGTGACGGTGTTCTGTAAATAATCAGGTTTGGACAAGACAGTGATTGTGATTATGAGCATCGACTTTCGCCGCCTGGTCAGCGGCCAGAACGCCCAAACCTGCGGAGATACATTCAAACGAATCTCATCAATAATCTGCTATAAATCATAAATTCAAACGAATCATGTCAATAATTTCGATCGCTTTATCGTTATAAAATGAATATGCCTCCGTTTGCTACCAGAAACCCACTAGTTACTAACTGATATAAAAACGTTAATCCTCTGTTTGTGTTTTATTTATTTATTCATTTATTTTGTTGGGTTTTTGTGTTTGCAAATTTGATTATTAACTAATATTGACCTAATGGACGAGTGATAATCCCATGTTTCATTTTGCATATTTTCAACAACTGTATTCGTACTTGAAACCAGGGATACTCTACAACAGGGATAGGTCACTCGCTTGCTTTCTTTACCATTTGTACTAATTAACGTGTGCCTCGTCATGCTCCAACGCACACAGTGACTTGGTTCGGTCCCAGCGCAACTTCGGCTGCGTTTAACAGTACTTCAGCCAGTGTATTGTATAGGTCGGAATTTTACAATGAATGAATGAATGAATTAAGAGCAAGAATTTTATGTGAATGAATGAAAGAAATTAAGAAAAAGAACATATGTGAATGAATGAAAGAATAAATGATACACCACGGCCATCCCTCCCCAAACATGTTAAAGAACGCAAAACTATCGGTAGAACACATGTTAACATCAGCTGTCCTTTTTATTAAAAATCTACTTTGAGACATTTTTTTACATTAGTAACTAATTCAGATATCTTATTGCATGTGTGGAATGACATGGGCATTGACAGAATGTTAACTGACACTGTCACAGACCCCTCAAGAACAGAAAGTTTAGAACTATCACAAAGCCTTGCAAACACCTTTCCAGTTTTGTCAAATACTAAGATCAACAAGAAAGAAAGAAGTTTTAGAACTATAACACTCAAGCATCACAAGCACGAATGGCGTATCAGAACAGATCGGCGATATGTCATATTTTTCACACACCTCAAATACACACTAACAAAAAAACAAAAAAACCTATCACTATTACTTGCAAAAAACTTTCACCTGATGGTATATTCCCCTCATAAAAATTAAAGGTGTATGTGAAAGATGTTTTAGAACAATAACTAGAAACACTCAAACAACGCCCTGTAGTATTTCAATGGCAGATCGGCGATATGTCATATTTTTCACACACCTCAAATACACACTAACATTTTTTTTAAAATTATAAAACTATTACTATTACTTGCAAACACCTTTCACGTGATGGTATATTCCCCTCATAAAAATTGAAGGTGTATGTGAAAGATGTTTTTGAACACTAACTAGAAACACTCAAACAACGCCCTGTAGTATTTCAATGGCAGATCGGCGATATGTCATATTTTTTACACACCTCAAATACACACTAACAATTTTTTTTAAATTATAAAACTATCACTATTACTTGCAAACACCTTTCACCTGATGGTATATTCCCTCATAAAATTGAAGGTGTATGTGAAAGATGTTTTTGAACACTAACTAGAAACACTCAAATAACGCCCTGTAGTATTTCAATGGCAGATCGGCGATATGTCATATTTTCACACACCCTCAAATACACCCTAACAAATTTTTTAGTTATAAAATATCACTATTACTTGCAAACACCTTTTAACAAATGGTATATTTCCTTCTAAAAATTAAACGAATATGTGAAAGAAGTTTTTAGCGATATAAGTTAGTCTTTCTTCGCTGTGTACTGAGAATTGAAGCCAGTGAGCTACAACATGCCCACTTGAAACTTTACTACAAAGCTACTGTACTTATACTGACACTAATAACAAGTATTTGACTTAAAATGAAGTGACAGAATAGGTAACTTATCTTCTACATGTAGGTTTTCAGTTGTCACAACACTCAGCGTATGTAATCAGCTGTTGAAAATAAACCGGGCTCAATCTTAAAAACTACGCTGCCGCCATATTGGCTGCACTGGTCACGTGACGAGCCGAGGCATAGCTTAGGAGCTTTCCGAGGAGTGACCACTCCCCCCTTATAGAGTCTCCCTGTTGAAACACATTGTCGCTGCGAAACATAAGCACTTTTGATCACGGTACCAAAGATGGGTTTGGGCGTTTCATTTGTTGAAACTGGGAGAATAGAAGACTGTATATTATCCCTGGTTGAAATAGCTGGGCCTCGAGTGTGTCTGACAGATTGCAATTTATGGGTTGTCTCCCCTACACCGCTGAAGCCAGCAAGTTGGTTAAAAGTTCTACTGCGTTACCTCCCTTGACATAGTGTCGCGTGCACAAACAGTAAGCACCAGACCGTGGCAGACGAGAGCTGGTTCACATGGACTTTTCTTGTACGCAAAAAAAAACTGGCTTCAAGGTATACATTGTCACTGGTGGGGTATTTACGTATACACTATTTTCACGCAGTGCTCAGACCTGACCGGCCGTCAGTGACACTGTAATACCTTGAAGCCAGTTTTTCTTTTTGGCGTGCCAACCCAATTGTGGTCAATATGTACTGTACGTAGAGCTGGAGATCAAACCAAGAATGTCGACTGAACCAGAATGTCCGAATGGGACCACGTATGTATTTGCATGGAAAGCACCTACAAATTAATATAATTCAAACATTTGGAACTTCTTTAACATGCGCTTTCGATATTGGATCAGTGGATGACTTTTCACACTCGATGACCACACAAGCAGGCTGACGTCACGGGGACATTGTTTCGCCGCAAATATTAAGACATAGGTATTGTGACGTGTTAGTTAAGTTTGTGATGCTGAATGCAAGAGGTTGGCCACATTTTCATAGTAGAATTGCTTTAAATGGCAAATAATAAGAATTAGGCCAACACCAAACACGCCATCTTCATTATATTGCAATCTCTTCCCACAGAGGTTACTTGTCATATCTTTCTGAACTATTTCCAGTTACCCGTCAACTACGGTACGTGTCGACAAGCATTGTTTAATATATTGGATGAAAGTTGAAACATCACAATCTTTTACGGGAGAAAGGGTTCATTTAAATGATAAGTATACCACAGGGTGAGATATTAGTAGATCTCGAGAAACAAATACATCATTCCGTGTCGACAGAAATCCGTTGGACATGCATGGATACCATCGGCTCATTTTGTTTGTATTCGGAATCCCCCGATTATTGTTTTTGAGATCAGAAATGCCAGTGTGGATACAACGCAGGATCGGACCCAGAACTGGAATCCAAGACACTGATTGACTGATAACAATATTGAGATGACTCAACCTGGCATAGTGAGGTGCCCTCAAATCTTCATGAAAAAATATATGTTTTATTTATGTACTTACTTACCTACCTACCTACCTAGTAAACTTACATATTTTTATACCAGACCCTTCTGCCATCATTGATTTTAGTTTAAAACAGTTATGTATAAACACCCTCGTTGCATTGTTCTCAGTAAAGCAGTAAACATGTGTGGTAGACTCAAATATTTGAATATATGTGCATTGTGGTAGGTAGAATGAATTAATATTAGGTAGTACGATGTATGACCATGGTACCGTTTATAATTACTTGTTCACCTATATCTAACAATAGGAATAGAGCACTAGTTACGATATTACTTATTGGTATGAGAAAATATTATTTATGTTTTATGCGTTAAGATGTTATGCTTAATGTTCATTCTCGCCTGAACACGGAAGGTAACGTGAACCAATCAGAGATGGACATTCTTACATATATGTATAAATATGAAATATGAGTCCAGATATTTCTTCTTGCCAATTCACATATGACATATTACTATGACGCAAGAATGAAACGGTAAGTACTGTAAAAAAACCATACAATAATTCAGTTGATAGCACAGCAATAAATCACCCTCGGGAACGGTTGACTCGTGCGATGCCCTAGTCGAGCATTATATCGTGAAGAGAACTTGAACTACTGAAGTTCGGTGTAGTCACTGGAGTGTTCACGGAGTGTGCTGTGATCAATGTGGGCTTCAAACGTGCTCACGTCGATATTGTGCATGTAGCTTTTGGCTTTGATGCCGAACGATTCATTTAACATTTGTCAGTAGCACGGTGAATACTTCGGGTCTGTGGATGAAATTCACCGCTGGTCAGCGATGGTGTTCCACTCCGGCAGATACAAGGTACCGTTGGTTGATATTAATATTTTATGTTTTAAGTAGTCTCGAATTGCATGTATCGTAAAGTGACTCCGGGTTCAGTTTAAGTTGCAGTCGAAGCATGTTTTAAGTAGATGGTTTATAAAACATTTAAAACACTTTACCTGGTCGCTTAAATATTGTGATGGAGTTTTATCCAGAACTTAAGTCAAAAGAAATGAAAATAGTGTCACTGGACACTGCATTACACCACTGAATCTGATCTGTAGATAAGCACTGGGGCGTGCTGCTTCTTTTGGTCTTCAAGCAGTTAACGATTTTTCCTGCAGTCATCCTACGGTGGATTAGGTATATGGATTAATCAGCCGTTGCGTGCTGTTCCATTAGTTTCATTCTACATTTATCACACCTGTCATGTCATGTAACTGTGCAGTGCCTCACTACTCATAACGAGTAGGCTACACTACTAATAATGACCTTTAGAATAAATCACGCTGGTCCTGTGGTCCCTGGATAGTAAAAATTCATTGGGACCTCAAAATGATAAGTTTGCATGCGGAGTGGTCCTGGTGGCCAGTGAATTTTGTATTGAAAGTTGAATAAATCTACGAATGTTATTTTGGACCAGTGAACTACAGACAGGGCCACTAATTATTGTCCACTCACTGGTCCTGTGGTCAGGTGGGAAATTTTGAAAGGTTTCTTTCCCTGATTCGATACAATATTTTATAACTTAAACTTGAGAGGCTTTAAACCCGAGTCACTTACATTTGTGAGTTACCCACTCTTCCGTTCTGTCAGTGTTTCATCAATACATTTAATTTGATATTCTTCATGATGCAACACTGTAGGTTAAAATGTGTTCCGAATAAACTGCAACCTCCGCGGATAAGAACCAACAACCTATTGAAATCATAAAGGTTAATTTTCCAGTCAGCATTATTTACTTTGGTTTATTTGTACATTACTGCGTTAGCACTGTGCGATATAGGCTCTAAGTACTGACGGATTTGATAAGCAAGTGCCTGTAAATCAGATTTACACATCCAATTTCAACACATATCATACACAGTATCTAAATTCTAAAGCCGTGGGGATCAGGGCCAGAAGTTAGCTTCAACAACCCATGCTTGTCAAAAGAGATTGGGCGGTGGGGTAGCCTAGTGGTTAAAGTGTTCGCTCGTCACGCAGAAGACCCGGGTCCAATTCCCCACATGAGTACAATGTGTGAAGCCCATTTCTGGTGTCCCCCGCCTTGATATTGCTGGAATATTGCTAACGGCGGCGTAAAACTAAACACACTCGCTCACTCACACAAAAGAATTGATGAACGGGATCGGGGGTGAGGTTTGCTGACTTGGTTGTCACATGTCATTGTATCACATTTGCGTAGCGTGCAATTGGTGTTCATGATGTTAAATTCATCGTAATTATCCTTAGAAAGTATTAAATTTGGCATCTTAGAAAAGAAATACAGTTCGCTCTACCACCATGTATGGTGTAATAAAGCACACTTTCGCCCTGAACTATTATAACGCAAGCGTCCTCGTACTTTAACTATAATAGTTCAGGGCCAAAGTGTGCTTTATTACATTATACATGGTGGTAGAGCGAACTGTATTTCTTAAATAAAAACTCTAAACATGATTAGGTTATGGGGATTTTGTGTTCAGCTGTTGTCCAGTGTGATATGACAGCTCACTCCACATGTTAACATCCTATATGTGATTTGGTTTCATTCTGCTTTTGAAAGTATTCCAGCAATATCACGACGGGACAAAAGAAAGGGCTTCACACTGTTTCGGTCGAATTGCTTTCAGTACCAGCTGGGAAATCATTTCAGCTACGCGTACATAATTTCCATTCAATTTTCCGATGATTATTAAGAAAACTGCAACTATTTAAACTACATATATTAGACATACCAATCAGGTTGAACATAGCTGTCTATGGGATAGATTAATATTAAGTTGTAGTTATGGTGCTTAGTCAGGTGTCATTCGATAACGAATCAACGGAAAGATGAAAGAAAATTATGTACACGTAGCTGAAGATGATTTCCAATGTGTTTGCAAAATATCAAAATAAAATGACTTCTACTCAATTTATGAAAATTATTCTTGCAACAGTTAATTAAGAAGTAAGTCTATGGAAATTTCACTCATGATGACTCACTTATGGCCAGCCACTGTATATATGGGAAATCGAACCCGAGTCTTCTGCGTCAGGAGCGCTTCAATTATTATGCTAGCCCACCGCTCTACCTTTTACTTAAGGGGCGGTGGGGTAGCCTAGTGGTTAAAGCGTTCGCTCGTCACGCCGTAGGCCCGGGTTCCATTCCCCACATGGGTACAACTTGTGAAGCCCATTTCTGGTGTACCCCGCCGTGATATTGCTGGAATATTGCTAAAAACGGCGTTAAACCATACTCGGCCAGCCAGTCCTTGTACTTAAGAAGGATCACAACAAATGTGTATTCCAGTTAGGATTTATTCACATTCCTGAACATGTTCCCAATTTTGCGCATCTCTCTTGTTTTGTAGCTTAGTCAAGATTGATGTTGTTTGTTGTTTAACGCCGCACTCAGCAATATTCCAGCTATAAGGCGGCAGTCTGCATATAATCGAGTCTAGACCAGACAATCCTGCGATCAACAGCATGAGCATCGATGTACGCAGTTGGGATACGATGACATGTGTCAACGAAGTCAGCGAGCCTGACCTCCCGATCCCATTTGTTGCCTCTTACAGTGAGTGAGTGAGGTTAGTTTTACACCGCACTCAGCAATATTCCAGCTATATGGCGGCGGTCTGTAAATAATCGAGTCTGGACAAGACAATCCACTGATCAACAGCAGGATCATCGATCTGCGCAATTAGGAACCGATGATATGCGTCAACCAAGTCAGTGAGCCTGACCACTCGATCCCGTTAGTCGCCTCTTACGACAAGCATGGGTTGCAGGAGATCAATATTCTAACCTGGACCTTCACGGGTGTGCCCCTTACAAGTACGGGTTGTTGCAGATCAATTTTAACCCGGATCCTCACGGGTTTGTAGTCAAGATTGAACATGTTAGTGAAGATCATGAGTGATTTGATTGTTCCTCTTCCAGTGTTATACGTCATGCGGGATTTCATGTGTGAGCAGAGTGAAATTTTACGTGTGTTAGTATATGCCTAATTTACGTTAAAACGGACTCAAATATGGTATATTGTTACCACGGGGTATTCCAAAATATGACTGCAAATTGATCATGTAGGTCAAATGCAATGTTCTCGAGAACAAACAACATTTCGCTATCGACGTGTAAAATTATAGACAGGAGACGGAAAAATGTCTTCCCTCTGGATGTGAATTTATGCTTTTGTTCGTGTCGCCATATCTATAAACTACAGTCAGACACTGTTGCGTCGAACTTATATCGTATTAACGGTTGTCACGAAATAAACGTTTCCCCCGTGAATTTCTTCTTTATTAACCATGTTTGGTTGTGTCGAGACTCGGTTGACGTAGATCCCTTTAACTTCGATACAGCAGTGTTTGACTGTATCGAAAATGCGAACTCATATACTTTTGGCACACATGTGAGCACGTTCGAAAATGTTGGAAAACAAAAAGACATTCCATTCAGTGAATGATGAAAAGCACGTTGAATCATTAATGGATGTTTCTCATAATTCTGTTGCAGATAAAGGTTGTCAAGTTATTGATCGTCCTGCCCGTAGTGTTCTCTCTGTACCAACTGACCAAGGTTACCGATGTTCATGTCACGGATGTCGAGATGACGTCGTTGACGGCAAAACAAACGCGCAGTCATTACATCATCTACAACTGTGGCGGCAGATTTGGACTGTGTGGTGGCTGGTCTGATCGTGTTATGGGAATATTGATGACGTATCTTATATCGCTCGGAACCAATCGGAAATTCGGAATTGAAATGACGTCACCACCATGTAGTCTTACGTCATACGTGGTACCTAAGATGATAGATTGGTATTCGGTTGTAGACGAAGTCGCACATCTTGGGCATACGGCGTCAAAAGGCTTCCATAATTTGTATAATAACGCTAATCTTGTGTTTCATGCGAAAACAGTTGACTTCGACAAGTGGTTAAGACATGATGTCACTTATATCACATCAAACCTCGACTATGTCGATTCGCTTAAAATGAACCCACGTTATATGAACGGTCCTCTATCATGGATGAAGGGAATGACAAGAGACCAAGTGTTTGCAAAAGCTTACGAAGAAATATTTCAACTCTCTCCCAGTCTGAATAGGTCATTAACAGATTTCATTTCCAAGGCGAGGCCAAATTCGGATTATCAGCTGATATGTGCCCACATAAGGGTATCGGAATTCGGACAACGAGCAACCACATTGGATGACGTCGAGTTAATATGGAACTTCCTAAGACAATATAACGACATCATGAGGTACAAAGTATTCGTCACATCCGATTCGGAAGATGTCCGAAATAACGCTAAAATATTATTCCCTCGTCAGATCATAGACACTGGAATGTCTGTATACGACATAGAAGATAACCCAGACGCACTTGGTTGTCAAGGTCTTGAGAAGGCGATATACGATCAGCACGTCCTGATGACGTGTGACGTTCTGGTGTTGACGTTCAGTGGCGACGGACGGCTTGCTGCCTACGTTAGAGGAACGTCCGAGGGACTATTCTGTGTTGTGGACCACCGATTGACAGAATGTTCGCCGAGCGAGCTGAAAACATTGTATAAAGGGCATGGGTGACTTGTTCTCTCTTTTTTTATGAAATTAAACCCTAAAACATCTCATTGTTATGCCATACTCTAACTGATGAATTATCCCCATTCATGAGTGGCTGGGGTAGCCCAGAGGTTAAAGCGTTCGCTCGAAAGCCGGGTTCGATTTCCCACTTGGTTACAATGTGTGAGGCCCATTTCAGGTGTCACCCGCCGTGATATTGCTGGAATATTGCTAAAAGCGGTGTAAAACCAAACTCCCTCACTCCCTCACTGAATTCATATTGTAATAACGAAAACGCGAAATAGTTCTACATTTCAACCGCCGTACCATTTTGTTCAATGTAATATAAAAAGCTATGTAAAACCTCCGTGGGTGGTTCTCTTGAGAGTAACGGTTGAAAGGATTGTAGAAAATCATTTGCTAAGAAGGTTGCCGAGAACAAAGCCACCATCATGGATGGCTGGTAATTGTCATAACTGCTTGATCAACTTGAATCAGAACAAGTACTGAATCTATCGCCCACTTACAATGTTAGTCGTCCGCGTTCATTGTCAAGGGGATTGGTGGATCGAGCGTCTACGTCAACTTTAGTTATTGGTGCACACGCACACACTTGATCCATCATGCCTGTCCGTGGAATCAATCCAGCCAGTCGTGCATGATAACCTTGTTCGTCTTTATATACAATATTCCAGCAATATCACGGCGGAGGACACCAGAAATGGGCTGCACACATTGTACCCATGTGGAGAATCGAACCCGGGTCTTCGGCGTGACGAGCGAACGCATTAACCACTAGGCTACCCCACCGCCCCCCGTGGTCTTGTGGATAGAGCGCCTACCAACATTGTTGGTTTGTGTCTGTGACCGCGTCTAGTGAAAAAAGGGTACTTGTTGTTTCCCTGCCTGACGTGTGGCATTAAGGAGTCAGTATACCATATGTGAGTGGGGTATATTATCTCGGTGGGCTACCACTATAATTGAGTGAGTGAGTGAGTTGAGTAACGCCGCTTTTTGCAATACCCCAGCAATATCACGGCGGGTGACACCAGAAATAGGCTTCACGCATTGTACCCATGTGGGGAATCAAACTCGGGTCTTCGGTATGACGAGCGAACGCATTAACCACAAGGCTACCCTACCACCCCCTACCTCTGTAAAACCACTCTGGTCGAGTACAAGCGTCACACACACGCATTGATATGCATTAATCTTGAACGCGATCTTAAACTCAGTTCACCTACAATGTTTCGGGATATCTTTGTTTTCCATCACTGGAATGTGAACCTCACGTGACACCAATTAAACGCCAATGTGTCCAAACGCGCGTCACATAAATATTGCGACAAAAAAGAAAAAGATACGTTTTCAATCTTGTGTGAACAAGAAACTTTAAAAAAAGTAGAAGCGCATAAACGTTTCTACGGCATGTTTCCAATAAAATCCCGCTCCCTGCAAAGCTCTCAACCACCATTTAAATATTTCCCGAACGTGTCCATGCTTGTTAATAGCCAGAATCCAAGAATTCTCCGATCAATAAATGCGTTTGTTGTCTGTTTGCTTTCTTGTTGAAACCTACAACCAAGACATAAATAGAGACTGTTCATAGACATACATTTATCATCAAGAACAACTCTGCACTATGCAGAGAAACTGAAAGTTTCTCAGTACCACATATTTACATGGCATGTTCCAGATACGAGGTGTTTGTTACTGTCAATAGAGAGGCCATTGATCAAAGGTTTCAGGAGCTTGTCTCTTTTGATAGAGACTGAAATCCTTTGGATACCGATCGTTCTCTTACTCTGCACCTATGCTTTGGAACTCTCTCCCATTTGCCATAAAACGCTCTGACACAATTGACATTTTTAAGTCCAGACTTAAAACCCACCTTTTCTCAACATATTACTTATCATTTCAGCTGTAAATACTCCAGTGTAAGTATTCTGTAGCGCTTTGAGCATGCCTTATGGTGTGGAATAAGCGCATTATTAATATGCATTTATTATTATTATTATATTATAATAAAGATGATATGAATTCAGCCCACCTGCCAAGGCTGTTATACCACCTTTTTCACTTGATGTTATGTGTTTATGTTATGTTATGGACACCAGAAATGGGTTTCACTCAATGTTCCAATAGGGAAATCGAACCCGATTTTTCAGCGCGATGGACGCTTTAACCACAATGCTACCCCGCCGACCCTCAGAATACATGTGTTTTCTGATTAGATTTCTGCGCAACTCTACTGTTTTGTAGAGGGGTCAGTATTGTTGATGTACGTTTTCCCACGTGGAGCACTGATTCTGGATTTTCAGCGTGACGAGCAAACGCCTTAACCACGAGGCTACCCCACCGTCCCTTCTTTGAGCCATATGTACAGCCTTATGCCTTTAAAGGGTTTCAATGAACGACCACCATATTTTTGTGTTGTTTTTTTACATAACATAAATGGGTTGCTTGATGTTTTAATCTATTCCATTGAGCAGAGCATCCTGTCATTTCATCAGAATATATATATTAAGATAATTAGTACATTTTTCTGTTCGCCCTGAAACTATACCATCACCACGTGCCTTCAGTTTGTGTTCCAATATCTGGAGTGGAGTGGTGTATGTACGCTCTGTTGAGCTTGTTTGTTGTTTAGCGCAGCGACCTGTAAATAAAGGAATCTGGACCAGAGAATCCAGTGATCAACATCATGAGCTTCGATCTACGCATTTGGGACACGATGACATTTACGAAACCAAGTCAGCGAGTCTGATCACCCGATCCCGTTAGTCACCTCTTACGATAAGCATGGGTTTCTGAAGACCAATTCCAAACCGGATCTTCACGGGTTTATTGGATCAAAAGCTGTTCAGAACAGCTGTTGTTTCATTATGTCATCACACATTTAACACGTTCAGTGTCTCAGTTGTAATGTTTCTAGATTCACATGTGCAAACCCAAGCCAGGTTGGTACATTATAGATCGATATCGCATGGTTACAATCACTGGATTGTCTGGTCCAGATTAGATTTCTTTACAAACAACATCGTACAGCTGTAATACTCATAGTGTACTCATGATATAGTCACAATTGTACAATCGACTCTGCTTTTAGCAGATATTTCTTATGGATGTGGAAAGGGTTTTGTCGCTTCTATCACACATTACAAAGTCAACATGGCGTCAGGTCAAAGTGGATTTGTTTAAATTTGTACAATTCAGGGCGATCCCGTAGCCATGTATGCCAGTAAGCAATATAAGACTATCGTAAACCCTTTAACAGAGCTATGATCGCTTCGAGAAACGGGCCCCAGATTATTTTATCGTGACAGCCATGTCTATCGGTGAACAGTATCTGAGGCTCGTTTCACAAAGCGAGCTTAGCGCTACGACTGTCGTAAACCGTTTTAGATAGACTAACAGAGCTATGATCGTTTTGAGAAACGGGCCCCATGTTCTATTATCGTCATCTGTACTGTTTTGTTCTGCACATCCTTGGACGCAATACACCCTCTCAAGAAAACATCAATCTCATGACTTGAAGCCCAACGAGGTACTCAAGTAAACTTCAAACAGGTTTCTCTGAAAGACTGCTGTACGTTCGTAGAAACCAGGCGTATCCAGCGAGCATGTATCTATTGATTACATAATGTTACGACGGACGGCGTTGTTGTCGTAACGCTCTATGCACTTGCACTAATGGAGTTTTACTGTACAGTCGATGTATAACAATACCTGCCACTGTTTATGTGCAATACTTATATGATAAAAGCTTGTCTTGAAAGGGAACGTGGCGTCATTTCTATAACCAGGTGCATGTTTATTTATGCCACTTAACCGCTGATCACTGTATGATCATGGTATATGTTTATATGCTGAAACTAAATGAAATGGTTCCAAGTTGTTTTGGAATATTTTGATATTTGCTTGGATTATTTTGGTTGAGTCATTGAGGGGCGGCTGGGACTCATGGCGGACTGTGTATAAGATTGTACAGTATTTTTGTCACGGTTAATGATTACCTAACTCTTAATGTTTGGGGCGGCGGTGTGGTGTATTCCCATACTGCCTACAGTTCCAAACTGCCTACAGGTTAAAACAACATGATACGGTCCAGTGATCAGGAAGTGAATACACCGATCTGACGTGTTCTACCCCTGCTAAGGTGTAGCCTAGTGCTTAAAGTGTCCGCTCGTCACGCCGAAGACTCGTTCGATTTCCCATATGTACAACCAACTGTATTACGTCTCGCAGGGAAATTGTTTGAACAATATTAATAATGAAACAGTTTGTTCCTACAGTAAGCTAACACTGACATTTTCAGTTTCCTGATAATTTTTATATGCCTTGTAAATGCGGGCGAAAGAAAGTACAAACTTGAAAACTGGACCTAACCCCGAAATTTAGACTAACATCTAGTCTCTGAAATGAACATATACAGTATAGTTTACGCGAAAAACGATTTATAAATATTAATCATAAAATATAACGAGAAGGAGCCCAAAGACCTTTTATATTTATTCCTGAAACCTGGTCATCTAGACTTGCCACACATTCTAGACTTGCATGGGCTTTCCTGGATATATTTGTTTCAGGGTCTGTATGACTGACTACAGAATTATAACTTTTACGTACTGTCACTATACTGCAAGTACGTATAACGTACAAAACATGATACACGTATGAAATATATCACCATGGAATACTTTCTTGTTTCATTTTTAGCCACACTTACACTTATTTTACACAAGCAGTTTTACCCATGGTGATATGATGTCTTCAGTAACCCATGCTTGTCGTGAGAGGCGACTAACGGGACCGGAGGGTCAGGCCCGCTGACTTCGTTGGCACATGTCATCGTGTCCCAACATCGTAGATCGATGCACATGCTGTTGATCACTGGATTGTCTGGTCAAGACTCGATTATTTACAGATCGCCGCCATATAGCTGGAATATTGCTGAGTGCGGCGTAAAACAACAACCAATCACACAACCAACCAGTTTATGTTTAAAGCTTTCGTGCCTGAACCTTTCATGGACAAGATTTATCACCTACACGTCGTTGTCCTGTTTCTATTGCTGAGCACACGCCAACCCACTAACGGATTTTGTTGCTGTACGTGGGAGGAGTCTTATCATCATCCCCGATCAGTAAAGGCAGATTACAATAGAC